TCGATTAAATTGCGAATTAATCGATTAAAACAACTTAAGGGACTTTTTGTTAAATGTTTTAATCGATTGAAACGACGTCGCATCAGTTAAAATAAATCTGAAAAATGATTAAGAACATTTTAACAAATTAAAAGAAGTTTTAACCGATTAATCAAAGACTTTTAATAGATTAAAAGAACGGTTTAACAGATTAATTAAACCAGAAGTTGAAAAACTTTTCTATATAAACAGATTTGATTCAACGGTTTAAAACATACTGTTTGAGCAATCAATCAAGCAATCATAAGAGCTACTTTCAAGAAAGAATCGCGCAAGTTTTGTGGAGCTTTTCAAAGTTCTTTCTTGAGGCATTTTTGCATTCTTTTGGTGAAGAAACTCATTCTACAGGAGTTGCATAATCCGGGTTTGATTGTTCTAGTTTCTTCTCTTTGTTCTTTCAATTTATTTATTGTATTGTGAGTGTCTGGAATTGTTGGGCACTATTTCTGTAACTGGAATTTGGTTGCAGGTTGGTTCAAGAACTGAAATTTAGTTCTTGGTAAAGGTTTAGGTGCAAGATTTGGAATTTGGGTCTTCTGGTATATTGGGTGTGTGATTGGAATCTGTAATCTGTAAATCATTCAATCTAGTGGAACTCAGTTGAAATTTGGTTGAGAACTAGACGTAGCCCTGGGATTGGGAACCAGTATAAATCTTGGTTGTATTTCTCTAAACCTTAATCTCTTTAATTCTGCTACTGTCTTACTTTGAATAGCTTGATTTTATTGGTTCAAGATTTGGTTAAAACTCTCAATCTTTGAAGTAGATAATCTGTAAATTACGAAAATCTTTTAAAGATCAATTCACCCCCCTCTTGATCTCAGCCTCTTTTTCTAACAATCCTTATACACACCACAACAAAATGGTGTAGCTGAGAATAAGAATCAGACCATTATAAATATGGTTCGAAGTGTTTTGATAAAAAAAAAGTTTCACGATCCTTTTGGCCTGAAGTTGTAAATTGGGTGGTTCATATGTTGAGTAGAAGTCCAACTCTTGCAGTAAAAAATATCACACCTGAAGAAGCATGGAGCGGATTTAAGCCATTTGTTTTTTACTTCAGAATTTTTGGTTGCATTGGATTTGTTCATATACCTGACCGAAAAAGGAGCAAACTAGATGAAAAAAAAGTATTAAATGTGTGTGATTGGGTATAAGTGAGGAGTCTAAAACTTACTAATTATGATCTTATTAATAAGATTCATATCAGCAACGATCTCAAATTTCAAGAGGATGTTGTTTGTGAAAGTGATGAAGATCTTATTGAAATACATTGGCAAAGATCTCATTGATTTGATGAAGTCAAAAGTCAACTTTGCAGCGGTCAACAAGTCACTTTGATAAAAGAGTAGAAAGATTAGTGTGTCTACAAAATGCTTAGGTAAAATCATTTTATCTTTTCTGCTGCATGAGGTTCTTCACTTAAAGATTTTGCGAAATGCCTCTAAAATCGTTTTAAACAACTAAAAACAAAGCATTTTTACAAAAGCTTTCTTAAACATGTTTTTAACTGATATAGTTTTGAAAGAACCGATTAAAATCACTTAGAATGTTCAAAGAAGTGTTTTTACAGTATTTTAATCGATACAACTTGATTTTAATCGATTAAAACTATTTAGAACTCATTATGATCGATCATAATACAAATATGACCGATCAGAATCAAATGTGATCGATCAGATTTGAATTATGAGCGATCAGAATTTTTTCAATCGATTAAAATCACTTAAAGGTTCAGGATGATCAATCAGAATGCAATTATGACCGATCAGAATCAGTTATGATCGATCAGAATTGAGTTATAACCGATCAGAACTCTTTCAATGGATTAAAACACGTTTTAACCGATTAAAACAACTTGGAAAAATTATGTACAGAGTTTTAATCGATTAAAACCTATTTTTATCAGTTAAAATAACTTGAAAAGTTTTACAAGAAAGTTTTGCAGTATTTAAATCGATTGAATCGCGAAACAATCGATTAAATAAACTTAGAACATTTTTTGTAAAGTGTTTTAACAGATATAAACGTTGTCGTATCAGTTAAAACAAATCTGTTAAAGAATCAAGAACGTATTAATGGATTAAAAGGACTTTTAACAGATTGAAACGGCTCTTTTAACACATTAAACGGATATTTTAACAGATTAATTAATGCAGCAGTTTTGAAAATATTCTATAAAATCAGAGTTGCTTGGAACTTTTTAGACATAAGTTTTCACACATCCTTAAGCAATCAATCAAGCAACTTTAGCACTCTTTTCAAGAAAGATTCGCGGCAGTTTTTGAGAAGTTCTTTAAAAATCTTTCTTGAGGCATATTGCTTTTCTTTAAAGAAGAAACTCACTGCAGAATAGCATAAACTGGTTTGAGCTTTCTAGTTTCCTCTTTTTCAATTCTTTTACATTCTTTTTGTATTGTTTGGTGCCTGGAATTTGGGCACTAGTTTCTCTGCAGCTGAAATTTGGTTGTAGAGGTTATCAAGAACTGGAATTTGGTTCTTGGTGAGAGGTTGAGTGCAGGAACTGGAATTTGGTTCTTGTGATAGATTAGGTGTAAGATTGTTGAATTTGTAAAACATTTAATCTAGTGGAACCTAGCTGGAATTTGGCTGGAGACTGGACGTAGCCCTGGTATTGGGTGAACCAGTATAAAATACCGGTGATATCTTTCTTAACCTTTCTCTCCTTTAAATTTTGTTGCTGCATTATTTTGATTGATTGCTTTGTGATTCAAGAACATATCTTTAAACTTAATTTTCGAATTAGATAATCTGTTATTTGTGAAAAACTTTCAAAGATCAATTCACCCCCCTCTTGATCTAAAACTACTTTTCTAACAGCTTGGGATTAGAGTGAAGCAGAAACCAGTAAAATGATTAATGCAAGACCTCTAGAAGAATTTCCTTAAGCAAATGAGGAAGTATTCCAAACAAAATTAACTGATGATGTAATGAAAACCACCAATGCAATGGGGATAGACTCAATCTCTGATTCTCCAGCAAGAGCCCTTCCAATTGAAGGGAGGGCTAGAATTTCCTCAAGCAAATGAGAAAGTATTCCAAACAAAATAAAATTAAATGATGATGCAAAGGCAACCACCAATACAATGGGGATGGACTCAACCTCTGATTCTTCAGCAAGATCCTTTCTAATTGAAGAGAGGACTAGAAGACCACCAACGTGATAAGAGGTTATATCCCCAATGATGATTTAATTGATGAAGATGCTATAAATTTTGCAAAGTTTGCAGGTGCAAATGCAGATCCAGTAACATACAACCAAGCATCATATAGTCAACATTGGAGAGATGTCATGAATGTTGAATTTCAAGCCATTCAAATAGTTGATCCACCACCAAATTGCAAAATTGTAGATGTCAAGTGAATTTGCAAGACAAAATTGAAAGAGACAAGAGAGATTGACAAATTTAAAGTCAGACTAGTAGCAAAAGGATACACTCGAGAAGAGGGTATTGAATATAGTGAAATTTTTGTACGAGTAACTCGTTTGGAAACCATTAGAACTGTTGTTGCACTATCAGCCACAAAAAGGTGAAATATTTATTAGCTCAATATCAATTCATTCTTCTTACATGGGGCAATCAATGAAGATGTATACTTAGAACAACCACATGATAATGATTATGCATGGATCTAGAAGATAGAAAAGCACATCTAGTTATTTTTTCAAATTCAGATATTTGTGTAATAATGATGTTATTGAGTTGAATTATTGCAGTAGCGAAAAAAAATTAACAAACATAATGACAAAATCACTTAGGTTGATAAATTGTTGCAAAGAACATATCGTTTAAAGGTTTGTTCCCAAAGAGCATACAGTTTAAGGGAAGGTTTGCTCACAGAGAATAAGGTTTCATTTGTTGCAGTTTAAATTTTGTTTCCTACTTTCTAATTCATCCATTGTAAAGCTAAATCTATATATTTAGTTTATTTATTTTACGACGAAATAATAAAACAAAATTTTATGAGATAACATATAATTGCATGCTCTACTTAGGTTTTCCATGATTTTCTGATGCTTTCGTTTTCCATGGTTATCAAAAGTTTTATGAGATAACAAGTTTTCTGAAATAACACACAATTACAAAGAAACTGTTGCAAAGAACATACAATTTTGTTCCCAAAGAGCATACAGTAGAGAAGGTTTGCTAACAGAGAATAAGGTTTTATTTGTTGCAGTTTAAATTTTGTTTCCTATTTTCTAATTCATCCATTATAAAGCTAAATCTATATATTTAGCTTATTTATTTTACGAAGAAATAATAAAACAAAATTTTATGAGATAACCACTACAAAAAAAAAAGTTTATTATCTACAAAATATTACCTACGGATAAAAATCCGTAGGTAAATTATACATTACATAATTGTACATTACCTACAGATATTACCTACGGAATTCTATCCGTGGGTAATTATTCAACCACTAAGCTAATAGGATATTCTAATAATAAATTACAAATAAATCATATTTATATTTATTCGTGTAAATATATAAATATAAAATATATAAATATAAATATATTTATATTTTGATATATTTATATATATTTATATATTTATATATATTTATATTTACATATTTATATTTACATATTTATATATATTTATATTTATATTTATATTTATATTTATATTTATATTTATATTTATATTTATATTTATATATTTATATTTATATATTTATATTTATAAAATATCAAATATATAAAATATAAAATATATAAATATAAAATATATAAATACAAATATATTTATATTTTGATATATTTATATATATTTATATATTTATATATTTATATATTCAAATATAAATATAATTTATTTGTAAGTTATTATCAAAATATCCTAATAGCTTAGTGGTTGGATAAAATTAATCAAAACAAATTTAAACAAATTTCTCTTTCATTTTCTTTCATTCCCTCCCGTCCTTGACGGATTATGCGAGTTATACGGTGCATACATGAAATTCATACTTCTCTTGCTATTTTCCTGCCTCACCATGGCAAAGATAGGAAGGAGACACTCGTCTCTCATCGGACATGTCTTTCGTCGTCTCGCACAATAAGGGTTTTTGAGGATCACGACGACAGCGATGATGACCAGCTTCTATCAAGGTACATTTCGACTACAGTGAGTGACGAAAATACTTTTATTGTGTCAAATGGTGAACATTTCTCTTTGATTGAATTCAAGTTTTACATTTTTTGTATATTTGAGATTAGTGTTCTATGTGTCTCGTCTCCTCTTTTATGTTAAAATTGAATGATTTCACTAGATTGTTATTGATATTGAACTATTATAATTAGTGTTCTATGCGTTTGAATCCTACTTTTTTGTTGTTGTTGTTGTAATTTGTATATTGGGGGTTTAGGTTGTTGTTGTTGTTTTGTGTATTAGGGTTTTATAATGAAAATAAAAAACAGAAGATGTTCGAAGCAAGATAACTTTTGACTCGGATGTTGAATTTAGACAGACAACATATCAAAACTAAGAGAAAAAAGAGAAGAAGAGAGGTCCTATCAGTTTTTCCAAAATATGCTCCTAAGCATATGTAATACACAAAAGTTTGTGCGAGTATAACCAGAGTTAATTATTTTTAACATTTGTTAAGTTTATTTTATCTTTGTGTCTATTGCATGTTAACTGGAGTCAAATTAATGTTTCAGGTATTTCAAGATTTATCAATCTCCACTATTAGAACATGATATTACACAGATTAGAGAACAAAGAATAAGGTTTTTCATTCAATATTTCTAGTTTGTTCATCAATCTCCACTATTAGAACATGATATTACACAGATTAGAGAATAAAGAATAAGGTTTTTCATTCAATATTTATAGTTTGTTTGTATTGTATGTTATTGTTTGTTTTGTATTGTATATGCTTGTATTGTTTGAATGTTTTATTGTTTGTATGTTTTGTATTATATGATATTTGGACTTGTTACAAAAAAAAACAAAATTTATGTTAGATTAGAGATATACTCGATGTAAATTTACGTGAATTATCTCCAAAATTTTACATAAATTTACAACTATTCTAAGGGTTGAATGTAAATTTACGTTGATTACCTCAGGATTTCCCATAAATTTATGTGAATTATTCCAAATCCGACGTAAATTTGTATATCTTGTATTAATATTAGTATTGGACTTGTTTATTATGTAAAAGGGTAAAAATAACATGAGTAAAAACCCAATTTAGTACTTGTGTCCCGCTGCAAAATCATCACTTGTTCCCTCGGGGAGCCCATCACCATCAACATGTTCACCGAAAGGCATCACTTTCTCCCCACAAGTTAGAGTAATCTCCTTCTCTATTCCAGATATTTTTCTCAACCTCTCCTCTTCACCTTACCAGCACTCTCTATCAATGATGAAACTTCCCAATCTGTCTGGCTCCATCGCACCCTCTTTTGGTACACTTTCCCATTTCAGCTGCTTGACCTCTCCTCAAAAGCTCCTAATCATGGATACAGAGCTGAAAAAACATTAGGGGCATCAACTTTCGTATCAGGAGCTGAGGGTTTCTCTTATCCTTCGACTTTTATCTCATTTCAAAAAGTAAATTTCAGCATTGGTAATATCTTGGATTGCTTGAAGGATGAAAATGTATTAGAAAAGGGCTGCTCAGGCCTTGTGTACAAGGCTGAGATGCCAAATAGGAAATAGCAGTACAGCAGATGAAATAGTGGAGTCTTTTGCTCAAGGGATACAGATTATTGGATACATTCGGCATAGGAGCATAGTGAGGCTCATAGCTCATTGTTCCAACAAGACTGTTAATCTTCTTCTCTGTGACTCCCTCGCAAATGGTAGTTTGCAACAGCTTAGACTGGGAAACAAGATACAAGATTGCTGTTGGATCAGGTCAAGAAGGTCTAGCTTACCTTCATCATGAGAATAGAGATGTCAAGTGCAATAACATACACCCCGACTCCAAATTCGAGGTATATCCGGCAGATTTTGGTCTTGCAATGCTAATGGATTCACTAAATTATCATCATGCAATTGGTTTCTATGGTTATTTTGCCCAGGCAAGTGCACTTATCCTTCTTTACTTTTTTTTAACCATTCTTGCATCCTTTACGTAATTGACAAAATCAATGCCCTTAATTTTTAACCATTCTTGCATCCATATTTTGTTATTTAATGCTATTGGTTTAAATATTAACCGTGTTTTATCACTGCGCAGAGTATAACTACTCCATGAACCTAACAGAGAAGAGTGATGTATCTAGTTATGGGGAGGTTTTGCTAGAGATACTAAGTGGTTGCAGTGCTGCTGAAGATGGCCAAACAGACACCTTTGAACCAGCTGTATCCATACTCAGACACGAAGTTGCATGGTCTACGTTCAAATGCAACCCTTTTTTTTGGGGGAGGTGAAAAGGGGGGGAACCTGGGGTAATTTAATAATATACGAGTTGTACCTATTTCAAAGGAAATTTGTCAAAACCCATTCAATGTTCAAAACATCATATCCACATGGCACCCGATGATTATTATTCGAATAGTACTTATGTTAGCAATTGTTTCTCAATGATTAAGTTATCAACCATTGGTTATGTTTTTTACTATTTATTTATAACTAGGAGGTGTCATTCTTTCTCCTTTTTGGTCCAATCTTTAAAATTTAAGTGACATATTTTATAATTTTGAACATTAATTAAGAAACTCAAGAAACCAACAACTTGTATTAACAATTTTCTATCAATGTTATGCTTTTATCAAACAAATATTTCTCAGTGATTTCTAATAATCTATGAGCTCTATGAATATTTAAAAAACAGTTACGAGATATGTTGTCACAAAATAATTTATTGGCTCATTATACAATACCGTGAGATACAGTAAATTTTAAATCTTACATTGTTTTTTTTTTCTTTCACTGATTTGAATATCAAAGTTTTGTATATTTTTCTAAAAAATAATAATAATGATAATATATTTTTATTATTTAAATTAATACATTTAACAATAATATAATTGATTACGTGGAGCCTCATCAGTGTCAGAAAAATGGTCTAATCAAATTATCAAATGGGACAGTTCAACCACAAACTTAGAAATGTAGATGACACTTATTTATGAAACCATCAAATCAAATTTGTTAAATTATCAAGAAAACATAAAGATAAGGGACTAATCGACAAGGGTCTCTCTCAAAGAGGCTTACTAGTAAACAATGATAATTAAAAGTAAAAAAAAAAATCAGTAAGAAACAATAACAAATATAGTTTTATAGGCCTAACTAAGAATTTAATGTTTTAATATATAATTAAAAGAACTATAAATTAACTTTCTTGAGAAGGTCCTATAAATTATTGTAACTCTATGCACAGTGGCAGGGCTAGTTTGGTCAACTAAGGATGGCTCGATAATGGTGGGTTGAAGACGCTGTAGCAGATAAAAGTGGTCCAGCCAGATTTAGCCACTTTGACTCTCGAATAATCACACAACCAAATGTCCTATAAATTCATCACTGTACACCTTCTAGCTTTGCCATCTCACTCTTTATAATTTCCGAGTGTTGGATTTAAATGTAATCAATTCATGGAGTATAGAACTTGGAGTATGACATGTTTATTTGTGACAATGGTGTTGTGAGGCACAATAGGTGATGCAGAATTGTCTTCTACGTTTTATGACAGTGCATGTGTCCCAATGCACTAAGCACCCTAAGAACTGTGATTCTTGGTGCAGTATCTAAGGAGAGTAGCATCGCTGAGTCATGAATTAAAAGTTGATGAACCCTTATCTCTTAAGAGGTTTACAGATTTTTTAGCTGTGATTATTTTACCCCTTTTAATTAGTATGTTAAGGTAATCAATTCTTAATGTAAACTAATTGGTAAACTAATTGGTATTAGTATATGCGGAAGAAATTTAAAAAATTTTATACATATTAGTTGATCTTATATGGGATGTTTTATTAGTTTTAAAAAAATTTAAATTTTAGGACAACATATTATTTAGGTACTTTTTAATGAAAGTTGATTTTTTGAAATTTATATATATTTTATCATCAGGTGTAAATTTTATCTTTATTATGTTGGAATTATTTTTAAAGCTATTTTCTTTCTGCCTAATAATATTCTTAGTCATTTGTGATTTGTCTAATTTTTTTATAGGCTAATTTAGGATTCGGTGTATGAGTTTAACTCCCTGTAATTCTATTAATTTTATTGTCTGATGCCGATAAAAAAAAATAAAAATAATCGGCTTCATGACTGCTTTGTTCAGGTATATGCGTGCTTCAGTTAATTGCATGTAATAGCACCCTTCAACGTGCTTATCCATCTCTTAGTAATGATGAGAAATTGGCAGCACTAGATTTGGTGACATGACATCCAATTCAGTTGATAACAACTGCTTTAAAAATTTGATTCAAAAGAAGGGTCTTTTTCAATCACATCAAGTTCTATTTAGTGGAGGATCTACAGATTCTATTGTCATCTGTGACCGAATACAGCAAAAATCCTCCAACCTTTAAATCCGACTTTGCTGCTGAAACGATAGAGAAGGGAGATATTGAACCAGTGGCACTATCAACAGTTTTTGGACATGTAAATTGTTTGTGTTATTTAGAATTTGTAATTAAGTTCTAAATTCATTTGTTCTTGCCCATCAAGTGTTGGTTATAATCTACACTAGAATTTAACCCTGCTATGCACCAAACATATAACTGTAGACAGTAAGATATTTTAAAATAAATACTTTATTTTAAATATTTTTAGTATTATATGAGAAGTTTATCTTTAATTTCTTTAAAAAGAGTTATAAGTTATATTATAGTTCAAGTTTTTAAATTATATTTTGAAAGTTTTGAATATAAAATGAATTGAAAGATTTAAAATAAATTAATTATATAACATGATTTTATATGTGTTCATTATTATCTTCGATTTAGGAGAATAAAATATATTAATTATTAAGTTCTTATTTAAGTGTTATTTCTCTTTAACATAGTAGTATGTTATTAGTTAACTGTAAAAAAATTATATTAATTATAATAAATACTTAAAATAGCGATACATTACCCAAGTATTTCAGATCATTTTTTATTAAAAGGTTATGACGATATATCTGATAAGTATATTAAAATTAAAAAAATATATAAAATATAAATTTATTATAATATATGGTTAAATAAGTTTTTTTAATTCCCAAAACACTGGGTGGGGAAGAGAGGGTGGAGGAAGGTGCTAGCGTTTCAGGGAATGTGGTCGGAGAAAATAAAAGAGGGTGGAGAGGTGCACCTAAAAAAAACTTAAACGGTGACCGACTTTCTGACTTTGCCTACGATTGTCTACTAAAATATTTACGTTTTTTTTTATATTTAAAAATAATAAAACTTGGCTAAAAAAGTTATAAATTGGGATAATCAAATTTACTTTTATTAATCAAAGTAACAATTACTAATATTTTCATTTTTGTTTAGTATTTATTTTTTTAATAATTAAAATGATTAATTAATATTTTTAAAAGTATTAAATTATGAAGTCCACAAAAAATAAAATACAAAATTAACGAAAAATATAAATATTTTTAGAATATCTTGTTAACACTCCTCAAACAATCAATAAGCACGCTATTTGACTAAAATCATGTCATTACTATAATAAACTTGTTTAACTTTTCCACTAGATCAGTCCGAACTAATGATGCCCAGATGTGAATGTATGAAACTGATATTTTATACTTTTTGGTAAGATCAATTTCAGGATTAAACGAATTGGGAGATTGGTCTAGTGATGAGTTCCAAGTCAAACCAACCGATTGCTTCTAATTCAGACAACAAAGAAACATAGAAGAAAAATACATGATAAAAATTAACATTTCATTTACTTCAAATAAAAGTAATTTGTATATATATATATATCAAAATCGCCAGTCATGCACGTGATTCTGGACAATGGTATTCATTTTCATTCCCATAGTTATTCCCAGTAGTCCTACGTTATTTTTGGATAAAATAACAACAATGATAAAATAATCCATCATCTCACGCATAGAGTAGGAACAAGTTTGGGATTTCACTGTTTCGTTGAATTATCATCATTCAAGTATCAACAACAAACATGATGCTTATCTACTACAGAAGACAACAATTGACACTCAAACAACAAACAGAACTACCTCCGTAAAACGATGGCCATCCGAACCACCAACCGTAGTCAAACTACCTACTGCAAATACTGTGACACAAGTTACCAGCCAATAAGCTAAAACATATGATGAAGAAAACAAAAGTAAGTTTCTCTCGGCTTCACCATGTAACGGCACATCAGCTCTCGGGCATTCTCATCTGTGACACTTCAGAAGGTGGTCTCAGTGTGCAAACCATTTCTCTTGTTTTCCCAAAGTATACCTGTAAAATGTATTATTAAATACAGATATATATGATTAACATACGAATACGTGTAATTTATAATACCCAAACCCTTCCCCAACCAAAGAACAAGTAAAAGAAAAGGTAAAGAAAATAATCTTGAATCCAAGTACGCAGTTGAAGCTTGCATCCTATGGTAAAAAATTACCTGATCTAGTGAGTTTCTCAGCTTACTCTCCATTTCTTCAATCATCCTTCCCATGTTACAAAGATGTCCATCAGCAACTGATAGCCTCATTTTCATCTAAAATATAAGGAAAAATAATTTAGGATTAAAACTAAAAAGAAAAAATTGCTGACTCGAGCTAAAGGCAAGCTTATAGACATATAAACTTTTTCAAACAAAAACCATGTAATTAAATCAATATTCAATTAATGACGTGAATTCTCAAGAAAGGCAAAAGAAAAGTTAGCATGCAACTGTTAACTAAATGTTCTAATTGCCAACATGCAACTTGAGCTAATTCTGATTGAACATGCCTGACGTCTAATTGACCCAGATAAACTGAAAGTTCCAGATGACTCGTTATTTGTAGTCATAGTCAGCATAACTGTGCTGGTCAAACGATAATTGGTGTTTTCTTCTTCCTCTGGTCCCACCTAAATTAACAAAAAAGGGAGGGCTAACAATTACTGAAATAAACTTGGAAGAAAAGGATCATAAAATTTAGAGCTAAATAGAGATGTTATGGTTTCTCAATGCATTAAAAGTTGTTATACAGCTACATTTTTGTCAATGCTTAGTCTTCAATGGAAAGATACTGTACCTCTATAACATGTATAGCATCCCATGCTCCTTCCTCTAAATATCCCCGTCGACCCTGCCCTGTCTTTGAGCCATCTTTAATCATGAAATTGCATAAAAATATCATATCAGAAACAAGGTCAAGAGTACAAGTAAAGTAGTGTCTTCGATTAGAGTTTACTCCTAAAGAGGCCCACCTTTCTTTATTAGGAAGCAGGCTACGAAACCTTCATTATCATCTTCCCACATGTAAACTGATGAAATGCCACCTTCGTAATACCTAAGACATTATTCATTAATGGTGCATATTGTTTTAAAACAACATAGCTAAATAATTGTATTAAGATAGACAGCACAACACACACAACTTAGGTAATAAGTTACTACGGAAAAAGGGTTTCTTAATAAAACATCTAAAAAATGCACATAAGCTCTAAAGATGAGGTAAGTAAAGGACCTCACTGGTCACGATATATTGCAAATATGTCATTTGCTTCAACTTCCAGCTTCCGCAGCCCTACAGAAGGAAGGGACCCGTCTTCTAATGGTGGATGGTATTTATTCGACCAAGGTGATCTGCAAATACATTAAGATGTCAATAAGTTTAAACCGTGCCTGAATAGCATACACATTAAAAAGGAAAATTTGGGGGGACAGTCATGAGAAATAAATAACAGTTCTGTCTATAGGATAGGAACTGAACCGAACTACTTATCAACACACAATTAATTAACCATATATACAGTCATGTGGATCAAAAGGCCAGTAAATACATTCAATTGTTTATTCCTTAGGTAAAAAGTATAGAATTAACCATATACTATTCATATAAGAAAATTCATTTCTTTCATTTTCCTCTCGTTCTCTGATTTTCTCCCAGACACAACCAACTTTCTATATCCTTACACTTACGTAAATAGACCTAAATCCCTTTTTAAAATAAACAAACAAATGTTTTACATTTAAATGCTATAGCAAACTGTGTTGAGGTTTACTAGATATACCATTCCCTCAGTACATGCTCCTAGCGATGAATCCAACAAAGAATAATGACTAAATAAACGTCACACTTAATTTAGCTTCAAAGGAAACAAAAGCTACTCGATCAAGTAGACACAAACACAAAAAAAATGAGAAACGTGCTTGACAACAAACACTAAGCATATTGAATTCAGCACAAAGCAGATATAGCGATGATTATGAAAAATCAACCTGTAAGAGTCAGCATCTCTGTTGTATTCACACAAAATGAACTCCTTCCCGCATTCCGCATCGCAGAGAACCTGCTTTTGTCATCAACAATTTACAAAAAAGTTGGGAAAGCAAATCGCGACACAACATTCATCTTCCACCCAAAATAACCTTAACCCTATTTAAAGAGAGAGAGTAATTATTGCAATTGTATTATTTTGGTTCCCGAAATGGCATTCGGTGAATTGAAGAAATTGGGATAAAGATTGGAAAGAGAGAGAAAGAAAGAGACCTGGAGGGGCTGATCGACTTGAGAGAGGAGATCGGAGGAGTGATGAGGCATAAGGCTGAGAAGCGCAGAGAGAGCTGTTTCTGTGTGTTTCGGCGGTATCCTCCGCATCAGTCCCATCGCAGCTTCCATTTTTCTCTCTCTTCTTTCCAATTCAGACCTTACACAACGAGAACATGCATATCATATCACAGACCGCGACGCGAGTGAGGGACTTTTCGTGCCAAGAGTTTTAAGTTTGTTTCGCTTTCTTTTTTATTTTTTTTATCCGAATTTCCCTCCACCCCTTCTCCCTCTTCCTTGTAGTCAAAAGAATATTATATTTAAATTTGATTTTTCTGTCCAAATATTTATTTGGTCCCCAAAAAATATAGTCATATTTGGTTTCTAATATTAGGTTTTTTAAGAAATCCAACTATACTAATGATAGTATCTTAGTTTCAATGCTATACAACACATTTTACATAATTAAATTTCGAAATTAATAAATATTCAAATATAGAAAGATTCAGTAGTGTATGCATTAACATTTAAAGAAATTTCACACTGATATATCATCACAAGCTATCTTTTAAAATATTTTATTGATGTTTACTTTTAACTATTTTAAAAATCACGTTACAGTGTAAAATATATTTTTATGTTGGATGAGTTTCTTTGATATTCTTTTTTTAGTGCATAATAATAATATTAGCATGTTTCAAATATACATTCTTCTACAAGTGATCTAAAAAATAACGATATTATAAGATCTATTTGAAAGTCTTGTTTCAATGATGAAACCCACACTTTTACAATTTTTTATTTATTTCAATTTTTACGGTCCAAAAATTAATTTAATTACTATAATTAATTTTTCTATTTTATTTTTGAGACTCTGGTGGATCTTATACAAAGTCTAAATCTTAAATTTAAAACTCTCATTGTATCATATTAACATGTTGTAATGATAATTTCTTATCAGACATATATCTTAAATTTAATACATATGCTTTTTTTTATCTATTCTGATGAGTTATAATAAAAGTCATGTAGCCAAACTTATTGGAAAATATTATTCTATGTTGTACATGGTACTAAACATAATTATATTAATATTAAATAATTGATTTTAAGATTTATAAAATAAACAATTTAAACTGCAATGTGAATTTATTTTTAATTTTTTTTTCAATAACATCTAATCTAGATACAGAAACAGAAGAAAATATACATTAAAAGGGTAGAAAACTTAAAAGAATTCAAGTATATATTTCAAGAAAATTAAAGAAAAAAATATTGACAATGTTTCTTTTAACTTTAATTAAGTGAACAAAGTCTCTTAATCCGGAATTTGAAACTTTTTGGTGGACATGGGTTCCACCCATCAATCATTATTGAAACAATGGTAGTAATGGATTACATTTTCAAATTGAATGAATAGTAGGCGACTGTGACCATGCCTACCCATACATATGATAACAAGCAGAGGGCCATGATTAACCCGCCATCACCGAGAAAGAGGAATGAAAAGGGTTTAGTTGTTTGGGTGGTTCAACTTTTTGCCACATGGTCATTGCCAGATTAGGAGTTAGCTTGAAGGCACCCAACATTGGAGACATGGACAAGCAAAGTTTTGGGAACTACCTTTTGTCTGTTTTACCAAAATCATCCCACCTACAGAGATATTCAATTTTTTTTTTTTTTCAACTCACAATTATGTCAATTTGTCTATCATAAAATTTTCAAATTGACCTAAGAAACTAAATTTTTTTCACTTATAGTTGAGTCTGACGAATATACCACAATACATGAGTCTAAATTTTAACCATAAATATCAATGTTCATTAAGAATAAAAAAGAAAATAACAATATTTATTATTTTAAAAAAATGGCACCGTATTAAATTTTTTTAATTGACCCATTATAATCGAGTTTTGACCGGTTTTATTACATTTTTACCAGGTCAGTTTCATTATTATTTGAACTAGAATCATCAGTATTCTCAGTCAAACCAGCTGATACGGCCCCATTTTTAAAGCTTGGATCAAAACCAGCCTTTTAACTACAGACACACAGGTATAACATGAGCATCCACACAAATTTCAATTTCAAAAAATATTTTAGCTCACAATTGGGAGGGGGTTGAACACCTCAAAAATAAGCACACTCAACCCTAAAGTCAATAAAAAAAATTGATCACTTAACAATCCAACCCATGTTGAAGGTTTGTGTTAGGAGGATTTGGTCCGATTAAAATGATTAAAGATGAACTAAGAAAATCAATCAATGGTTGACGCATATATACGTTATGCATACAAACGTAATATCAATTACTAATAGTTGAGATTATTTACTCTAACCTCTAACTAAGAATAAAACAAAAAAAAAGTGAATTACTGACTTTAGAAGATCCAGATCCGTGTCTGGAAAAACGGAAAATTTAATCACCCGTGCACACAACTTTATTTTACCATGTTTGGTAAAATTGTGCAGAACCAATTTCAGCATTCAAAATCGTGGTTTTGCTAGATGCACATTATGTTACCTTTGCAGTGGAAAAAATCCCAGTAGTGGGTGCATGGACAAAAATAATCCCATAATTTAATATTAGAATATTACTTTAATAGTGTATAGACACCCTTGACTGACAATTTACACATCAAAAAATTATTTTTACCAACGTATTTAAATAACATTATACTAAAATTACTTCCCTTCAAAATCAGCAAGTTCTAACCAAAATCAATTTTACAAAGTCAAATCATACAAAATCAAGTATGCAAATGCTCACCCAAAAACATTACATAACGGAGTTGATCAACGAATTCTTCATCCTACTATGTTGAGTTTGGCTCGTCGTTCTTCATACGATGCTAGATTTATTTTTAACAAGAACAAGAAAGCAGTCAGAGTGGAGGAGCCGACAAATATTCTGTGAAAATAATTTGGTAACGAGCTTGAAAGAAAACAATCATCCATATTCCATTTATAGCATACATTTAATTAATTTTTGCATAATTTTCAAAATATTGCAGGAGACAGAACTCACGCTCAGTTGGTCGTGACATGAGAGGGACATGGGAGACTTTCTTCTTGGATCCTTGAAAAGACAGCAAGCTTTGATCTGGAAAATGAAAGATTATAAGCATAATAGATCACGGATTCACGGTAACTAACCAAAGTAATTGGGAAGTAATTTGCTAACGCATTTGCAGCACCATTTGATAGAGGCACGCAGTTAAGAAGAGCTTCGTGAAAGATTGTGGCTTGAAGCTGGTAAATTTGGCATTCATTCACCAAGTGTGACTGCAACGCATATCCAGCATCTAGGATATACATTCAATTAAATAAATTAAAGTTACCAAAATTTCCAAGTAAAAAGACTCCAATAGGCAAGCGATGAAAAAAATATTGAAATTTGGATGCGACCAATGGTATTAATATGTTAACTAACTAGTATAAGATCTGCGGAAAGGAATCCAACGAACCCATCAGCCACCATAGGTGAAAGCCTTACAAATCAGAAATACCTGATGAACACATAAACTTAATGTCGTCAAATTCGCAGGATTGAAGAACCAACGGAACCTCTGAAGCCATAATGTACTGGGGTTTCCTTAGAATCCTAGTAGTGTCCAGAAGCACATCAATCACCTTCAAAATTAAGAATGAAAACTTATCATGTCAAACTACAAAATAAGAAATTCATATGTACACATGATTTGTCCTAGGATTTAATATTGCAATGCAATGCAAATACATAACGGTCTTGACCAACGAATTCTTTATGCAATTGTGTCTTGTGTCAGTTCACCCATCCCCTTTGACACAGACACAAACTAATCCTTCTCTCGCTATTGGATGGGACTGATCTAAGAGTCATTTTTTCAATCTTTGTGCCGACTTCCACCTCACTATTACTTTATAAAGCTTATATAAAAACCCTTCCTCCTATTTTTCTTTTTCTATGTCAAGCTGGCTAGCCTAAGTCAGATAAACTCTATTACAATTTTAGAATGTGAGTTGAGGTCGAACTTAATCTTATAAAACTAGTTAGTAAGATTAGGTTTGCATTTCACTATATTCTATCCATATCATTAGTTGATACAAGATCTACAATAGAAAAAATGGCTTTGGGTTTAATCTTTGAATCTTCAACCCAAAAAGATAGTGTTGTGCACATTCTATCTAATCATGTGATATGAGGCTCCAGAATCTACAACCCATTTGTTTTTCCTTTTCAAGTATTTAAAGTATGTAAGAAATCACCATTTTGGGCTAGACTGTTAACAAATTTCCCTGAACTTAGCAATGTTTGATGGAGAAGTTTTTGTACGGGGTCCAGATGTTCCCTACCAAAGGGAGCTGGATTAGAACTTATCTCTCCTTCTTGAGATGTATTATAGGCTGGTTGATTAGAGTCTCCCCAGATTTAACCCTCCCTTACTTTTCCTTGGAGGAAAATACAACTGACCTCTCCAAATCAATGATGTTAGGTCTTTTCAAGGGAGAATAGGCCCTTTGGTTGAACTGGTCAGAAGCTAAAGCTGGTGCAACTGGTACTTGGGTCAAGATGGATCAAATCGAGGAGAAAGGGCATTAAAACTGGTACAATGAGGGTAAATAAATAGAGACCTAAGAATCTGAAGAAAATATTCTACCCTTATTTAGACTCAAGAATGAGGAGAAGATATTCTGTACTGATTTGGATCTAAGAATTAGGAGAAGATATTCTATATTGATTTGGACCTATATATATTGTACCTAAAAAGAGAAAAAATAATAAAAGATCATAATTCTAGGTGTACACAACAGAATTACATGATTTTTTTTTATTGCCACATTCATCTACAATAAAGTTAGAAGAACCAAGATTTATTATTGTCACAATCAAACAAAATTATCTGCACTTTTAAATCCTAAAGGACCAATAAAGCAACAACTAAACAATTTTTCAAAATGATTTAAAGAGGGTGTCAAGTACCCACATTTGGAGATTCAAGACTTTTGCCAACCATGAATAGAACAGAAACCATGCAGCGAACCTGATGCCACAGAAAAGCACTACCTCTTATTTTAATCACCCAAAGTTGATTACCATTGTACCTGCAGGTAAATGGGAAAAACGTTGACTGCAAGCCCCAAAACTTGCTAATATTCCACTAATCTTAGCTTCACAATTATATTGAATATTGAGATAAGCTAACACTCTGACAGAGGTGCACATTTGCAACATCCAATTTACATAAATTTTTCCAGTGTTGGTTTCCTATATATTTCTTGCCAGTAAAACATATGCAGAAACACAAAGATGAGGGTAAGAAAAATGTCTACCAATCTTAACCTCACATCTGTAGGAGAAATCTCAAACAATGTGATGTGCCGCCTGTAGTTGTGCACATTTGCTGCATCCATTTTACAGAAGTTTCTGAAGTCATGTTCTCCTACAAGTTTGTTTCCAGCACTCTCCATGGCCTAATGGGACATGAATCAGTGATAAGTGTTACAGTTCACATGCTTCTATCTTTGAAATGATTGCAAACAGAAAAGAGAACAAGAAAGACAAAACAAGGTTCAAGAAATTATAGAACTGCAGAGCAAAATTGATTTCCTACCGGTATGTTCAATTTTTCATTCCAAAAGAAATATTTATACTCCCTGCTTAGACAGCTAAACCTGTCAAAGCAAACATGGATTATGATAACTAAATAGAATAATTCAAGATATGAAGCTTCGATAAGTAAAGAGTTAAATTAAATCTATTGCAAGATCTTCACAATATGAAGGTTAGTGTCAGTAAGTACAGACAATTCAGCTTGCATTACAATCCCACCTCATTTGCATCAACTTATGCTGCAGAGTGAAATGACAAATTTTCTATCTGATTGAAATTCATAATCTACTTGCCCATGAAAGGAAAAAACTACAATGAGCCAAGTTCCTAGTGCATTTGTCTAACTGCTCCGTGCATGTAAATTGTGCATGTTCAGCCCATCTAAATATATAATAAAACTACCGAAACAATAGGACAAGTCTAAATCTCTGTTCTAATTTTTCCCCACCTACTCTTATTTTTAGGTTTACTATTATTTTTGCATTGAAATTGTTTTCTTTTATATTTGTCCACTGTTCTTTTGCACGTGATCAGTAATCTAATTCTGGGAAAACTTTCTTTTTACAGCATAAGCATGTGGGTATTAACTTCAGTATCCATTAACACACTATATGGGTTACTTAGATAACAATACTCAAACTCATTACTTTCATTCTAGTTAAATAAAATGTTATTTCATAACTTAATTACCAAATAACTAACAAAACTTATCTAAATTTAAATTCCAAATAATAAACTAATTAAAAAACATTACATACATCCATTGCTTTTAAGTTTTAAACAAACAAAATTATTAAAAACCAGCAAAACAAAGTTATAAAATAATTAATGATAACCATTGAAGGTAGAGTTTTAAGGAATGCATACAAACCTTGCATGGAAATCAACAGGAGCAGGACACCAGCCCAAAATTCGAATGTCATTTGGAAGAACTCGATTTAGCACCCTAACATAATCTATTTCCCCTTCTACATTAAAAAGGTTGGTCAGTTGTCAGTACTCAGCATGGCATAACTGTCACTAGCATTACTATATAATAAAAATTAAGAAACCTCTGACATGACATTTTCAATTCCTAATAGTAAGGTAGAAGACCATCAATCATAGGTCTCTTCATCCTGTTCTACTTAAATTCAGGTCATAAAACGTTCAAAACTAATACAAGAAATAAGGATTCAAATATCATGGAAAACCCAAGTTTCCTTACATCACTTAATTGACCTCCTTCAGCTAGGAAAGAAAAAAATAAGACTATTATGTAAGCTCAATTAGGAGTAACTGTGTCAGAATTATAATTTTAGAAAAGGAATTCCCTATTTATGTAGTACCATTCAGAATAAGTAATTGGTGTTATTTGTAAATTTAATCTTTCATAGGAGAGGAAAGAGAATGCAGGAAATATCATCAATACAGCAACATAAACTACTCGTGATTGCATACAGATTTATATTGTTTGGTTCTAGACCCAGCACTTGTACCTTAGTTCTAAATATATTATATAAAATTTTGGGGGAAATTAAGAAATTGATTATTAATGGCACCATCAGATTCAGCAGTACAAGTCTAATTTCACAAGCATTAACTCGTTTCATTGATTAAATGAGACTCTGATATAAACTGAAAATTCTGAGTATTACTAACTCTAAAGAAAGGGGGAAAAGGCTCCTAATACACAGTTAAACCTCTGGAAATAGAACATTTGAAGCAGAGAAAAAGAAAAATAAGACTGTTACACAGATGTGAAGCCTATCTTCAAAGCCTACACAATTTTTCCATAACCTTTTCCCTGTGCTCTTCTTCCTCTCACGTAATGTCATCCCTCCTTCTCCCCCAAAGATACCCAAATCTCTCACTACCCACACGCCTCCATTGAGTCATCATTTTCTCTCTCCACTAACAGAATCCTCCACTACCTTGCATATAATATCATTCTTTTTTCTTCTCTCATAAACTTGTAGGTCCTTACATTGGGCTGACACCCTTTCTTCTCCTATATTACACATGTGCCAATGGTCTATCAGATTCATTTTATGCTGTAAAAGTGTGCACACAAGGAAAGTCAAACAAGATTCCTCTTAAAAATGATGAAACTCAGAAGCAAAAGAGAAGTTTAATTTTTAAAAATTATTCTACTAACCAAGTTTCTCGTCTGAAACAACTTCTCCAGAATTTCCAATATTTATGGCAGATATCTTGAGGTTTGATCTTAGGAAAAGGGCTATCACCTGCTTCAAGATGTTGCCATCATCAGAACCAATTAAACAATGAATTGACAGATTATAATGAAGCTCCACCATTCAACAGTAAAGTAGTGGAATGAATAACAATTAGAAATTTGGCAGTGACATTTAACCTACCCACAGCAATGACCTTAAAAAATGGAATACAACAACAAAAGCATTATCTCATCAGGTGAGGTCATATATACGGATCACACAACACCATTAAGCTCGGTTAAAGGTCAAATCATTAGAGATATTGTTTACCATGAGATCACTACAAACAACTTCCTAAAATGTCCCTCTTGGTCTCCTCACCCTTTCCTCCCAACTTCCTCATACAACAAACAACCTTTTAATTGTTTTACTATCAACAGATTCTAAAGAATAAAATATTAAGGATTGGTCGAAACTTTTATCACTTTTTTCAGGTTTTAATGTTTTAGTTGGATGAGCACAGATATCCTGGAGGCAGGAAGAATACATATCCTCCAGGCCATAACATAATAGGAGGCCCCATATTAAGAAGGGTCTAAACAACTTCCTGCATTCTAGGCTTAGTATGACCAAACTCAACTATACTGACTGGCTAGTAAGGAGAGGACTACCAAGACTTATAAGGACAATATAGGTCTAACCTATATTTGACGGAGGATCTCAACAACAAGCATAAATATTTATTTTTCATTTCAAACCTACAATAGCACATCATACCTACTTGTACATAAACCCATATTTGGTTAATGAAGCTGCAACACATTATTAGTGATATAGTATTACTATTCATCTTATTGAGAAATTCTGGCCAGATTCAAGACTTAAAAGCTTAGAAGGAAGTATATATTTCCAAAGGGGCTATTTAAGGATAATTTCTCATGGTTTGGGGACTTGGTGAGAAATTGGATAAATAATGTACAACATATATACACCCTAGAAGAATCAAGGCTACAAATTCTTTTGACCATTTAAAGAATACAAGTGAACTGAGTCTAGCAAAAATAACAGAAACTACAATTCAGTTACTTGTCTTAATCCAGGTTTTAAGAAAAATAAGGGTCCCAAGAAATTATGGAACCTTGCATGTGATAGAGTGGGAGTAAAGTTAATTGAGAGTCAGCAAAGTATATATACCCCATAAACAGGTCCTCCCCGAAGATAAAGAGCCGATGTTAATTATAATTATAATGTATTAACTTGTTCAGAAAATTTCTCTCTAGTCCTCTCTATCTCTATTGAGGTGCGCTCAGCAAAAGTACCTTATCTTTTCTAGCATTGCATTTTCCATATAGGTCTTTACTCTTAAGAAGCACAATGATTGTTTTGGGGGGTATCTTAATACAAAAATGGAAAAGATCAACTTGTCATATCATCTTTTCTTAATCATGTTATGTATCAGACATTGCTAATAGAAAGGCCTTTCTTTCTACTCTTTTGTGCATCAACTTACTTGTCCAACAGAGGAAACCCCTTTGTCTGTTCTACCACATCTTGAATACTGTGACTCCTTCTTATCCCCAACCAATAGCCTTGTTTTCTCAAAAGCTTTGAAAAGTTCAGACTGCAAGAAAAACGAAAAAAGATAAAAAAACAACGGATTCACATACAATATCATGCAATGGTTTTACAAAACTATCCCGATTGAAAACCAGATGACTTCATCCAGAACAAATAATAATTTGCGACTATAATGAAAATTCTTCCTTATGGTATTCATGACCAATTTGTGCAGATTGAAATTTATTGGCCTGTGTTTTCGTTAAAACAAACCTCAACAGTTGGCTGCATTTGTGCCTCTGACGCAAAACCATAAAACCTGTATTTAATAGGTAGCCAGAAACCTTAATATTAATTATCATATGGAATTGAATTCAATATGCACCAAAAACAAATGAGAGATACATAAGAACTTACTAAAATAGAAATATATAATTGATGTGAACATGACCTATAATAAGGGCTAGAGCAAGGGAAACAAATGAAGCTCTTCAACAAGTTGTTGGTTGACCAAATTATGTTTTGAATTAATCAATTAATAGGCTTTAGTTTGATTTTGTTTTAAGTTGTAATAAGGGCCCAATTGGAAATTTAGTTATCGTCTTTGGGAGACCAAGAGGATGCATAGCTGATTGACTTTTGGATGCCACAATTTCAGTTACAATCAATCATTAAGTAGTTTTCAATTCCTAGGTTAATAAATCATTATTAGCATTTATTTTCCTTTAATGAATATTTGTAACTCTGATGGCAAAGCTTCTTTATAAGCTGAACCATTTTTTATCAGAAATAACAAGTGAAATTTTATTCAAAAATACTGGAGTTTATCTCTTTTATCTTAGTGAGAGTGATTCTCCTAAGTTCTTGAGTGATTCAAGAATATTTGGTTGTATCAAAGGACTTTCACATCCTTTGTGTGTTGCTTTCCTTGGGAAGAGTGATTCTTTCCTTCCACCTTCTTTCTAATTCATAAATTTCTTACAAGGTTCTAACCTTAAAGATCCTAAATCACCCCTTGTGATTCATATCAGTTGGTATCAGAGCCTCGGTTTAAAGGTTTGAACATCAAATTGATGACAGAGGAGGATAAAAAGAGAATGAGAGAAAAAAAATATCAAGAAAAGAGAGAAAAAAAGAAGAGTGGAATACTTGAAGTGAAACAGAGCTATTTAGCCATAAAAAATGAGTATAATGTTAGTTCTACATTCAATTTGTCAAACTTATCTCTTTTTTATGTAGATGACGAATCCAATGTGAGGAAAAATCCTTTTCAAGAGGGAGAGAATGATGGGAACATGACCTATGATAAGGACTAGAGCAAAGGAAACAAATGAAGCTCTTCAACAAGTTGTTGGTTGACCAAATTATGTTTTGAATTAATCAATTAATAGGCTTTAGTTTGATTTTGTTTTAAGTTGTAATAAGGGCCCAATTGGAAATTTAGTTATCCTCTTTGGGAGACCAAGAGGATGCATAGCTGATTGACTTTTGGATACCACAATTTCAGTTACAATCAATCATTAAGTAGTTTTCAATTCCTAGGTTAATAAGTCATTATTAGCATTTATTTTCCTTTAATGAATATTTGTAACTCTGATGGCAAAGCTTCTTTATAAGCTGAACCATTTTTTATCAGATATAACAAATGAAATTTTATTCAGAAATATTGGAGTTTATCTATTTTATCTTAGTGAGAGTGATTCTCCTAAATTCTTGAGTGATTCAAGAATATTTGGTTGTATCAAAGGACTTTCACATCCTTTGTGTGTTGCCTTCCTTGGGAAGAGTGATTATTTCCTTCCACCTTCTTTCTAATTCCTAAATTTCTTACAAGGTTCTAACCTTAAAGATCCTAAATCACCCCTTGTGATTCATATCAATAATTGAGAGATTGTAGAATGGTCTTCAAATACTAAATTTTATTTTATTTCGTGTGTGCATTAAAGAAATAATTAATATGAAATGCACTGTGTGTTTTCAGTGTAGATCAGCACCACGGCTGAAATTGATAGGATGGAAAACAACAACATGCTCAGGGGGGGTATAGGCTAAGGTGAAAGGCTTGACTCTCAACCTCTGGATAAATAAGACAGCAGCTGTGAAGCAAAGTGTTAAGATAGAAAACATAGACAAATCCTACAGTGATAGTACATACCTTTTTCCAAAGTACATGACTTTTAAGGCTACATATCTCTTGCTGTGATGACTCATAAACCTTGTGTCATAACCTGTATAATGATGTAAAAGCTAATTTTAATTTGTTGATCTGTTCTACTAAACCGATAGAAGCTACAACAAATGAAATAGATGAAACACATATACACACGCCAAAAACTACTTTTAAAAAAAAAAAAAAAAAAAACACGCTATTGGAACTGCAAAACAGAAACAAAGCATATGCTAAAAAAATACTGACATTAAAAAGTTAAGACGTTCATCAGACAAGGTACAGGGTTTCTACTGAAGAACAGAAAATTGAGCTTGTAGCTTCAAATTTTATATAAATTTACAAAACAAATATGGGGGAGAGAGAGAGAGAGAGATTTATTATGTTATTATTTATTAAACAAATACTTTCCCTTAGCACCCATGTCAAGGTGCCATGCCACTGCTACTCCCCAAAAGAAAGTATCGAGAAAGGAACCTGTATTTTTCTCTATCTTGTCTTCAGATTTCATGTTGCCTTTACATTCTCTGCCTTTCCCATCAGGGCCATGTAATTTTTTCTCCATCTGCATCACAGATTCAAACAAATTTCATTGAAAAATGCAGTCTGTGCTCCAATATTGCCAAGAAGGTAAAACACAACCAAAAATCCTAACAAAACTATGAAACAGTCTACTAGCTAACCTCATGACTGCGGCAAACATCAAGTTGAGACAACAGCTTTGCATTCTCAGATTCTAATTCCTGATAGTACGATGACAAATCAGAGGAAAAAACAGATCAAAGATGCAATGCAAGCCAAAACCTAACAAAACACTGTAACTGGTTTTCCTGTTCAATATTATCTCAGTTTCCGGAAACCAGCAAACAACAACATAAGCAATTTAGGATATCTAGTTGCAGAAACGAAAAATACTTCTACTGGCTGAAAAAGAAAAACATGAAATATTGTCAGAAATTGAATGGAAATACCTTGACTCTGGCTTGCAAGCCGGCTATGAGTTCCGCGTCGCTCGGTTGAGTCGCCATGGTCAAGACACGAACAAACACTATGCTGCAGTTCGGTGCAGTTTTTCGAATTCGAACCTCAAATTGGTGTCACATATAAACTTAATAATTAGAGTGCTTATTGTCCATTAATGATGGATTAATTGAATCCTTTCTAGGAAAATAACCTACCATTCCATTTGATTCAAGTAAATCAGGTTTTATTTAGATTTGAGTTAATTGTCAGATTTTCCCTTACTTTAATGGGATATTCAAAATTGGATAAAAAGGTGAAAAAAGTTAATAAGTTACAAAATTATAAAAGAAATTAATAAATAATTTTAATAAAAAATGAAATTATAGGATAATATTTTGAGAATACCTTCCAAAATTTTATTTTTTTCAATTTTCATGCGTTAATTATTCATTAAAAACACTTATAATGGTTCAAAAGTGGAACGATACAATGGGTCAAAATTTGTAGATCCCTTTATTAATAATTATATATATATATATATATATATATATATAATGTTTAATAAAGATTCAAAATAAATAAATTATATTTATTTCCTTTATATTTTTAACCAATGAGAAATTTACATATTTTTCTAGAAAAATTATTTGAATTTAAGTAGGCAATTTTTCTGAGAATTTTATTATATTTGATTTAGTTTTGATTTTAATTTGTGTACGAATTTAGTTTCTTTATTTTGTTTTAACACATTTAATTTATATATTTAATTATTAAAATTAATTTTATCATTTCAATTTTCTATTCAATAGCTAATTAAATTGGACATGACTAATTATCCGGATAATATCTCACCAAAAAAATTATATGAGTAATTCAAGTAATATTATTTTCACCATTAGTGGCACAAATTTAATATTATCCCAAATCATCCAATTTGATAAATATTGATTAAATTAAAAATGATGGAGAAACGATTATAATTGTGCGACAAAACATTTATAAATTAAATACATATACATGAATACTAAATCATGGTACAGATGGATTTTGATAATAAAAAAATATTATTAAGAAAAAATATACTATTAAAATGAGAATTTATGTGAAAATATGTAATATTTAAAGTCAGATAGGTATTCCAGCAAATAAATTTGTTAATATAGAAGATAACAAATAAAAAATAACAAAATCTCAAAGAAAATAAATATAAGAATAATAATTAACACTATAATGATGTTATAAATTAAAAACATAAATGATTAAATTGATCAGTTAAAAGAAATATAATGTTGGCAAGAACATCTATGTCATTGTTATCTTATTTATCATGTATCTACATTACCAGCTGGGACTTTTTTTAGCAATGACTATTTATTCAATATAAATTGTCTAAAATGTCTTATATGTGGTGATTTATGAGATGAAGTGAAGCTTAGTATTTCCTACATGAAACCCCCTTTATATTAATTATAAATGAAAAAACTATATACATAAAAAAGAATCATAATATTTAAATTGAAGATTTAGTCATTCATAATAACATTATATTTATATTTAAGATTGAATCATGCATGAAAATATTTTTTTTAATATAGTAATAAGTTATTGGAAAAAAATGGTAAATATTTTACATTCATATTTTTAAGAAAAAATATGAATAATATATAAAAAATTATTGACCCACTTTAATCTACTAGTTTCTAGTAAGTATTTTTTTTTTACCGATTTACCCATTTCTTTTATAGATTTTTTAAACTAAATTCAATTATAACAAAAGTACATTAATGCAATGGAATCTTCGAGGTGTATCGTATTTTGATAACTTTTCTTCTTTCTTCGAGACAACTCAGAGCGATATTATTGGATCTGATAGATCACCCTCAATGTGCCATCAATCATTCCTTCACGGTTCGTAACTTTATCTCGCAACAGTTCTCTTATAATTATAATTCAATTATGTATTATCTTATTTACCTTTTTAATTTATTTAATTTAATTAAAGGCACGCATCTATTATCTTTCTATATAATAAAAAAACTCCACAATTAACTTCTCATGATTCATTGTTAAATTTCAGAAGTTCACGTACTGAGAAATAGACCAACCCTGTAAGAATCTTTCTCCCTCGGTTATTTTTCTTCAGTCATTAAATTTATTTATTAAAGGAAAAATAATTTTCCTTTTTATTTTTCCTTTTTTCGTTTTTGGCTAAATCTGTTTAGTACAATTACAGTGCAAGAAAGCGATCGAAAATGGCGTTCCTTTTCCCCTTTTGTGCTCGCAGTTGACCTCGAAATCAAATCCCTCAATAAAGAAGCGAAGGAAGGAATAATAGAGTGCGTTGCGCCCGCACCGTAAGCAGCTATGTCGTTGCGGAGGCGAACCTTGCTCAAGGTCATTGTTCTCGGCGATAGCGGGTACGTGTTTGGTGTTTTCCCTGTAACACCGCTTTTGTAAACGCATCATCTGATTCGTTTTTGTCATTGCCAGGGTAGGAAAGACCTCGTTGATGAATCAGTATCCTCACGCGCCGCGCGTCGCTGTTTTTTAACGCTTTTCGGATTCTCATTGTTTTACAATGATTTATAATAATTGTGGTGGTAATCGTAATCATAGTCAATGAATCTGTAAAGTTTACCAGATTTGTGTTTTTGGTTATTTTGTTGATTTTTTTTTATAGTTATTGATAATTTTATACGTCCTTTTTAATTTCTTTTGGAATTTAGCTGTGTGTGGACCTTAACTAACTGTGTAGATACGTGCACAAGAAGTTTAGTCAGCAATATAAGGCAACAATTGGAGCTGATTTTGTCACTAAAGAGCTTCAGATTGACGACAGACTTGTCACTCTACAAGTGGGTTTCGTTTCCTATTCCAACGGTATTTCAGTGTTCTTTTATATTTTTCTGTTTTAGGGTTGATGTGAAATTGTGTTGTGTTTCAATGTGTTATTCTGTATGTCTGAATGATAGATATGGGACACTGCTGGGCAAGAGAGATTCCAAAGCCTCGGGGTTGCGTTTTATAGAGGCGCAGATTGCTGTGTTCTTGCGTATGATGTTAATGTGATGAAGTCGTTTGATACCCTTGACAACTGGCATGAGGAGTTTCTCAAACAGGTAATTCATGTCCTTTTCAAAATGCTCTATCTCTTACTGCTTTGACTATTAGCTAGTGAGTGGCTGTTTGCTCACAACATCGTCAAAGGCATCTCTATTGATTTGACTATTAGGTTTTAGCTAGTGTGTCCTCACAAAATTCACAAATTGTCTCACTCTTATGTATGACCTACCTATGTTGGACTTTGCTAGATAAGCTTTCTGTTCAGATTTATGTTCTCTTTGTATTTTGTGATGCAGGCAAACCCTCCCGATCCAAGGACATTTCCATTTATTTTGCTTGGAAACAAGATTGATATTGACGGCGGGAATAGTAGAGTGGTAGGCAAATATTATTACACTTTGAAATTTTCTTACTATATCTCTGAATGTAAAAATGTTTATTTATCTGAAGTGCAGGTCTCTGAGAAGAAAGCAAAAGACTGGTGTGCTTCAAAAGGGAATATTCCCTACTTTGAAACATCTGCAAAAGAGGACTACAATGTCGACGCTGCATTCCTGTGTATTGCCAAGGCTGCTCTAGCCAATGAACATGAACAAGACATGTAAGTTTCACTTTGGATTGGTATACAGATGTACATGAATATAAGTTGTAGTTCTATATAATTGACAAGACATCGTACCATCTATTGCCTATAATGCTAGTAATACTTGTAGTTTAAGATTTAATATAACTAGTGTGCAATAAGGCATACGTTCAGGCACTCACTATTGGAATGTCAATGAAGTGATAGAAATAGAAGATGTTTCTCTGTTATGCGTTTCATGGCACATATTTCTGTTTTTTGCCTAAGTTTTTTATTTAATGTAAATTTATTACTGTCTCTGAATTGTATGCAAAGAACAATTTCTGTGGAGCATAATCTTCTGTCAAAAGTTATCTAAATTAGCTGCTATGCATATGAAAGATGTCAGAGGTAATTTTCCAAACCATCATCAAAGGCCCTGAAGAAGAGTGCTAGTTCTGCTGGCATCTTTGCAAAGGCTTTATTGGTTTCTTTCTGAGCTCCATCTTTTGGAGTTAGCTTCTGTCCCTTATAAAGAAATTCCTAGACCTGCTCCCATCTTCCAAGCAGTAGTGGTTTGTAAATGACAATGCTATTTACTCATAATCAATCACAAGTCTACATCTTAGATGTGCTTTTTGGCATTGATGAAGGCAATATCCAAACTCATCCATTTTCTTAGATAACCTGTTTTCAGTTTCTACTATTATACATGGCTATTGTAATGTCCAAACTCCTTCGTTCTTGGCATATGCAATAGAAGCCTTTCTAGTTGCAGATTGCTTTGTTAGATAATTCGCTGAAGATGATGATTTTCTTCTTGTGTGCATCATAAGAATTGAAAATAATTGTATTGAAACTAGTAGAAATAAAGAATAAAAGTATTCAATGCTTTTGACCTTTCCCCATTTTCTTTTGCACTCTCAATTTTTTGACCAATATCTCCATCTTATTCGTGTAACTACTATATATAGTTGCATCTTAAACTATCCGATCAACTTGTATTGCCTTTATGTTGGGAAATCAAAAGGGGAGAAACATTGGGAAGATCTTCAATGATGACTCACAATCCACACAAGTTAACTTGACATTATATACTGTTTGAACATTATGACTTTATTATTATACTATTTGGATATTATTACATTATGATTACAATTTTTCAATTTAAATTTGTTTTTAATATTGTGATTTACAGGTTGTTTCTTAATTTATGCTTTTTTTAGGCATATGTATTATATGTAAGGGTAATTTTTGCATTTTAGGTATAAACATAGGATCTCATGTTCCAAGTTACGAGGTTTTACCTTCCTCCCAATCCTAGGTAGAATCTCAAGTATTACAACATTAACCATGTAAAATTGACTCAATGGCCAACCCATCACAACCTTCAAGGTTATAGAGCTGATTAACTAAGCTGCACCTCAATTTTTAAGGTTTGGTGCATTAAATGATTTGACTTGTTGGGTCCATCTCGTTTTTGCCATCTCTAGTTAAAGCTATAAAAAAGATGGAGATACCACTTCAAAATTTTGGAATGTGGAAGACAAGGTGAGGTTGAAAAAAAAAGGGTGGACGGACAGATTCAAAATATGCATTGAAGACATTAATTTTATTGATCTTACTTATTACGAGGCATTAAACTCGTTTATGGAATAATAATTGTGAAAAAAATCCACTCATCTTCAGTAAATTCTCTTTCAAATTAATATTTGTCTAGTGTCTAGAAAGAAAGTAATCTTGAGGAAGACTCTAATTGCAAAGATTGATAGTGAAGGTGTTGAAGATATTAAAACGCAATGAAGAGGATTCATTTAAAGCAAAAGCAACCTAAAACCTATTGTCAAATGTCAACATTGAAAAACAAGTTATGAAGATTCTAAAACAAATCAAGTCAATGTTTCAGTTCTGTTGACCTTCCACTTTCTAGATGCAAAAATGCAATATTTGTTCGATGTTCAGTTATTGGAGCCAAAATGTTAGCATTTACATCTATCCATGGTCATCTATGCCTAAATTGTTTTTAGGAAAAGGGAATAAACATGTATGGTTAAGATCAGAAGTTAAAATCATGCAACTTTTTCATGTGATCCTTTGACTTTTAAGTTCCAAATTTCTAATTTGACCAATTCATATAATTTCCAAGAGTCAATATTTGATCCATTTCACTTCTGATAACACATTGCTATCACTTGATATGTTCCCCATATATGTGTGTTGTTTGTGAAATTAAGATATTGTGGCTAGTTCATTTCCAACATGCTAACTATGTTTGTATCAATGCAAAAAAGCACAAGTGTAACTAAAAATTTATCTTGTTGATAAGGAAATGATACTCATTTCAATCTAGGTTCTTTTGTCTATAAACTTCCATTGTCAATAAATGTTCAATTCAATTAATATTAAGAAAGTGTAACGTTCCATTAACTATATGCAATTTTCAGTTTGATGTTCAGTTATTGAAGCAAACAGCTTCATTAATGCTGTATAGATTGGCCAAATTATCTGGCCTTGTACCGAGTCATAATGTTTAGTAGAGTCTTCAAACATCTTCCTGCTCCAGGCTTTCTTTGTTTGGATGAATATGAATTATAGACCTGGCACTCAATTATTTCTCTATGCAACTGATAGTTTATTAAGTTTTAAAAACTGTATTCTTATAAGATGATAAGTATGTTTGGGCATTGAGTTCTTGCCATTGCAATTTTTTTTTTGTTTGAAATGAAAATCATGTAGAACAAAGGGAGGGGAGCTAGTTGGAGTTTGCTCCTCAATATTACACATCCTGTTTGTGTATTTAGTTTTTCTTTTTTGAAAAATGACTACAACAGCCTTTACTTTAGTGTGATATTCATAATTTTGAACTATGAGGTAAAGGCATGTATGTACATGCAAAAAGTGCCAACAACTGTTAGCCAAAGAGTTTGAGTATATAAATATTAACACAAGTTCATGAATATCTTACTCTGTTATTAAAGAGGGAGTGGGGATAGTTTTAATTATTAAGAGTGAGAGATTATATTATAACCGGTGAAGCTGTAAAATCATGACATTATAGTAAATATATTCCTTTTTTAATGAGTTCCAAACATAGGATTTGATTTCAATTGACCTCAAATCATATCTAATTGTTTACTGATTCCAGCAAAATTTTGAAAAGCGTGTGTTATTTGGGGTAATGGAAAGGGAACTTTGTACCGCCAGACCATTTGCCAAAGTACAAGGTTGGAACACGATGCTAGCTTTGGTGACTGCCAGTGTGAGAAAGCCACCTCCCTATCTGCTTATAGATATCACCATCCACATTTTTTAATTCACTTTTCTTGATCCCATAAAACAGAAAATTATGATTGTTATATTCTACATAGGTTCATTGATTATTTGAATATGTATATGAACGTATTATTATTTATTCCTTCTTTGGAGTCTCAATCCTTATTCTATTTGGCGTTAACGTATTTTGATATTGAGATATTCGCAGAAAGCTGCTTATCTGACTTCCGAACTCTTTCCTCTCAATTGCAGATATTTTCAAGGGATTCCTGAGGCAGCAGTTCCAGAGAATGAGCAGAGGAGTGGATGTGCATGCTGATATGGAGATACTGAATAATTTTCTACACTTCTCTTGTTGCTGTAGCTCAAACTCTTCAAATTCTTTTTGGTCATCTAGTATATACTGTATGCCTTGATTGTGCGAGTAAACTGTGTACCTTGAGGTTGCCATTTTGATAAATTGTATCATTTATTGTAGTCCTGTTTTAGGAAGGACGAGCTTGAGAATGTTGCACATGCTGGTAAAGCATGTTCAATTGATAAACTACGACCTGCGAGATGTGGCATGAACCATGGAATGTTTAAATAATTTTTGAACTTCTTTTCCGTTGATTATCAAATTGAGATGTGTCATGGACCTTAGAATGTTTATATTCTGTTTGAATGTTACTAATCTCTGTGATGCGTCAACACTGATGTAGCTTTTGTTTTCTTTGCAAAACGAGCTTGTGTTAGCAGTGTATGATGTTTGTTATTGTCATGCTTTATTTAGTCTTCATCCTTGACATTTCGCTTAGAGTTTGCGTTGTTCAGAAGGTTAGGTGGACAGTTGACATGGCGGAGATGATTCTTGGTGGGCGGAGCTGAAAGGAACACCATAGCAGCACAATGGTGGTGGAGTTTGCTAGTTATTATTTGTAGAGATTTTAACGTTGAGTCCGTATTTGGAAAAGAAACGAACGATCAGTTTAAAACATTAAAACTCAATAAAGAACTGGTCTAGAACTTTGCATCAAAAATAAATTAAAGATGATAGAGTCAATGCAATTTTTTAAATTTTGAGTAGAACATAACTAAAAGATTCACTTCTAAGATAAGCAAAATAAAATAAACACAATCTAACAAAATGTGAATGCTTGATGACCAAATCACCTTTGAAGAGGACAAGAGAATAGTAATTTTCCTTGCTAACTAACTAGAATGCAAGATCGTGATTGTAAAATTGGGTGGTGAGAAAATGGTTTAATAGAACATGCGTTCGTGTCACAGGCTATAAACCATCTTCCTACTTGCCACAGATTATTATCACAGATGTCAAAACAAAGGGTGACTGTCTCTTTCCAAAGTCAAAGTATGTTTTGTTTCTTTCCACATATTTTGTAGGATCCAAATTTGTAACATATAATAAAGTTATTTATAAATTGATTAAAAGTACAAAATATTTTTCTTACGTGTTGCATTAGTAACTAAATAAAAGAAAAGAATATGATCCGTTTGAATAGTTTAAAGAAATGTATCATTATGTTTTATGTTGTTACATTATAAGAAAATTAAATTTATTGTTTTCGTAGGAATATTAAAATAAACTTAGTTTATATGTTCACTCTTTAATAAACAAATCAAGTTAAGCAAAAAATTTTGCAGTATAAATAATTAAATCTATTTTGGTTTAGCATGTGAGTCAGAACCTAAATATTATACTTCCTGCACTCTTGGACCTTTTTATTTTTACACTCTCGTATTTATCTTAAATAACAATATTATCTTAATGTAAATAAAATAACAATATTACCTTAATAGGTTATGGTTTGATTTCAAAATGAAATTTCTTGAAATATATTCTAGAAAGCTGACTGTAAAATATTTGGAGAAAACTTTTAGAAAGATCAATATAAAAAATTTGGAAAATTAATTTTGAAAAACACAATATGAAATGGGTAATGAGTTGTATTTTTTTAAAATATATTTTAGATTTAATAATCTAGAATATAATTCTAAAGAACAAAATCTAGAAATAAGTTTTGGATGGTTGAACCGAAATATATTTTAAAAAAATATAATCTAAAAAAGTTTTAAATTGTTAAATTTATAATACATTAAAACATTATTCAAAGATGAATTTTGGTAGGTTATCCCAAACTTATTTATGAATTATTTTCTTATTTCTGAATTATGTTTTTTGAAAATGTATTCTGAATTCAATAATTTAGAACACTACAAATATAAATCTAATGCCATTTTTTATAAGATTTTTTAATGTACAAGATGTTATACTATTCAAAGCATAAATTATTAACAAATTTTTAATTTAAAAATAAAAATATGCTTAAATAAAGGTGCAACAAACGAAAGTACACGTGTAAGTACTGATATGGAAGTACAACGCGTTAGAAAAAAAATTGATCAAAAATATTTTTGACATTTTATATATATTACGGGGATACAAAAGAAATTATTAGGGTCCAGGAAAAAAAGTAATTTAACTAACTGATCATTAAGCTTGTATATTAATATATTTTATAAAATAATAATTATTAAAATAAAATAAAATAATATTATTTTATTTTATTAAAAATATATGTGTTTTAAATTAATTTGATAAAAGATATATTTATTTAAAAAGTTAACCTCTGATATTCATTTATTTATCATCTAATGATAAGATAAAATATTATTTTAATAATTAGATTATTAAAAGATGAATAATAATAATAATAAATAATAAATTTTTATTTTTTATTTTGGAAATGAAATTTTTTTATATTATAATTTATATATTAAATTATTATATCTAAAATAAAAATTATTTTATTAATATAATTTAAATTTAAAAAATATATTTATTTAATTTATTTAAAAATAATTATTTTAATATAAATAAGTTAATTTTTTAATCAAGTCAAAATTATCGCTTAGTCTATTGATTAGATAAAAAAAATTATAATATGGAATATATATATATATATATATATATATATATATATTTATTTATTGAGATATAAATTATCTATACAGGCGATTTTCACATCCTACTAATTGTTCTTTCTAGATACTTTACAGACTTAAAAAAGATTTATTTTAATAACTATTTGTTTAGGAGTTGATTACTGATCAGTGATTGTCTGTTTAATGAAAGCATGTAATCGAAGGATAAATTAAATTATCTGCTTAATTAATAAGATTTTAGAAATTTGTATGATATGAAAAAAGTTTTGGAATAAAAGTACTTGAATTATTATTAAATATTTATAGATTTTACAGTTCAGGTGTATAAAGCAAAGAAATTTTTCATTACATAGGATTTAAAATATTCAGAATATAATGAATTGAAAGTTCTGTACCTTATCCACCGGAAGTTATAACTTATACGGCACGTTCTTCCTCGTGTTGTAGTCGGTGGGTCACTCAAAAACCAGAGAGAGAGAGAAAATAGAGAAGGTGCATCGTCGTTCTTAATTTTCTTCACTGCAATTTGCTATTGCTACGCTCTCTCAATCCCAATGGCCAAAATTTCTATGGCAACTGCTCTGAGAACTCTCTTCACTGTTCTGGGACTTCTCATGCTTGCTACCCTTCTCTACACTCTCTTCACCGATGGTCTTCCGTTTCGCAGAGAACTCCTCACACCGTAACCTCTCTCCATCTCTTGCTGCATCCAAACTCAATTACGTCATCAATTTACACGGAATTTTAATTTTAATATTCTTTCTTTGCTGAATTATTACTGTTATTTCTTTAGTAACGTAATAGAACGATCATACTATTGTGTTTTCATAATCTTTTTCATAAAAATGAAAACAAGATAAATATAAATTAATTTATGAAAAGTTAGATGAAGTTTATTTTAATTTAATTTGTTAGAGTTCCCGTGGTACTTATTTTCTATATTTTAGTTGACTGCTTTCTCTCGGAATAAACAATTTCATCCCCAATTTTATTTGGTTCAGGTGGATGGTAGCGACTTTGATTGATTTTTATATCAACGTTGTAGCTTTGGGTGTAAGTCAACAACTACTTGACTTCGTTATTTGCTTCTTTGTTAAATATAGATTTCGAGTGACAACACGTGTCACGTTTATAATTTTAATTGAAACCGCTAATTTTTTTTCCGTGAGGAACCTATACACTATTTTAAGTGATGACTCCAATGACAGAATAAACAAAGATATCTAGTGATGCTATGATTCCAAAATCAGTTAAAGATACAGAAAGGGACACGGTTAGTGATAAACTTTTGCAAAGAAAAGTTATTAAATTCTAATTTAAAATATATATGTGCTGCACTGGATTTGTCAGTAGACTGATCTTGTGTCGTGTCTTAGAATGAGAAATAAAGTTGGCATTTCATGTTTTGTTTCAATTGAACAACTTCCTCTGAAAGTTCGGTGCAGTTTTCTATTGGAAACTCATCACTTGTGCTTTGTGCCCTTGTAATTTTTCATAGGAATACAATTCAAGTTGAGGAGACCTGTATAATGTATTTCCTACTTGTTTTTCATATACTCTATTACTTGTCTTCTAAACAGCTGACTCACAATTTTCAAATTATGTGCATTTGTTTGTTGGAGTTGTTTTTGGAGAAATAATCACTTATTTTTCTAAATATCTCATAAAGCTGACAAAAATCTGCAATTGATTCTCCTAAATAAGCTGAACCAAATATGGACTTAAAATCACTCTAATACATTGGTAATGCTTAAAAGAACATAGCCTAACTGATATTATGTTAAAGTTACTTCTCTAGCAAAGTTTCATAAGCTCTGACATGCATTGTCTATCACATCAGATCTGGGTTACTTACAAGGAATCAAACTTGATCAGCTCGCTTCTATGGATTGTTTTGCTTGTCTGCCTTGGAAGGTATAATTTTCTGTCATTATTTGATGTTATGTTAATTGAATGATTATATGCAATATTGCTTTACTGAGGCTAGTATTAATATGTAGACTACATTATTGGAAGTATGAGCAAAAACTTTTTGACAAAATGATCTCTACTTTTTCTATGACTTTTTCCAAATTCTATTAACTTGTTCAGCAATTATTGTCACATAAAATCAAAATCCAATTAGATGTTTGGTTTCTTACTTTTGATTTAAATGTAGCTCTCAGTGCTACACAAATGTGAATGGCACAGTACAAGCGGATATCAAAGGTCATGGTTTCTTATGTTTAGTTTAAAACATAGTTGTTCTCAGTGTTATATAATTGTGTTGGAACAAGCTGTTCATGGATCTGATAATGCTAATTTCTTCATCTTCGAAATGAATTTATGTAATTCATTATAACTTTTTCTCATGACTCTTGTAAAAATTAGTTAATGGTGGTTATTTGTGTTATTCTGATAGAAAGCCACATTGTAGTTATCTTCTCATATTTCATACTTAAATTTTTTCTGAAGAGAGCATGATTATTTACTTTCCTCTTTGGTAATAAAAAGCGTGCTTGATTCAGTGTTTTATGTTTTCCTATCATTTGTTATACCTATGGAGAAAGCTGGGACCAGTACTCTGATTTCATATTACTAATAAAATGTTAGGGGTTCCTTTCCTATTTATAAAAGCTCAGTTTAATCATTAAAGTTGTTTCTTATCTTGTTTATGATAATTCAAAAGAATCTCAGAAGTGCTAATTTATTTTCACCATTTTTTCGGTATGTTTTTCAATTGTTTCAGCATCACTACATCTACCTATATTGTTGTGCAATTTTTGAAGCTGTCATCTCAAGAATCTTCACAGGATCCCATGTATTATGTTCTGTTGCGGCATCCAAGCAAGTATGTCTTCAGAAACACTACCATAGAGTCTAGTTCTCTCAACATTTGCCCTTCTTTTTAAATTTGATATATTTTCTTGATCCATGCTTAATGATGTCACTCTAGACTAGCTTCCATCCAGATTATGCTTGTTATTTCTGAATAAATCTTCTTTGATTAGTTACTGTGGAGATTGATCACTTTGCTTGCTGTTGATTCTGAAATGAACATATTGATTTTCTTCCTGTAAAATATGAGGATGGCTAGATTTCTTGAGTCTGATTGACAGTTTGAGAAGTCAAAAAAATGATACCAGGGTTTTTTCTTCCTGTTGCTTAAGTAAATTGTGCTATTCATTACTGTTGTCCATGCAATGTAAACTATCCCTGCTGTGTTGAATACTTCAATACATACATATGAATAAAAGGTGCTGGATGATATATATAGAATCCAGTTTTATGATCTATTTTGCTGTGTGATTTTATGTATAATCTCTAGACTTTCATCAACGGTAATAATTGAGTGGCGGTTACATAGGAATGGCACAGCACCACAAAGGAAACATTCTTCTGTCGTGATCCTAAGAATACTTTTCATCATTTTGGGTGCTGTCATGCTTGGAACTTTGGTGTACACTCTCATCACTGATGGTTCTCCTTTTCGAACAGAGCTTTTGACTCCGTAAGGGCTTCATACTTGTTATTCTTAGCATTATTTGATGTTACTCCCATGTTGTCTACATAGGAATGATTAAACCTTCCTATATAAGCTCAAGCTGTGTGAATGAGATATGTATTCTTTTTGTGCTTCTTGTGAGATGGAACATTCCTTTTTCATTTGTTTTACTTATTTTGATTAGGACAAGTTGGATTACCTTATTATCACTTTATTTGTGTTATCTTCTGCATTGACTGAATTATTCTGCTTTCAATTTTGATGTAATGGCTTTAATGAAAGTTTATCATCATGCTAGAAGAACCTTCTCAGGCCTTAGAAAAACCAGTTTTTGAAGAAGCTCTAGATAAATTTGCTTGATGTGTGAATAACGGGTGGCAAGCGTCATTATTTGAGTTTGGTGATTACTTGATCTCAGCAAAATCCATATAGAGATAATAAAGCACCAATAAATTACTTGCTCATATAATAAGCAACGTATCTGTTGGTAAACATTTAACACTTATCCATAGTGTGCATTGCGGACCACTTATTTTGAAAATTGCAAGCTACCAGTTGCTTTTAGTCTTCATTTTCCTAAATTAAATATTTCCCAAGACCAAAGCTTGTACTTTCGTATCTCATTCGAGTAGGTATTTATATCTTTGCATTTGCACGCTCATGTGAGAAAATTTTCTCTGAAGTTTCAGCTTGTCGGGGTTATTTTTCATTTTTGAGAATATGATAAACTCCAAAATGTTTGCAGGTGGTTGGTAGCAACACTAGTTGACTTCTACTTCAACGTTGTGGCTCTAGCAGTATGTCTACATCTTTTTCATCTTAGCAGCTCTAAATCATACCAAATGTAATTTATTTCATAACATGGAGAATTAAGCTTCAAGGAGGCAAAACAATTTTTAATGGGATTTATATTGATATGCTTGGAATCACAATTTTTATAATTAAAAGTCTAAAATTTTATGTGCACAGTTTTATTGATGAAAAATAGATGTATGGCCTACCTGTTCTATACTAAAATCACATGCCACTCTTGTAAAATCCTGGTTCGTTAGAAGTATTTATGCCCATCAAAAGTCAAAGCAGGTGTATTCTCTTTGTTTACTGATAAAGCAAATATTCTTCTAGAATTAGTCTCAGAGACTTTTTAAATGACTCTTAATTACTATCACACTCTCAAGGGCACCGTATTGGTGTTACATTCTATTAGATGTAGTCAAGTTAATTTGCTTTATCCATGTAGAGTATATAACTATCAAACTTTCCCAACTCATTTGATTTTCTGTATTCTGTTTATTTTAGTAAGATGGGGCAAGATTAAAGAGAATGTAAGGAAGCGGTCCGTCTTCCTTCTTGTGGAAACCATAAGTTAATTGTGGGAAAAGACATTTATTTTGATTTCCTAATCTGAGGCCATTTAATTATGTAAATTTACCTGTTCTACTTGTGTCATTTAATGCCTACCCAGAGAAGCCAGTCACCAAGTACATTTTTGGAGCTATAGCGGAATTATTTTAATAATTTAAGGAAATAGTAGTTTTCCTAGGCAGTAGTTGTGAAAATGATCTATTTGATCACTGACCACTAAGAAATGTTTAGATAATAAACGTCCAAATATTTGTGCATGCAAGGTTATGTGCAATTCTATAATGCTGAAGTTTAATTTCATTAATCTTGTTTTGAATCAATTTAGGTATCCTATTCCTAACTGTTTATACAATATCAGGTCTGGGTTGCCTACAAAGAATCTAGTTGGATTTCTGCAGTCTTGTGGATAATTCTATTGATATGTTTTGGAAGGTTTGTTCTCACAATTTAAATTTTGCTTATTGGTTGGTGATTAAAACTAGTTATCATTTCAAGAATTTTAACTAATTTTAGTTTTATGACAGATTCCAATTGCCAACAACTGTTAAATTCTCCACTATACATTGACTTGGATACCAAGTTTTAGTCTGGGAGAAAATTATGTATAATTTATATATTTGAATCAAAATGTGATTATACACCGTATTAGTGCTTATTACTGGGATATTCCACAAAATACATAAAAGAAAAACTTATTTATATTTTCTTGTTTAGATTATGTTAGAACTGATTACTTCTTTAGTTGAATAAGTAGAGTAATTGTCTATGGCAGTTAACATGTACATATGGTCTCTTATAAAAATTTTGTCGTTGACGGTAATTTACTTTCCAAAATTTTCAGCATTACTACTTGCTTCTACATTGCATGGCAGCTGTTCCAGATATCTGGTGAAGATCCTGCTTACCTTGTTTTAGTGCATCGTGGAGACAGGCAAGCAAGCATATAGCAGTCTTTTCTTTTTATTTTTTGAACATTTTGTATTGGGATTGGAACAGTCATGAAGTAATATTTTTCCGGTGGCATAATTCTATAACGGGTAAGAAGTTAGTGTTCTGTCTCAATGAGACTGTTATCACTGGTTACTTCACCATTATAATGTTTGTCAGATAATAGAAGAAATGAAGGTCACCTTTAGTTGCATAACCTCTATTTTTTCTCTCACTTTTTATAGTCTACTTAGAAACGTTAATAATTTTTTTATAATAGGGCAGAAAACAAATATAAGGGGATTTCTGGTGAGGCAACATAGCAATGGTGTTCATGAACCAAAGGCATGCAAGAGGCTCTTGTGGTATGTTCTTGCGAATGTGAGTGGATTGCCATAAGGCTTACGATCCGGCATTTACATTGCTTGATAATGGCAGGAAATAAAAAAGGGTATGAGATAATCCCTGATCAGATATTGTAACACCTGAAGACGAAGTTAAATTACTATACTAGTGCAATAGATGTAGTTTGCAGATCATATTTTCTGCATACAGGACGATGTCGTTCTCCTAGCATTCACTGTAGACTTATAATTTCTTGTGTCATAAATGCTCATTTTTTCCTCAGTATATAACTGTAATTATGATGTTTAAACGTCAGAATCAGAGAAAATGTTCAGATCAAAAGTACTATTCCGTTGTTAATTGCATGAAGAACCATATCGTTAATTAACTTGGGCTTCGTGTAAAGTCCAGACAAATTATGATATACATTGTCAAGTCTTCCACCCTAAAACCTTGACATGATAGCCACCTTACCTAAATAAGCCTTGACATGATAGGCACTTCACCATCTCACTCATGGCTTCTTTAGGCATGCGGGATCTTAACCTAAGCTAAGATTTTGCAGGCTCAGAAAGAAGGAGGGATGACCTCCAAAGAAAGTACAGAAAACGGAACATTTGGAAATGGAAAATTTTTACCTTTTTCTTTCATTTGTTGTATTTGAAGAAAGTAAATAATAAACGAGATATAATCTTTTTTTTTTAATGTCTCAATTTTTTAAAAAGTAAGGAAAGGGTGAGGAAGGAGGTAAAAAAAAAAAAAGCGTGTTTGGTTGGAGTGATTTATTGTTCAAAAGGATAGAAAAGCGAGTATGGATGGTATTCGTTTGTTTCAACTAATATGAGAAGATATGCGAGCGATGATTTGAGGGAGAGTAGGAGGAAAGTTCACTCGCTTAAACAAAGAGATATGTAGAGAAACACACATCATCAAATGATAATTTACGTATTTATTCTTCTCCATCTCCTCCATGTGAAATACAAGTGTATGGAATCCACACACAGTGCCTCCTCTAAATATATATATATATATATATATATATATATATATATATATATATTCTAAAATATAATTTATATTAATTACTATAATATAAAATATATATTCCAAAATATAACTTATTTTCATTTATATATATATTATAGAAATTAAAATAAATTATATTTTAGAATATATAATTTTTCAAATAATCGAGATTTTAGATAGCAGTTCTAGAACCAACCGCTATTAAAAATATACATTAGATAACGATTAACGTGGAATCGCTATTATATGTTCACTTTTAAGAGCGGTTAAAATGTTAACCGCTCTTAAAAGTGATACATATATGATAGCGGTTCCACTTTAACCGCTTTTAAAATTAACATATAATAGCGGTTCCACGTTAATCGCTATCTAAAATCTTGATTATTTTAAAATATTTTGATATAAAATTATATATATATATATATATATATATATATATATTCTAAAATATAATTTATATTAATTACTATAATATAAAATATATATTCCAAAATATAACTTATTTTCATTTATATATATTATAGAAATTAAAATAAATTATATTTTAGAATATATATATATATATATTAAATATATATTAATATAATTTTTAACTAAATAATAAAATATTTTTACTATTAAGTTTACATGAATTTTTCATTTAATTATTATTATATTTTCACTATATTTTATATTTATTTAAAATAATAATTTACAATTATATTATTAGTTTTCATAATTATTTGTTATTATTAGTCAATATTAATTATTATTTTATATTTTATAATTATTTAATTATTAGTCAAATAATTTATTTAATATGTCAAAATTATTTTTTTTATAGATATGTAATGTAAATAATTTTGTAATTGTTTATTTATATAATTTTTAATAACTATTTAAAAAAAATTAATTTTTTAAATTTGTTTCCACTTACAAACACTTTTAAATTTTTTTTTCTTTCAAATATATAATCAATGTTAAAATATGGATAATTAATTAAAAATTATATTTATAATAATTTTAACCTTATTTTATACACAAGGGTAAAATGGTAATTTTCTTAAATAATCAATTAAAATTATAATTTTTATATCTCATGTCAATCAAATCACTCACAATTTTTCATAAATTTTTCTTTCACTTTCCATTCAACCAAACAACTTTAATTTCACCTCCATTTTTCTTCAAATTCCTCATTTTTCACAATCTAAAATCACTCTAACCAAACAAAGCCTAAGGAAATAAAGGGAGAAAACAGGAAAAAGAATCAAAAGAAAGGACTCGGAAAAAGCTGAGAAAAAAAAAAAGTGGAAAGGAACATGCCAGAAGAAAGGAAGGAATAAAATAAAAATAAAAAAGGAAAATATAAAATCATTTTCTAAAAATTTTAAATTATTTAATTTTGATTTTAATTTACATTAATTTGTTTACACATATTTTTTATTTTCATTATTAATATTAATTTTTTTATGCACACAAATTTATATTATCTAATTATTTTGTAAAATTAACAAATGAATCTTTTTAAAAAAAATTGAAAATCTTATTTTATTTTTATCATGTTAATGTTAAGGTATTATTATGATTATTATTATTAATATTTATTAATATGATTTAAAATATGTATTTATCTTTTTAATATTTTAAAGTATTTAAAATTTAATTAATTGATCATTTTAAAATATTAAATTAAAATTTATTATAGAATTTAAACAAATTATATAAAAGATGTCGAAATAAAATCTATCATTATTAAAGTAAAAATAAGATAAAATATTGAAAATTTTATATCTTATATCTTATAAGATTCTATTGAAGATCTCTTCGTTAAAAACTATCCAGTATATTGAAAAAATTGATTGCCGATTCAACAGTTTTTATTTGTCTCTACTTTGAATCATGTAGCATTTGACATAGTTGTTAATGTTTTCGATTTTATCTTTTAAATGTTTTTTTTTTATCAGATAACAGATAGTTAAATCTATTCTGATACGAATCTGCTAGTAAATATTAACTGATTCATTCATTGAAGACCTCTATAAATCGTAGTTTAGATTAACAAAAAGTAATTGCATGAGATGAACGTGACCTCGTCCCGCCGCCAGAGCCAGAAGATGTGTAGCCAGAGCCGTAAAACCAGAGCCAAGAGGCAGAAAGTTGTCACTCCATTGCCTCCATTGCCAGATGATATGATGATGGAGATCCTGTTTCGAGTTCCGGTGAGAACCCTTGGGCAACTCAAATGCGTCTGCAAAACATGGAAAACCCTAATTTCCGATCCGCAATTCGCGAAGGACCATTTTCGCGCTTCAACCGCTTATCCAAACATGGCCCACCAACTTTTGGTGTCTCCCATTAACGATCGCTCAAAAATGGTATCATACTCTGTGAAGTCACTGTTCCAAAAGCCATCCTCCCCTGCTAAAGGCCATTCCTTCGAGATTAAAAAAAGTTGCCGCATTCTAGGTTCCTGCAATGGCCTAGTGTGTCTGTATGATGTTTTCCAATCCCATGTTACATTCTGGAACCCTGCCATCAGATCGGTTTCCAAAACATTGCCAATCGGGGGAAATGGTTTTACTTGCTACGGTTTTGGCTATGATCACGTTAAGCACAAGTTCAAGTTGTTAATTGTCTTTCCTTCACCTCTCCCTGTCACCAAACTATTCACCTTGGGTGCAACAAGTATCTGCACCATGATTGAGAATTTCCCATGTCATGCGACCAGGAGGGCAGGGAAATTCTTGAAAGGCACTCTTAACTGGATAGCAAGAAGAGGGGAAGATGAAAAAAGTGGTGAAAGGTTGATTCTTTCCTTTGATTTGGTGACGGAGGCATATGGTGAAGTGTTGCTGCCTAACAGGGACTATGATGAGATCTGCAATCCTTCCTTAGATGTCCTGCGTGGCTGTCTTTGTGTTTGTTTCACAGACTACAAGAAAGGTAATTGGTCTGTGTGGCTGATGAAGGACTATGGTGTTCAACTTTCTTGGACTATGTTGAGCATCATCTCTCATGTTACGTTCGGGATGCGTAAATGGATGCACACGTTTGAGCCCTTGTGCATTTCAGAAAACGGTGTTCTTCTTGTCAAGACTCCAACTTCCAAATTAGCTCTCTACAATTTGGTTGATGATAGGATAGTCAATCTTAAGGTTAGGGGCAGACTTGGGTTTGACCACACTCATATTTACCATGAAAGTTTGGTTTCACCACAATTTTAGAAGTTGGGTATTTTATTCTGGCCACAATTGTTTATTTCTAAATAAGCTCTATCCCCAAAATTTTCCATCTAAATTGCTTTTTAATAAATTAGGTTACCCTTAATACCAATAATATCCCATCACTGAAACATTGACCAGAGAAAATTAAATACTTGTAAATAATATCATACATTTTTCGAAATCATGACGTGTAAACTGACCATACTGAAAAGGTAATTTCAAAATTATTTTAAATATTTCAGTCATCAGTCCCTATCTATTTTAAATCTGATTTAAAATATGTAATTCCAAGAACATTGAGTCAAACACACGTGAGGAATGAATGTTGGGGAATATTTGAAGCAATATTTTCATGAATTGAAAATTACATATATTTAATTGTATGGTAATATATTTAATAAAAGTGAATGTAACAAACTCTTATATTAATTTTGTCCCTCTCTATCACTTTTAACTAAGAAAAATTACTGTTAATATTAAATATATGAAAAGAAAAAAATATTAAATTTAATTTTAATTTTTAAAAACATTTTTTGGTAGCTAATATTAAATAACTATTTTTGGAATAAGATAGAAAATAATATCCTAATTTAAAAATCATTTTAAATGAAACAGAATATGACTGATAACTACTAAAATTAAAGACAAACTATATATTATAATTATTGGTAATACTAATGAAAAAAATTATTAATTTTTAAATTATAGGATTTCAAAATTAATAAGTTATTTAAAACTGTTTAATTAAATAAATTTCGTCTTTTAATTTTTAATACTAACAAATAAAGATTAATAAAATATATTTCTAGTATTTTTTTTTCTTTTATTTCCATTTTTACTCGTAGGTATAAACAATTATTTTTGAATTTCTACTTTAACTACTGTTTTCTATGAGGATTGTTTTTTTATTATAATAGTTCTCAATAAAAAAATATCATTTTTTAATTAATTTATTAAAACTGTTATTAAAAAAATTAGAAGAATGTATAACTTCTTAAAAATGTTATATTTATTTCAATCCACTTTAATAAAATAAAAATTATATTTATCTATTTATTATATATTATAATATTACAGTATATTTAATTAATATGTTATTTTATTATCATGAGATCTTTTTATCATATTCTTTTATTTAGAAAAAATATATTTCAACATTTTAAGCTTTAATTTTAAAATCATATTAAAAGTTTTTATATCATATTAAATATGATAAGATACTAACTCAACATCATTTTATGAAATCCATTTTTGTAGAGATTGAATAAGAAATTTGAGAATTTGTGATGAGGCTATAACCACTATTGTATTTCTCATTGTTAAATTGGAAATAATTTGCAAGTGTGTGGTTCTCAGTATCATGCTGAGATAACATAATATTGTGCCTTCGCTCTATCTGTCTTGTCATGCTCTTATCATTCTACTTTCTCTGATTCCTTCATCCCATTATCTTTTTCTTCTTTCTAAGAAACTTTGTTGCCAATTTCTCATGTAATTGCTCATCAGAATCTTCCGTATTAGAGCTGTTATGCATTCTGTACCAGATTACCCACTTGATATGTACCTTCATTAATACACTTTCTTATATTTCTAGATTCTTCAAAGTTTGTACTTCATCCATCAAGTCAAATCCAAGATTCTTTCTTCCCCACAAGTTTCACCTCCCAGGCATCTTCTCGTGGTTCACACAATCCCTCAAACACTGAATCTGCTATGTGCTATGTCAACAATGGCCTTCACAGAATTATCGTCTTCATATTCAATTTTCTCCAAATTATTCTTCTTTAAGTTTATCTTCCGTCGTGGAGATTCCTTGCTGATCACCTCGCCACCTCTCTCGCTGCCTCTTATCAGAGCCGTCGTCACCATTGCCGGAAGCTGTGAAAACGAAATTATTCATTTAGAGTGTGGGAAATATTACATTGGAAGTGCATAAAAATAATTTTAAATAAATATTATATTATTTTATTATAAAAATAGTAAAAGAAATTCCAAATATTGCAATACAAAAGGTAATACAATAATTAAACTGTACTTATACAAAATTTACAATTTACTATATATTTAGAACCATGTAAGTTTTATAATTTTTATATTTAAAATTTAGAATAAAAAAATAAACATTATAATTCAACACAAACAAATCTAACATTTTTTAATTTATGTTAACAAGTTAATATGATTTAAATATATTTAAATATTCAGTTCTGTATTACGAAATTGATTCTTAATTCAAAATTATTTTTAATTAGAATAGTTTAAAAAGATTCCTGTGTAAAAATTATATTAAACTAAATATTTAATTTATTGATATAAAATTTAAATATAACTGAAATCATTCTATAATTATATTTAAGTAAAGGGTAAAGATCGTATTCCTCTTATCAAAATTAAAATACATGATTTATCTCTTATCAAAATTAGAGATTTATTTTAATTAACATATAAGATTGATTTTTTATCAAAGTCAAAGATTCTGTGTTTTTTTCATTTGTTTTTTATTTTTTTAAATATATTAAATAATTCATTTTGATAAATTATTTTAAAAATAAGCTATAAATAAATAAACTTATTTAATACTTTTAATTTTAAAAGTATTTTAATTAAAAGTACTAATCTAAAATAAATGAAAAATATGATAAAAATAAAAACTTTAACGGATAACTAATAACAACAACTCATATGTTTATCATTTAAAAAATATTTTATAAAGAATATAATACAGATAAAAGATCATCATAAAAATAAATGATTTTAAGAATATCTTTAATGAGAATAATTACTTATTTTTATTATAAAATATAGATTTATTATATCATATAATACTTTAATATTAATTTTATTTTAATATTTTTAAAATAAAATTATAAGATCTATGTAATTTATTTATTTTTTATTTTATAAATTATTTAATAAAATATAGAATGTTTTATAAAAATATAGATATTATTAATAAAAATAAAATCTTAAGAAGATTATTTTATTTTATTTTTTTTAAATAAAATAAAAATATTTTTTAAAATAATTTAAAATATTAAATAATTTTTAAAAATTTTAAAACCTAAACAATCATGTCTGTAATTTCTTAAACACATGTCATTATCTCTTTAACCCTTATTTATTTCGCACATTACCTCATTATTTCAATGGGGTCACGTGGGTCATCACCATATCTACCCCTCACCTTATTCTATATAAACCGCCTCCGTCATGTTTTGAAGTACTTTTTGAGTTATTTCTTCACCCTGCATTCCCTGCCAGTGGCTTCTCCACGTATAACCCTGGCAACATTAAAATAGAGACACGAATTAAGAAACAAAACTAGTTTTGTTGGTTTTCTCTTTTCCGGGAAAGGGTAAAATAAAAAGGAAAAAGTTCCTTTTTGTGGTATCTTATGTTTGTTTCTTCTGGGAATCTGATTCCTCAGGGTGGTGTTGGAAAAAAAATATATTTTTTTGAGACGGGTCTTAGATACCCAATAGGCGTGTTGATGAATGTGCAAAAGGGGTGTGAGGAAATTCGCTTAGTGTCGCGGGTGGGTGGGTTTTGTTGAATTGAATCCAGCTTGGAGTTGAATCGAATTTTGAATTGAGTTTGGTACTGGGGCATGTGATTGGAATTGGGACCTGGAACGGGTAAGGGGATGACTCGGGATGGGAGTGTCGTCCCTGCGGACCCGCAGGCAATGGCGGTTGCGAAGAAGAAGACGCAGTCTTCGAGAAGTTGGATTATGTTCGATGCCACGGGGCAGGGTTCATTGCTCGACGTGGACAAATATGCGATCATGCATCGGGTTCAGATTCATGCGCGTGATCTCAGAATCCTTGATCCCTTGCTCTCTTACCCCTCCACCATTCTCGGTCGTGAGAAGGCCATTGTTCTTAACTTGGAGGTCCAACATCTAGTTTGTTTTGTTTTGTTTCTTTCTTTCTTCTTTTGTTGCAATTTCTATTTTGTTTTTACATTTTTTTTTTCTTTCTGATTCTGTGTTTCAGCATATCAAGGCAATTATCACCGCTGAAGAGGTCAGACAACTTTTTATCATTCAATACTTATGTGATTGCTTTCAGAACATGAATAAGAACATTATGAAATTTGTTTGGGGAACAATATTTGACCCTTTTATTTTAGGCTTCTCATAATTTGACTGATTGAGATATGAGAATTGGAGGGATGGTAGATTGGGCATTCTCTGAGCATTTTATCCTAGTCTTGTATTTAGTTGCATGAATAATCTGAGAATGTATTCAATTTTTGTTTTTGTTGTCAAGTTCATTGAATAAAATGGGTAGGAAGACAGTAAACTGCATTTTGGCTTCTTTTGCTTTGCCTAACATAGTGGCACAGAACCTTGACTCTCTTGTACAAGAATATACCTTACACGACTTGTACAAGTGTAGACAGTCAACAATATCTCCCAGTAAAGGACATTTTTTCATATACGTAGAATATTGCAGAGGCAGCCTCAGTAGGTTCATGAACTATACTCTCTGTCCTAGTTTTTATATTTATGAATTCCTGTATCAAACCATTGGTCCTTTGTAGAATGCATAACTGGTCCTAGAAATTGAGATTGCGTTGCTTTCACATCCTGAATTCCTGATTGTCTCTAAATTATGTTATAGGTATTATTGAGAGATCCATCAGATGAAAATGTGATCCCAGTTGTGGCGGAACTGCAAAGGCGTTTGCCTCGATCAAGTGCCGGCCTTCAACAGCAAGGAGATGGTAAAGAGTATCTTGGTGGCCAAAATGATGCTGAAGCAGCCGAAGAAGATGGTATGTTATATTAGTGATGAACCACAAGTAATGAATAACTTAATGATTGCATCTGTTCTTATAAAAATGTGGTTTATTTGCATCATCTATTGCCCTTGTTATCTGAGTGATCTAAATATGTAATGTAGAGTCACCCTTTGAATTCCGGGCCCTGGAAGTTGCTTTAGAAGCCATTTGTAGTTTTCTTGCTGCACGAACAACAGAATTGGAGATGGCTGCTTATCCTGCATTAGATGAACTTACCTCCAAGGTACATATATTATGGAATTCCTTCTCTTAATGTTTTGGTTTTAATCTGGGATCCCCTGATCCATACCCTTTCATTATGTACAGGATAAGCTTATAAAATATGAAGTACCCTTTCTGTATGTATAGAATAAACTAACAAAATAGGAAGTTGGTTGAAAGTAACTGAGGGAAAATTTTTGTTCCTTCAGCTCATTATCCTTTTCATTTGTTATACTTATCATCAGTGAGGTGTTCATTCTAACTATGCTTGCGTTCTTAATGTTGCATTTTGTTGTCTATCTTGAGATATGGATGTTCTATTTCCCTTTCTTCCTTTTATTTCTAGACTTTTTTTGGTTCAGTCATGAACTTTAGATTATTGTATTCCGCAGATTAGTAGTCGTAATTTGGACAGAGTTCGGAAATTGAAGAGTGCAATGACAAGGCTGACTGGTAGAGTTCAGAAGGTATGTCAAGTTTTTCCATTAGGCCTGTGAAAATTTTTCTTTTATGTAAATATATTCTGCAGCCCACTCTCTCTCAATGCTGTTGAGTTTTTGTACTTTGCACTTCTTTTATTTAAATTATTTTATTTTTCTTCTCAAATAGAATTCGTTTAATGTGATTCTAAACTGCCTTGATCAGTTTTAAGTAGAAAACAACACATATCTCTTTATTCTCTCCCATCAACAGTTTTTGTTATCGGTTACAGGTCAGAGACGAGCTTGAACAATTGTTGGATGATGATGATGATATGGCTGACCTATACCTGTCAAGAAAAGCAGGTTTAGCATCACCGGTCAGTGGATCAGGTGCTGCAAATTGGTTTTCTGCATCCCCTACCATAGGATCAAAGATATCTAGAGCAAGTAGAGCAAGTCTAGCAACTGTTCGTTTTGATGAAAATGATGTGGAAGAGCTTGAAATGTTACTTGAGGTTATAAACCTTACTTGCTTTAAAAAATAGTTGAAAAAAATCTTATATTATTTTAATGATGAAAAATTGCTATTAATGGTGTTTGTTCATTTTGCAGGCTTATTTTAGTGAAATTGATCATACCTTGAACAAATTAACCACAGTAAGTATGATGTATTTGTAAACATGTGCCATAGGGAGTAGTAAATCTTAATTTTCAGACATGGCAGATACGTGCTACATATAAAGTATTTGAGAAGATTGTTTCTTTGTAAATATGGAGAGAAGTTTTGTTTCTCATTAATTTAGAACCCATGATTAATGGATCAAGAAATTTGTGGATCTTTCTTATCATATGTTATTCATTTTACCTATTTCTATACTATGCGGATCTTCCAACTCACTCAAAATCCAACATTTTGTCCAATTGCCCATTTTGCCATTTTGTCCATTCGTTCGTGTTTGAGATTAAGTGATTTATGCTACTTTTCTTTTTGGATCAAATCCCATATTCAGATCTTTGTTGCACCACTTCTAGCTTTGTAACTAAACATTATGGTAATTTGATTCTATGTCTAATTCATGTTGTCAACATCCCTGAATTTATTTGTGATGGGATGTGACTCTAGTACACCCATTAGATCAGTTTTTTCTAGAATGGAATTGAAAAGTAGTGTACTGTTTTTATATTTGTTTGGTCTCTTCAAAGGTCAGTGTTACCTAGATATATAGGTTTTACATGAAGTCTGAATGTGCTGTAGCTCGCTTTAATTTTACCTCACTATTTTTCTTTTTCTTTTCATTTAAAGCTGCGAGAGTACATTGATGATACTGAAGATTATATTAATATTCAAGTAAGTAGCTATCAATTTACTGAAAATATGTATTGGCATCTGTTTAATGACACGAAATTCAAGTTGAGTTTTTCTATTTTGCAGCTTGACAACCATCGTAATCAGCTGATTCAGGTGTCTTTCATATTTCTGCAACTTGAATATCATCTATTTTCTGTAATGTTTTTTTTTTCTCTCACGAGTTTGCTAAATGATCTTCAACTTTTGTGCAGTTGGAGCTCTTTCTTAGTTCTGGAACTGTTAGTCTAGCTTTCTATTCTTTGGTGGCTGCTATATTTGGCATGAATATGCCATATACTTGGAACGAAAAACATGATTACATGTTCAAATGGGTATGCAAATTATTACTGTTTATTCATATATATTAGGAATAAGTTAGTAAAGACTTGTGTTATGTTTATATATATGCAAAATTTTGGACTTGATAATTTGAATAAAGAGTAAAATTCATTATGATTTCTTGCAGGTAGTTATTGTCTCTGGAGTATTTTCTGTTTTAATGTTTGTCATGATTGTGGTCTATGCGCGCAAAAAGGGATTAGTTGGATCATGAAAATAATTTACTGGAAAAGGGGTATAACTCTTGTATATATTAGTCTCCGATGAATTATGTTGTGCAGTTATAGTAAAGCTCAACACATGGATGAGTTATTGGTATGCTTTAGTCCCAATAACCTGTTAAAGGATCTAGTCCCTCTGTTATCTGTATTGAGCTATTTTCTTTCCTGATTCACTCATTATTGTAACAGACTGTAAATACAGTCTGCAGATTCAAAGTTTGTTCATCCTTTTCAATATTTTTAAGGTGTTGATATTATGTAATTGAATTATAGTTTAGTTGAATATACTAATTTTTACATGATTTTATGTGTTTCTGTTCACTTCTAACTTTATGTAAACAAGGATAATGTAGTGACATCAAACCCCGGACAAAAACTATTTCATCAATTTAACCATTTTGATGTTAATAATATAATTTAGTGATTTTATTAGTAAATGGAAAAATATATTAAAGAAAATAGTTCTTGTGAAACTGACTAATAAGTTGTAACCATCATTTCAAATAATTATTCAAAATAGTCCAAATTGATGCATGCTACTTTGGAGTGAGGACGAATTTTACATTTAAAAATGATAATATTGATAAATATATGAGTAAAAAAAATCTATAAATATAATATTTTAATTAAAAGTAATATATTTTTTTATATAATTATTTATATTTTCTTTATGTATGTTTATTTTTATATTTATGTTTATATAAGTTTATTAAGTTAGATTTAATATGTCGTAATCTTATGTTGAACTTTATAGTTATAACCAATTTTATCTTAGAAAATATTTATTTTACTTAATCTAGTTTTAACTTTTTAAAAATAAGTAGTCACGTCTAATACTATCTCAACTCAAGTGAAAGTGACCATCTAAATAAATAATTATAGATTACTAGCATTTGAATTTTATCTAAATTTGAATAGAAAACATACTTGAAAACCATTTCAATCAATGATACATTTTATCCCAGCACTTCACTTTTCATTTCTTTTTTCTTTTCTCTAATTTAAATTTTTCATCATTTTTTTATCTAATTAAATTTAAGTTTCAATAAACACCAAATATAACTAAATATAAATATAGAAATTTATAAAATAAGAAAAGATGTAGAGGCGAGTCTTATATATATATATATATATATATATATATATATATATATATATATATATATATATATATATATATATATATATATATATATATATATTTTTTTTAAAGTAAGATATTTTTTATTTTGAAGATTTTGTTTTTGCTATTTATAATTTTATGAAATTTGTTTGTGGCCCTAAAAATTAATAATATATCAAAACTTATATCTTATAATGTACAACAAATATTTGAACTGAGCATAGTATAATTACCCAAACCTAAATACAATAAATCTGTTAGGATTGAAATGAAGATAAAAATTATTTATATCTCCAAAATCTAAATTTGTAAACATAAAAGAAATACAACTACCAAAAGAAATAGTGGATATTTTTTTTATAATAATTGAGAAATTACCTTATCCGAAAATTACTTTTTAAAGCGTTAAATTAATGTTTTTTAGAAATTATATTATTCACACAAAATAGAATAAATATCTTATTAATTTATTGTCACCATTTTGATTGGTTGTTTAGATTCAGTAATGAAGATTTAAGGATTATTGGTGGTTTACTCAAATAAATTGATTTCATAGATTTTTTTTATATTGGTTCAATTTTATCAATTTTTACTTAAATTTCACTGTTTAAAAAAATATCAATGATTAAAAATAACAATATATAAAAATATAAATGGTTTATTGTAAAATCTAATTTGTAAATTTAAAATTTGTTTATTTCAAAATATAATTATAATATATTTCTATCTTTAAAATATTTTTATATATAAGTTTTAGTTATATAAAATTATTTATTTTATGTACTGCATAGACTTAAAACTAATTAGTTCTTTAGATTAATTATTTTTTAAATATATAAACCTAATTAAGTCAATCTTAAATTGTTATACTCTTTTTTTCTTTTTATTTCCTGATTCTTTTTCTTATATCTAAATGCATTATACTTTAAATTTTGAAGATAATTGAACCAGTACACCACATGTATGAAAAAATAAAATAAAAAATATATCTAAAGAGTGAAGAGAATAGAAAAAAATTAATAATAAAAATATGAAAGATAGACTCACTTTCTACTTTATTTAATAAAGATAATTATTTTAAAATATTAAGTGTTTAATAAATGATTAAATTATGTTTAAGTATTAAAATATTACCAAAAGTAAAAATAAACACAGTAAATACATAAATTCATTATAAAAATCGATGCTACATTAAAGATAATGATAAACCAAGGGTATATCATTGATTTAGAAACAAACTTAATACTAAAACTCGATATATATATATATATATATATATATATATATATATATATATATATATATATATATATATATATATATATATATAACATGTGATGATTTAAGAAACAAAATTTATCATTGAAATATATTTTTATTATTAAAATATCTGAGATTGAAATTATAAAACGACGAAAATTAAAATTTTTAAGTTATTAAAAATATATAAAGAAATACATCTTATTAATAAAACCATTAAAGAGTTTTCTATGATTATGAACTTGATGTAATTGATATTGAAATTCTGATTATGAATTTGAAATCAAAATGTGACTGAAAAACGGAAAATCTCTAGTTTGAAATGAGGGTTGAAATTGTTTAGTTTTTAAAAATAATTGTAGACATTATTTTTAAACAAATATTTTTTAAACATAAGTTAAAAAAATATTTAATAATTATATGTTTTAAAACTATTTCAAACAAAAATAACACAAATTTTTTTAAATATTTAAAAAATTTAAAATTACGTGATTTAATATAATATTATTATAAAAATGTTGATATTTATTAAGCAAAATAAAAAATATCTTTTTATTCATTTTAATTTTTTAAACAAAAATAGATTGTAAAGATTATTTTAATAAATTTATTACGAAATATTCTTTTTAGTTTTTAGAAACTATAAAACTAAAAATTGTTTTTAAAAACAAAAATGAACAACTCTTCACATATTCATGAAATCAATAATAGATTTTAATTAATACCAATTACTGTTATCGAAGTTAAAACAATTTACCATCAATGTGAACTCAATTATAAAAATGTGTTAATTTTTGGAATTTTAAGAAAAAAATAATATAAAAAATACATGTAAAAAATGGTTGTAATATATGAAAATTTAATGTGAAAAATTAAATATTAAAATGAAAACAAAATAATGGATATTAAAAATGGATGGATGATATACTTAGAAATAATAATGAGAATAATTATTATAAGATCAATATTATAGTAAAATTAAAGATTATGAGAATTTAAAATTAATTATAAAATGAACTTACAAATAACTTCAAAATATTTTATCAATAAAATATAATTAAAAATCATATAAAAACATCACAGAAACATTATTATTTCAATTATTTTATATTGATATATTACTCTAATAGTATTTGATAAAAAAATTATATTTAGTAAATTAGTTTAATAACTTTATGCTACTAAATATCAGTTATTAACTAATTTTTCAATTTTTAATAAAATCTTCGTTTACTTTGTTAGATATAATCAATTTCAAGGGAATAAAATTTGTTGGAATTTTTGTGGAATAAAAAAATCTGTAAAAATTAGTCTTTAAATAACAAAATTATATTCCTTAAAATTATATTTTTATCATGAATCATTGTAATGCAACACAAATAATCTAATAATGAATAACATTTTTCGAATAACATATATTGTTTTTATATCATAGTACGTTTATATCTTATTTATTTCAAAATACATCTATTATAATTATATATATATATATATATATATATATATATATATATCTATTTAAATTTGTATTTAATTATACAAATATTAAAATTAATATATCATATTTATTTTAATTTCATATAATGAAATTATTGTGTTTGATAGACTCAGTTAACCAATCTTCATTTATAGTTTTATAAATAAATTATTAAAATAAATCTATCAGTTATTATAACCTATATTTTAGATGTACGTATTAATTTATATTTTTTTTATCTTAACTAAAAAATACAATTACAAAAAATGATAGAATTGCGAATTTATATTCTAATTTTCAACTAAATGATAGAATTGGATGAGGAAATTAAGTGCTTGATATCAGTATTATAAGTTATAAATATACAAAATTAAGTGGATGAATTAATAAAATAAAAAATTATTAATTTTTATTATGCAACAATATATTTAATGATTTTGATACTAAATCATAAATAATGAATACATTTTATTTATGCATAAAAACACTAAATAACCAAAAAAATTGAAACATTACAATTAATAAGAAGATATTATTATAATCACTCAAATACATTAAATAAAAACAAAATAATAATCATGTCAAATTACACAAATGCAATATATTTTATAACGATTTAATATCCTAAAAATAGTAACGGCCATATATTTTGAATTATTTCACAAGATAAACTATTCCCTTAACGCAGGAACAAGAGAGATACGACCTTAGAAGCATGTATAAAAGCTAATTCTGTTCCTAACTTCCTTCCTCTTTCTTAGTTCTCTATTCCCAGGGGTGAAAAAAGGGAAGAAAAAAGGAGAATGATATCTCCGAATTAAATAAACTAGGATTCATTTATATTATTTTTTAATACATTTTGATTTCCATTGAAAAACACACTCGCAATTCCTTCTTGTCTTTTGGTTTTCGTTTCGAGTATCAGTATTTTTTGTGAAAGAAGTGAATGGCAGCAGCGATGACTTCACCGATCACACAGTCTGTGACTGCGACAGCATCTCCGACAATAGCATTGGGCGGAGAACCATTTGCGAATGCCTCGCTATACGTGGGCGATCTCGACGGAAATGTAAACGAGGAGCAACTCTATGATCTATTCAGTCAGGTAGCACAGGTTGTTTCAATTAGGGTTTGCAGGGATCAGACCAAGCGATCCTCTCTTGGTTACGCCTATGTCAATTTTGCTAACGCTCAGGACGGTTCGTTTTATTCTAAACTTTTATTTATTTATTTTTCCTTTTTATGATAAATTAACTCTCTTTATAGTTTTTTTTAATCATGATCTGTATTAATGGGAAACTGATTTGATTGCATCAAATCTAAGAATTCCGAAAGTTTAAAATGTAAGTTATTCATATATATATATATATATATATATATATATAATATTAAAAATTAATGTTGGATCTTTGTATCATATAAAAATAGACATACAAGATCATTGCATACACTAGAATTGGAGAGTCGATACTTTCTAGGATAGAAGAATCATATAAGAGCAAAGGATAGTATAGTTTTAATTATGTAAGAAGATTGGCTTGCTGCTGATAGATTGATGGAAGTTTTGACTTTTCAGAATTGAAATATCTGTGCTGTAATTTTTTTTCTCTTATTTGTTTTTTTTTATCCTGTGGTTGTCTAACTTTTTGACAATTTTATCACAGCATCCAATGCAATGGATATTTTGAACTTCACTCACGTTAATGGAAAACCGATACGAATTATGTTTTCTCAACGTGATCCAAGCATTCGGAAAAGTGGATATGGCAATGTGTTCATCAAGAACCTGGATACATCAATTGATAACAAAGCACTACATGACACTTTTGCTGCTTTTGGCACTGTACTTTCTTGTAAACTAGCTACTGATAGTGTTAGTGGCCAATCAAAAGGTTATGGTTTTGTTCAGTTTGATAATGAAGAGACTGCCCAGAATGCAATCAAACAGTTGAATGGCATGTTGATAAATGATAAACAAGTTTACGTTGGATTCTTTGTTAGGCGTCAGGCACGGACAAATGGGTCACCTAAATTTACTAATGTATATGTGAAAAATTTATCTGAAACATTCACTGATGAGGATCTCACTAAACTATTTGGTTCCTACGGAACAATAACTAGTGCAACCATCATGAAAGATGTAAATGGAAAATCAAGATGTTTTGGATTTGTAAATTTTCAGAATCCAGATTCAGCTGCTGCCGCAGTCGAAAGTCTAAATGGAAGTACTACAAATGATAAGATTTTATATGTGGCTAGAGCTCAGAAGAAAGCAGAGAGAGAGGCTGAATTAAAAGCTAAAATAGAACAGGAAAGGATGATTAGATATGAAAAATTACAAGGAGCAAATTTATATTTAAAGAATCTTGATGACAACTTGACTACAGAAAAGTTGAAAGATCTTTTTTCGGAATTTGGGGCCATAACATCTTGTAAGGTATGACATTTTGTGTGTTTATTTTTTTGTTTGGTATGTCAGTTTGTATGTATTGTTTCTTGAGAGGTACATTGGCAAACAAAACTGTATTTTTGTTTTCACTCTTGTTTAATTTTGTTCGCTCTTATTTGAATGGTCATATTGAATGTATTAGGTGACGGTTGATTCACATGGACATAGCAAAGGGTCTGGTTTTGTCGCTTTTTCTACTCCTGAGGAAGCTAGTAACGCAGTAAGTCATAATTTTGTATGGTTTAAAAAGTATTGCTGTGACTACGTTTTATCTTTTCTTATTTCATCAATGTTTTTTCATTAATGTGTTTCATTCAGTTGAATGAAATGAATGGCAAATTGATTGGACGAAAACCTCTTTACGTTGCTGTGGCCCAGCGTAAAGAAGAGAGGAAAGCCCATTTGCAGGTGATTTTTTTCTCTAATCTCATTGATAATTATTCCTACTTCTGTATAATTTAATTCCTAAATATTTCTTTATCAACTAAATGACATTTACTTATCTGGTTTTTTTCTTTGCTTATGTGTATTTACTTATCTGGATTTTTTATTTGCGTTTTTCGAAATATACATGTGTGCTGTGCTTTATATGATGTGGGCGGTTTATTTGTTGTGTTAATGATGATGTTTTTATTGATTATTTGAATTTTACTGGATTGGTATATTATGCTATATCAATAAATTAAACTAAGCTAACTAAGCTAAACTGATTAACTGTTCTTTCTAAATATTGAAGGCTCATTTCGCTCAACTCCGATCAACGGGCGGGATGGCAATGCCGTCTGGTATCCCTGTATATCATCCAGGGACACCAAGACTTCCTCATCAACAATTATATTTTGGTCAAGGCACGCCTGGCTTCATTCCTTCCCAGCCTACTGGATATTCGTTCCAACCTCAAATTTTGTCTGGAATGCGTCCTGCTTTTGCACCCAATTTCATTAATCCTTATCATCCTCTTCAAAGACAGGTCCAGTCTGGATATAGGACAGGAGTTCGACGAAATGGAAACCTTCAACAGGTGCAACAGAACCAGAATCAGGTAACTCTAATTTTAGGTTTTCAACTAAATAGTTTTAATCCACAATCTAAAGTTTTTAAGTTGTCAATGTTTCTAATTTTTCAAAACAGATGCTAAATCGTAATTCCAACCAAGGATATCGATACATGTCAAATGGTCGGAATATTCCAAATATGCATATGCATTTTGATGGTTCTGGAATAGCAACACCTAATAATATTCAACATGCTGGAACATTGTCTACTACACTTGCATCAGCTCTTGCATCTGCCACTCCAGAAAATCAGCGCATGGTATGTGTAAACTGATATATTTATGCATAAATAAAGAATCTCCATAATAATTTCTTTTCTGACATTCTGGTATATGAGAATTTGCCTTTTTTGGGTAAGTTGTTTTTGTTACCCCTTTTTCTATTGCTGTGGAAAACGTAAAATTAATTTTGTTGAAAGTCCACATCGCCTTCCTCATGTCATTTGGTATGATTTAAATACATGTTAGGCTACTCCACATATTGCCAATTGGTTTTATGTTGGAACTTTAACATGGTATCAGAGCCAAAGCCTAACATCTTTCCGATTATTGTCATGGATCAAAAGTTGCCCTTTAGTTGAGTCAAAAGTACCCTTTGCCTGGTCCGGCAGGTTTTGTTGGAGTGGGTGTGTTGAAAGTTCCACATTGCCTACCTCATGTCATTTGGTATGATTTAAATACATGTTAGGCTACTCTACATATTGCCAATTGGTTTTATATTGGAACTTTAACAAAATAAACGAAATTTGAATTAAATAGCGGCTCTTCTGCGTTATTATCATTCTTTTAATCTTTTTACGGTTGTTTTTGTTTCAAATTGTTTCTTAATTGTCACTGTATTTCTTTCAATATGTTTGTAATAATTTATTGATGAACATCCAATTCTGTTCTTATTTTCCCTCAAAAGTGGTAAAACGTATGTATGAAAATAATATATTTCATATGCCCCACTTTCACTGTATAATTCAGTGGTCATTTCTTGAGGATTAAATTGCATTTTACAAATTTTCTGTTTGCCTTCAAGGAATAAGGTTACCATTGACATGTTATTTACTTTATAATTACAATTATATATAGTAACACATTAAATTCATAATAATTATTGAGAGATGTAATGTTTGATACGAATGGCTTAACTTTAACAGATGTTGGGTGAACATCTGTATCCTTTGGTGGAGCGACTCACGACAAACCAATACACAGCGAAGGTTACTGGAATGTTATTAGAAATGGACCAGTCAGAAGTAATCAATCTCATTGAATCCCCGGAAGATTTAAAAGCAAAAGTTTCGGAAGCCATCAAAGTATTGAATGAGGCCGTACCTGTCATCATCGCTGAATGAATTGAAACATTCTCAAATAATAAGTAGACATTTTCACCCATATCATATGGATTGAAGAATTCGTTTTGGTAGACTTTTTAGCAGTTTTGAATCAGTATTTTCATTATTATATTTGATTTAAGACTGAGTTTGCAGTGAGTATTTTTGTTTTATTAGACAATTGAATTGTGGTTTTGGTAGACACATCCTTTTCTCTTTTAATTTCTCAATTCATTTATTTATTTTCTCTGTTTGCGTTCTAATTGGGAAATCCAACTAAGATGGATCCTGTGGTGTATAGTCTGCTACTATACTGTTTAGCTTTCCTAATTGTACACACTTTAGTTTAAGTGTTAAAGTTGACATTCATTTTTGAATGCATTTATATAAACGTGTGTTTGTTTTCTGTGTTTTATAAAATAATATGGTTTGAGTTTAAATTCCAAGATTTACCATTACTAATTTCTTATTTTAAAAATAGATAAAGAAATATGCATACAAATGCATAACCTTATCTTTATCAATCATGTTCTAATTTGAGTTGTATATGTAACGTGTGTTTTAATTCAAATAAAAACACATATATACAAAATAATATGATTTTATCAAAATATTTATCCAAACTCATCATCTATGTAAACATTAACATTATGCATGATCCAATATCATTGTTCATCACGAGGTGACAGACTTTGACATGCCTCCATCTTGTCTAATGTATAACCGTCTGAAATGAACAGTAAAAAAATATATTTAAAAATTTCTTTGTAATAAATTTAAAAAAAATGGACTTATTTGATTTAATTTTGTTTTTAAATTTTTACAAATAATTTTGAAGATTAATTTTAAAAATATGTTTTTGAAAATAAGTTAAAAATAATTTAATAATTTTATTATTATTTTGAATAATAAAAAGTTGTGATGAAAGTTAAAAAATGATTTTGATAATTTTATAATAATAAAAATGAATAATTTAATATAATTATTGGATAAGATATATTTTATCAGTTTTAATTTTTTTTTAATTCAAAAATAAAAATAATGTTCAAAAACAATTTTAATAAAATAATGATCAATTTTTTAATTTAAAAATTAAAAATTTTAAAAACTATTTTTAAAGATAATAAACAAAAAAATAGACTTATTTTATCATATGAATTAAACAGATTCAATATATAAATTACATAATCGCATATATATATATATATATATATATATATATATATATATATTTATTTAAGATTATATAATAATATATAAATATATCTTTAAATAATCTTATACGTTCAATTATTTTAATATAATTTGAAGTAAAATTATATTTCAAAATATTTAAATAATACGACTTAATGGGTTTAAGTTAAATATACTAAATTGTTTTTCTAAAATGTAATACAATACTCAAATTTCAAAAAAAAATAAAAAAGTAAATAGACTAAATTTATAAGTCAACAAAAAAACAAAGTAATACTCAGTATTTTAATAAAATATAATAATAATAATAATAATAATAATAATAATAATAATAATAATAATAATAATAATAATAATAGGAAATAAAGTATTAAAAAAACATAGAAAAGGATATCTTTACATTTAATCAGAACTGCTACATAATCGAAAAAGCCCTTGTGCTGGTGGTGGGTGATTAGTTGCAGCGCAAAGCATCCCATAAACCCTTTATTCTATTGACCATGTCCATGCATTCCCACATTGAGAGAATTCTGTGGAGCGAGGGCCAAATTTCTCGCCGAGTCTCCGAGCTCGCCGCCAAAGTTTCCGCCGACTTTGCAGGTTCTTCACCAGCCCCCATAGTCGTCGGTGTGGCCACTGGTGCCTTCCTCTTCGTGGCAGATCTTGTTCGCAAGATCGATTTCTCCATACCCGTTGATTTCATTCGAGCTGAATCCTACGGCTCCAGAACTGAGTCGAATGGCGCACCAATCATTTCCTTCGATTTGAAGGTCGACATCAACGCTCGTCACGTCATCTTGGTATTCCCCTCTTTTCCTCCGCTCAACACACCAATGCCACTATTTTGCAATCGCGAAACTGTTTTCAAATTGCTGAGATGAAATTTATACATCTTTTTTTCAAATGAAAGTAATTAATTAATTCTCCTTTCTCAATTGCATCTGTCCTTTTTCTGAATTACTTATTTTTGGATTTCTATTTCTATTTTGTGACTTCTGTTGATAGTGTCTTTTTTTCGTGGAATTCTGTATGAAAGCCCTATGTTATTTTTTATATAGTTACGGCATTATTGGAAGAATTTCTCCATAAATTACGCAGACAAAAAAGAAAAGATAAGAAGAAAAAGATGATTTTTACTTTTTATTTTTACGTTATGAAATTTATTTATGTAGAAATTAAAAAAAAAATAGTTGCTAAATCATATACGGATTGTTATCCATGTTTTAATCAATAGCATTAAATTGATAATTAGGTTGAAGACATTGTAGATACTGGTCATACCTTGTCTAGAGTCATTAAGCACTTGAAATCAAAAGGAGCATCCTCTGTTTCTGTGTGCACTTTCCTTGATAAACCTTCAAGGAGAAAGGTGGATGTTCAGTTGGTGGGTGAAGGAAAATTCTACCGTGGATTTGAGGTATGATGCATGTTTTGGGTTATTACAAGTCTGGATATTTTTATGCATACCAATACATGCCAATGAGCTTATTACATATCTTAGAGGTGTTGAACTTAAACAACAAGTTAAAAAGTTATTGTTAAAACTGTGGTCAAAACTTTATTTTAAATTGTGAAAAAGAAATTTTTATCTATGTTTCAAGAAATTTATCCAAAAGTTTCCTTTTCTTTCCCTTCATTTACTTGGTAGGATAGAAACCTTGTTCTGGTATGAGTGGCCAGTAATGATTATTTTTATTTTCAATTTTTATGCTGTAGCTATTTATTTATTCCCTAGATAATTTTTAGCAAGAGTATGGATAGTATTGTTGTAAGGTTTTTTTATTTTTTTCTAAACTCGTTATATATAACACGTTTTTTATATTTTTTTATTATTAATATTGAAATTATGTTATATTGCACGTAATTTTTTTATTATCTTTTTATGTTTTTAATTTAATTAAAAAATAGTTTAAAATGCAATATTTTTCATATTTACCATATTTAAGATTATGAATTTATAATTAAAATATAAATAAATTTTGTTATATATTTTATCATTTAATATTCTATGGTATATTTTAATTGAAGAATAAAAATAAATAATATATAAATAATACAAATAATAATACTTATTGAAAGTTAAATATATATTACAATGTCATTGTTTATGTACGACAAAAAATAAATTTTCGATTTATTTGGATTTGATCGATTTATTTTATTGCGAATATTTGTTGTGATAAGCCTCTTGATTGTTTACGTCACCTATAATTAGGTCCGAAGTAAAATTTGGGTTAGTATAAAAAAATCAATAATCTTTGGTCTGTTATACATGATATTAATGTTCATTTGTTTTGTAAATTTTGTCTAACTTATATTTTATATCAATATATGAATCAATTTGCAAATGACGCGTGAGTATGGTAGAATGAGAGATTGAATTCTCCGCAACCATATCATTACTTATTCAATATGATATTCAATATGATGGAATACCTTTATGCTCATTTATCATGGTGTGAATTTGATAACTCTTAGATTTCAAACTCCTCATTTTCTCTATTATATCTTTAGACATGATACATATTGGTTCGTTATTGGCCTTTTTTTGAGCAAGATAACAAATGTTGGTTCGTAACATTGCCCTTACTTTCATGATACATTCGTTTAACCAAGATTTTATTCATTTATATGTGGTTTTGACTAGGTAACATATTGGTAAAGGTTGTGCTTCTTTTAAAATAGAGTTCACCCACCCTACCAGATTGGCAACTATATGCTCATAACATTTTCCTCTATCATATGCATGTGTCTATTTTTCTAATGGAATTTGATCCAATCAATAAGTAATTTGTTGAAACTTGAACCTCAAAACATATAATTTAGTTGGAAGTCTTGGTTCTTTCATTTCATATTGTGAAAAAGAAAAAGTACCCAAAAGTGAATAAGTATGAAAATTAATGACAAAAAAAAAAGTATAAGTTAAAACATATCATCTATGTTAATTACTTATCTTTTCAACTTAACATGGTTGAATTTCTTGTTGAAATTTAAAACTATATGTCGAATGCAATAGACGGTCTAGTACGTGTCTCACTCAAATTCTTAAAAGATGTAATATTACTAATATTGTTGTTCCTCACTTGTTTCAACAATTGTAAGAACTAAATCAAAAAAGTGTCATTTATCTCTTCTTCAACTATTGCAAATGCTAATGAAGATAAATTTTGATTTTCATCTTATGTAATAATTATTAATAAATAAATTTTTGTTTTTCTATCCATGTTTTTCTGTAGGTAATTGAATAACCATGGTGACTTTTAAGTTTTGCAATCAAAGTTTTTTATAGATAAAAAACATTTCCTTTGACAAATTCATAAATAATTCATGTTTTATGTTTCGTTTCCTTTTTCTGTGAAAACTTTGATTGTAAAACTTAAAAGTCATCGTACTAATTACGAAAAAAGCTTGGATAAGGAAGCCAAAAGCATTTGTTATAGATTTTGGCAACTGGGATTAATCCTATTACCATTTTCCTAGATGGTTTTAAGTTGTTAAAGAAATAAACCTCATTACAATTGTCTAATAATAGATCCTTGTTTTATAGATAGAGTCTAAGATATATTATTATGTTACATTCTTCAACGAGGTTTTTGGTTCTTTTAAGTTATGTATGGAAAGATTCAATTATTACATCAAAAGTTATTAGAACATCTCTAAATGGAGTTCTTAATAAGAGTTGTTTAAGAATAAAAAAGAATATTTTATTATAGATTCTACATTTAAGTTGCTTAAAAGTGGAGAAAGTTGCTTATATAAACAACTCTTGACCATGTTTTAAGTAATTCCTCTGTGCGACTCATAATAAAATATTCAATTTTATTCATAAGAAACTCTTGTTAAGAACTCTATTTGGATATGCTCTTAACATTTGTAATAGTTGAATGCGAGATAAATGATAATTTGATTCGATTCTTCCAATTATTTTAATATGTTACACCTAAACAAAATTTGTTTATCATGACATATAGTTTTCATGACATATAGAGTAACAGCTATATTAGAAACATTATTTTTAAAGAAGTCGGGTGAGTATATCACATTCAACATATAGTTTCAAACTTCATTAAGAAATTCAACAATGTCATGTCGAAAAGACAAGTAATTATCATAAGTATAATAAGTATCAAAGACAAGAAACTTCATTAACAATGTATCCCGTAGATGAGCTACATTTTGGTTGGATCAAATTCCATAAAATAACTGGACTCAAACATATAATGAAGGAAAAAGATATGAGCATATAATTTATTTAGTAGATGAACTTTGTTTTAAAAGGAACACATGTCTTATCAATGTGTTCTAGTCAAAACCACATTTGAAAGAATAAAATCATGATTTGTTGAACTTGACATGAAAATAGAGACCATGTAATGCATGAGTATCCAAATCAACACGTGTTATGTTCAAAGATATAATAAAGAAAATTGTGAATTTGGTGTGATTTTGTAGAGTTTCAATATTTCCGACTCCCTTACTCACATATTGTTGTTAAGTATTCTCTACATCATTTGTTGATTAGTATATATGTTGATGCAATATACAAGTTAGACATGATTTATAAAATTTTGAAAGCTTCAATTTCTTCTAATACAAAATGTAATACAAAATGAAGATGATTAGTCTAAATTCTTTTTTGGACTTAATTATACGACGTGAAGAATTAGGAAGATTTATCATAACATACATTTATAACGAAATAGAGTAAACCAAATCCAAATAATTTGAAAAAATATTTATTTTGTCGAATGAGTTATAATTGTACGAATGATCCATATAGACAATATCAATAATATTATAATATATATTCTAGTTTTGATCCTTTATTATTTTTATTCTTTGCTCAAAATAAAACATAAAATATTAAAAGATATAACAAAATTTAATTATAAATTTATAATATGATAAATAGAAAAATATAGGATATTTTAATTAAATTAAAACCATAAAAACGTAAAACAAAAATAAATGACTGAAGTGATAAATAGTACGATTTTCTTAATAAGAAGTCATGTTATCATCAAGACTTATCCAAATCTATAATTTTTAAAATTTTACCTATTTTGATAAAATAAAATAAAAGTTACACCTGATAAAAAAACGATATCTAGTTAATCTGTTTACATCTGCTTTTTATGCAGTGCCCAGACTACTTTGTTGTAGGTTATGGAATGGATTTTGCCGAACATTACAGAAATTTGCCTTATATTGGTATTTTGAAGCCTGAACATTACAAGTAATCTTATATCTCTTGGTCAGTATTTGTCACACATGGAACCTTAAAGAGTGTTGAACATGGGTACACTTGATTCACGGAAAAAACCGACACTAGAAGAAACGAGTCTGCTGAATGGTGTCCATATTTATTTATCACAAAATAAATTGTTTCAGAGCTTTACAGGATCATTTTCAAAATTATCTTATTTAAGAAACCTGACAGTGTACGTGAACCAAGAATTAAGAGATAACAATGTTAAATTTAGTAAAAAGATTTTTTCATACAATCAAAGACTCTCTGATGCTTCCAAAACTAGTATTGTCTTTTATTCTTCTTATTGGTAAAAAAATTTCATTTTACTTTTTTTTTAATTATTATTTAAATGCGTGATGTGCCTCAGAGGAAGCATATATAGGTATAAAATGTTTTCCTTCGCTTATATTCAAGAGAAAAAGAGAGTGCAATTTATAAGTTTTAAACTACAGGACTCGTTTCCAAAATTATTTGTGGTCAACTTGAATGTGGTTATGATTTTCATAAACAACATAATTTAAAACAGAGAATGAAATATGGTTTTTGCATTCATTGCCTTTATCTATCGAGTCAAATCTTAATTCATTGAATTGTTAGAACTTAAACTTGTAACATTTCGCCATTTTGATTTGTTATTTATTTTGTATAATGTCTCCTAAGAGTGAATTATCTATTGAATGATCTATATAGCTAACCACTTAGCAAGAAAAGATACTGTTTTTGTTTTCTAAGATTGTGTGGTATATTAGATCCAATCACATTGCATTGCCCTTTTAAATTTTATCCTTTATCTACTTTGGTCAACTACTATTTCTGATAAACATCCATCATGTACTTTGGACTAATTTAATTGTCTGATGAATTCTGCTACAGCTAATAACCCTTAAGTTTTGGTATGAACATGCTTATATTATATATACTAGCCCAGATTTCCCCACTTAATAATTGAAAGACCAAACCAAACAATTATCATAAATTGGGTTTTAAAATTCTCTAATACTCCTCTATAGTATTAGGACCAAAGGTGGTTATATTAAGGTAACTTCATTCTGCAGAATTGTAACAACCTGCACCCCACCTAAGCCTTAGGACCAAAGGTGGTTGATGGAAGCCCTAGCTCCAAACAACTTTAATACAATTAGCTGCTCTTAAAGGACAACTTTCTCATTGATTTTCAGTTTTTCACTTATCTACTCCTATCATTACTGCATTATAAGCATCAAAAGGGACTCACAAGTCACGTTTTCTCTGTCTAATTATTCATTCCCTTCCAAACTGTCTGTCACAAACCTCTTCTTTCTAGCTTTTCCACCCCACTGTGTCAACCACATCTCGTTATAAAACCAATATCCAATTTACGTTTAAGTTTTTCTAACAAAGTCAAAGTGATTTTTATTCCATTAGATTCAGCAACCATCACGAATTTGATGTTCTATCTACACCTCAAATTACTACACGGCATTGACTACCATAAACAATGAGAGAGGTGAGGGTGGTGTCTATTAGAAATTTAGTGTTACTAGTTGGTTCACATGGGACACAGTGTTGCAGGTAGCATCAATTGTCCTGTGACGAAGGTCAGGTGGGCCGAGTCACAATTGAATCGTGGCGCTTGAGTCGTTAAAGTAAAAAGAGTTGCGCTCGACTAATGGCTATAGCTTTTGGCCTAGTGGTAAGCGCTCGATCCTAACAATTGGTATCAAGAGCCAATTTTCTTAGTATGCTCGTGGTTGCGGCTTTGTCCGATCTTCCACATCGAAAAGATTTGGTCTTTTTTCTTGGGAATCTCGGCTTAGAGAAGCAGTGGGAGCTTTCTTCGAAAGCGGTGAGAGCAATGGCATTGGAAGAAGGAAAGGTGAGGATCGAGAAGTTCGATGGCGGTGACTTCGGGTTCGGAAGATGCGAGATGGAAGATTATATGTATCGAAGAAGTTGTATCTACCCTTGACAGGCGTGAAGCCAACCGACATGGAGCGATCGGAATGGAAGTTGTTAGATCGGCAGACGCTTGGTGTGATCCGGTCGACATTAGCCAAGAATGTTGCGTTCAACATCATGAACGAAAAGACAACCGTAGATTTGATGCGAGCGTTGTCAAATATGTATGAGAAGCCCTCTGCAGACCAATAAAGTGCATTTGATTCGCAGGCTAGTCAACCTCAAAATGGGTGAAGGTAACTCGGTTACTAATCATATTAGTGAATTTAATGCAATTATTGCGCAGTTGACATCGGTGCGAGATAATATTTGATGATGAGGTGAAAGCATTAATTTTATTATCATCTCTACCGGAAAGTTGGGGTGCAAGCTATTGCTATGAGTAAGTAATTACGCAAGCAATAACAAGTTGAAGCTTGATAACATCCGTGACTTGATCTTAAGCGAAGATGTTCGCGAGAAAAATTCGATAGAATCTTTCGGTTCTAATTCGAGTTCGAGCATTGAGTACGAAACTAGAGGAAGAAGTCGCCGAAAGGTCGTAATCAAGGCCGAGGCGAGATCAAAATCCGAGAGGAGATCACAAGCAAAAGTCCAGAATGATATCACTTGTTGGAATTGTCGAGAAAAAGGGCCACTTTTCAAATCGAGTGTAGGGCTCCAAAGAAGGACAACAACAACAACAAGAAGCAAGATGATGATCAATCAGCAAATGCGAGCAATCGATGAAGTTGAAGATGCACTCGTTATGTAGTTTAGATAATTCTATTGACTCATGGATTATGGACTCGAGTGCGTCATTTCATACTACACCTTCCTTAGAACTATTATCTAACTATGTTTCGGAAAGTTTGGGAAGGTCTACCTTGCGAGATGGAAAATCTCTTGATATCATAGGAAGAGGTGATATTAACATCGGAACCTCTAATGGAAACGTGTGGACTTTGAATAATGTCGGACATATTCCAACCTTAAAGAGAAACTTAATATCTATAGGGCAGTTGGATGATGAGGGACATTACACCACTTTTGGAGATGGACATTGGAAGGTAATGAAAGGTAATCTTGTTGTTGCTCGTGGAAAGAAGCAAGGATCTCTCACATGATTGCGAGATGAGGATACAATATCGGTTGCGAAGTTGGCAACAATTCCTCCTTATGGCATCGAGGCTTGGGCATATGAGTGAGAAAGGAATGAAGCTCATGATATCAAAAGGTAAAATACCTAACGTGAAGCATGTTGACGTTGGACCTTGCGAACATTGTATCTTTGGAAAGCGAAAAAGGTTAGCTTCTCAAAAACAAGTAAGTCGTCTAAAGTTGAAAGACTAGAACTAGTGCATACGAGATGTTTGGGGCCGGCTTCAGTGAAATCCCTTGGAGGTTCACAATATTATGTAACCTTCATTGATGACTCTACAAGAAAGGTATGGGTTTATTTTCTTAAAAATAAATCGATGTGTTTTCTGTGTTTAAAAGGTGGAAAAAGGAGGTTGAGACTCAAACAGGTTTAAAGGTCAAATGTTTGAAGTCCGATAATGGTGGAGAATATGACGAGTAGTCAATTCAAGGAGTTTTGTTCGAGAGAATGGGATCGGAATGATCAAGACAGTTCCAGGAACACCGGAACAAAACGGTGTGGCGAAAGAATGAACGAGAACCTTGAATGAGAGAGCAAGATGTATGAGAATCCGATCGGGATTACCCAAGGTATTTTGGGCGAGATGCAATAAACACAACGACCTATCTCATAAACGAGAGGACCATCAGTTCCTTTAGACTATAAGTTACACGAAGAAGTATGGTCCGGAAAAGAGGTAAATCTTTCACATCCGAAAGTTTTTGGTTGTGCTTCATATGTTATGTTAGACTCTAATAGTAGAGATAAATTGGACCCTAAGGCAAAACGTTGTTATTTCATTGGTTATGGATCCGACATGTTTGGCTATAGGTTTTGGGATGACCAAAACAAGAAAATTATCGAAGTAGAAATGTTACTTTTAATGAAAACATGTTCTATAGAGACGAGATTGCGAGAATCCGCAAATGTAAATAAACAACTAGAGCAAGTATCATTAGAAGAAATTTCAGAAAGTGATGTAGTCAACCGAAGGCGGAATATACAAGTAGAGCCTATGTCGAGCTCGAGACGGAACCCGAACAAATAGTAGAGTCGGCAACTCCCGAAATCTTGGTTAGAAGATCTAGCAGAACAATTGTAGCACCACAAAGGTATTCCCCTTCATTGCATTATTTGTTGTTGATCGATCTTTGGTGAGCCGAGCATTTTGTCGAGGCTATGCGGGGAGATGAATCTATTAAGTGGGAGCTAGCAATGGAAGATGAGATAAAGTCCCTTCGGAAGAATAAAACATGGTCTTTAACCAAGCTACCGAAGGAAAGAAAGTTTTGCAAAACAGGTGGGTCTATAGGTTGAAAGAAGAACCGGATGGCGACAAAAGATATAAGGCTAGACTCGTAGTGAAAGGGTTCCAACAAAGACAAGGAATTGACTTCACGGAAATTTTCTCTCCTGTTGTCAAGATGACTACCATCGAGTTATCTTGAGTATAGTAAGCTACGAGAAAATCTTCATTTGGAGCGGTTAGATGTCAAAAGCGCATTCTTACATGGGGATCTTGAAGAGGAAATTTTTATGACACGACCAAAAGGTTTTGAAGTACAAGGCGGAGAAAATCTTGTATGCAAGCTTCATAAAAGTTTGTACGGATTAAAACAAGCGCCGAGACAATGGTACAAGAAGTTTAATGAGTTTATGAGAAACTCGGGATTTCGCGAGATGTGAAGAAGATCACTGTTGTTATGTGAAGAAATATGTTGATAGCTATATCATTCTTGCCTTATATGTTGACGACATGTTGATTGTTGGAGCTAATATGGCGGAAATTGACAAGTTGAAGAAACAATTGTCGGAGAGCTTTGAAATGAAGGATCTTGGTCCAGCCAAGCAAATTCTTGGTATGAGAATCTCCCGAGATAGAGATAAAGGTATTTTGAACTTATCTCAAGAAAAATATATAGAAAAATTGCTTAGCAGATTCAATATTGGGAATGCTAAAACCAGGAATACACCTTTGGGAACTCACTTAAAGTTTTCAAAGAGGCAATCTTCTCAAACAGAAGAAGAAGAAAGTCACATGTCTAAAGTGCCATATGCATCTGCAGTAGGAAGCTTGATGTATGCTATGGTTTGCACCGGACCAGGACATAGCACATGCGAGTGGGAGTTGTGAGCATATTTCTATCAAATCCCGGAAAGGAGCATTGGGAAGGAGTGAAGTGGATATTCGAGATATTTGAAAGGCACTTCAAAGATGCATTTGTCTTTCAAGAGAAGTAATCTCATTTTACAGGGGTTTTCGATGCGAGACTTGGGAGGTGATCTTGACGGTAGAAAGAGCACAACAGGTTATATTTTTACATTGGGTGGTACAGCTATCGGTTGGAAGTCTAAACTTCAAGGAAGGGTCTCTCTCTCAACCATCGAAGCGAGTATGTAGCTATCTCGGAAGCGGCGAAGGAGATGATATGGTTGAAGAACCTTCTAAAAGAATTAGGAAGAGAACAAGATGGTTCTCCGTTGTTTAGTGACGAGTCAAAGTGCTATTTGTCTTGCTAAAAATCCAATCCTTCATTCCGAGATGTAAGCACATTGAATTGAAGTATCATTTTATCGAAACCCGATAAATGATGGAGACTTGAGTTTGTTGAAGATTCCAGGTGCGAGAGAATCCCGCGATATGTTGACCAAGATCGTTACAACAACTAAGTTGAGGCTTTGCATTGCCTCAGCCGGCCTTCGAGCAAATTGATGATGAAGGCACTACACTAGGTGGTAACGTAAATCAAACTCCAAGTGGGAGAATTGTTAGTATTATGGTGCTTGATTTAGTCCCACATCGATTAGGATTGTGAGATGAGGTTCTCTATTTTGTTATATAAGCAACCCTATGTAAAGTTTGAGATACACACAGAAATAAAAATTACTTCCTAGTGTAGTCGTGGACGTAGGCATACATATTTTAGCCGAACCACGTTAAAATTCTTGTGTCGTTTATTTTTCTCTCCTTCATTCTTTCTTTTATTATTGTCTTGTTCCTAACAATTGGTATCAGAGTCAAGGTCACGAGTTCGATTCCTGGTGGGCAATTGTTGAGGGGAGATTGTTGCAGGTTGCACAATTGTCCCGTGGCGGAGGCCGGGTGGGCCAAGTCACAATCCAAGAGTGGGATACCTTGTAGGACAATTGCTGAGGGGGAGATTGTTGCAGGTAGCATCAATTGTCCTGTGACGAAGGTCAGGTGGGCCGAGTCACAATTGAATCATGGCGCTTGGGCTGTTAAAGTAAAAAGAGTTGCGCTCTGACTAATGGCTATAGCTTTTGGCCTAGTGGTAAGCGCTCGATCCTAACACACAGTTCATCCACTGATTATGTGCTAATCTTGACCAATGTGATATATAATTGCAATGCATTTCAGTGCAGGCTAGTTACAGAGAAAAATAGTGAAAAAGAAGTTACCGCATTTAAACATTTCCTTTATAGGTAATGCACACCATACGTATCTTATGATGGTAATATTTTTTTCCGTTTTTTCCATCACTAATTTTTACTCGAGTATAATGTATATAAACACAGCTTAATTATTTACTATAGAGAAAATATATACACGCTTTCCTCTGCGAGGGACTAGGGCTCTTCTTAATCGGCAAATGCTTAGTTGTTGAATTATATTATATTATCCAACAGGGCCAAAATCAATTTTATAAGGGAGAAATAATGTGCACGTTTCATTCATTTTTGTTACAATTATTGATTACTGATGTAAAAAGATAATGTTTGAAACCGACATTGATCAGTTGTTAAAGCCAATGCCATCGAACAAAGATAAATTTTTATCTATAATTGGCAAATGCTTATTGCCATTTACGCTTCTCATGCAAAAATTACGCGGCAACTTGACCTTCTGGTGTATTGACAACATGACATGTGAATCTCATCATTGGTTGAGAAAATTCTTAAAGAAAGAGAAAGAAGAGAAAAGGGCAGTAACTGGTGAACCAAAGTTGGTGACGAAATTATCCCCTTCCTCTTCTCATTCTCTGTGTCCTTCTCCCATCACTCGTGGCGCAACATATTCGACCAAATTAATTAGTGTACAAGTGAATAATTATGGATACACCTTTTTTTGCAGCAAAGTAAGCCAAATTTGGATTACCCTTTATCATAAACTGCCAAGAGCCTATGTTCGAAATGTGGTGGAAAAGAAAAATAGTGTTAATAATATCTTCATCCGTAAGCAAAAGAGTATGATGCAAAGCTTGCAATGAGTGTCATCAAGAACTTGAACAAAAATAATGACTACTCAAAATATTCAGAATGGATAAAAGATAAAGAGAGAAGGTGAGCGTTTTGGAGCTATCTTTTGGTCAAGATAGACAACTCAGAGAAGGGCAACTAGGAAGGAATGCTGATTTAAATGTTGATTAGTTATTGGAGATTTGAATGGAGCTCGATTCTGGCCATGTGAAGGAAAACATATAAGAGTTTACAAAAAGTTCCACAAGGCCAGCTTGGGACTCTTAATTTAAAGCATTAAAGTCAAAATGAAACCAATTGATATTTTGAATTCTCTCATGACACCTCCTCTTTAACGTCTCATTCTCACTATAAATATTTCATGCAGCTTTCCTCAATACTCGACCATAACACCAAACCTCTTCCCTCCTCTCTCTCTCTCTCTCTCTCTCTCTCTCTCTCTCCACTTCCAAGAACAATATCTATCTAAGCACAAGCATTGGGCAGAAGTGGAAAGCTTTTTCCTTCTAAACATGACTGGTAGGGGCACCGACCCCAAAAGGGGTCGTCTTTGGCCACAGATGACCATGGCATTGGCCATTGCTTTGATTTCTACTAGTGTGGTTTCTGTTAATGCTGACAGTTACCCTTACTATTCAACACCACCACCACCATCCCCTTCATCATCACCACCTCCACCATCTTATGAGCACAAGACTCCACCTTCTGAATACAAGTCATCACCTCCACCTTCACCATCACCTCCACTTCCTTACGTGTACAAGTCTCCCCCACATCCACCATATGAGCACAAGGCTCCACCTTATGTCTACAATTCACCACCTCCTCCATCACCCTCACCACCACCTCCTTATGTGTATAAGTCACCACCTCCTCCTTCCCCATCACCCCCACCTCCCTACTATTACAAGTCACCTCCACCACCCTCCCCCTCATCTCCTCCTCCATACTATTACAAGTCTCCTCCACCACTCTCCCCTTCACCACCTCCTCCATACTATTACAAATCTCCCCCACCACCCTCCCCCTCACCACCTCCTCCATACTATTACAAATCTCCTCCACCACCATATGAGCACAAGGATCCACCGTACTATTACAAGTCACCACCTCCTCCTTCCCCATCTCCTCCACCTCCCTACTATTACAAGTCTCCTCCACCGCCCTCTCCCTCACCTCCTCCTCCCTACTATTACAAGTCTCCTCCACCACCTTCTCCTTCACCTCCACCCCCATACTATTACAACTCCCCACCACCACCTTCGCCATCTCCTCCTCCACCCTACTATTACAAGTCTCCACCTCCACCTGAGAAGTCTCCAGCTCCAGCTCCCTATTTCTACAAATCTCCTCCACCACCATCCCCAACTCCTTATTACTACAAGTCACCTCCTCCACCACCCTACGAGTACAAATCTCCTCCGCCTCCATCTCCAATACCTCATCCACCTTACTACTACAAGTCTCCTCCTCCCCCTTCACCAACTCCTTACTACTACAGTTCTCCACCCCCACCTCCATACTATTATAACTCTCCTCCTCCACCAGTTGTGTATCCCCCACACCCTTACCCACATCATTACCCCCACTCATTGATTGTGAAGGTGGTAGGTACAGTTTACAGCTACAAGTGCTATGACTGGAAGCATACCGAGAAGTCTCATAACAAGGAACACCTCAAAGGTACATCATATATATAGCATCTTTTATCGTCTTTATATATGGTTATTTTGTAATAACATGTTAATCTTTTTGGGGGGCATGTAGGTGCCGTTGTGGAGGTCCAATGCAAAGCAGGGTGGAAAGTGATCAAGGCTTACGGTGAAACTAAGAGCAATGGAAAGTACAGTATCACAGTTAAGGATTTCGACTATGTCAAGTATGGACCCACAGCGTGTAAGGCCAAGCTTTATGCTCCACCTAAAGACTCGCCTTTCAACATACCTACTGAATTGAACGAAGGAACCAACTTGAAGGTGAAATCTAAGGACAAGTACGAAGTGGTGCTTAAGGCTGAGCCATTTGCTTATGCTTCAAAGAAGTATTTTAAAGACTGTGAAAAACCTTCACCAACACCTTACTACTATAAGTCACCCCCTCCTCCAACTCCCGTTTACTTATACAAGTCACCACCTCCACCTCCACCGTCACCTAAACCTAAACCTCCATACTACTACCAATCTCCACCCCCACCATCGCCCTCTCCTCCTCCACCATACTACTATAAATCTCCGCCACCGCCTTCACCATCCCCACCTCCTCCATACTACTATAAATCTCCTCCACTACCTTCACAATCCCCTCCTTCTCCATACTATTATAAGTCTCCCCCACCACCATCACCATCCCCACCTCCTCCATACTATTACAAATCACCACCCCCACCTTCACCATCCCCTCCTCCTCCATACTATTATAAGTCTCCCCCACTACCATCACCATCCCCACCTCCTCCATACTATTACAAATCACCACCCCCACCTTCACCATCCTCTCCTCCTCCATACTATTATAAATCTCCCCCACCACCTTCACCATCACCTCCACCTTACTATTATAAATCCCCACCTCCACCCAAAGAGCATTCATACCCTCCCTATTACTACAAATCCCCTCCACCTCCCTCTCCATCTTCACCACCTCCCTATTACTATAAATCACCTCCCCCACCATCTCCATCACCACCACCTCCTTACTATTACAAATCCCCTCCACCACCATCTCCATCACCACCACTTCCTTACTATTACAAATCCCCTCCACCACCTCCCTATTACTATAAATCACCTCCACTACCATCCCCATCACCACCACCTCCTTATTACTATCAAAGTCCTCCTCCACCATCTCCCACTCCTCATCCTCCCTACTACTACAAATCCCCTCCACCACCAACGCCTCACCCTCCTTCTCCTTACTATTACGTGAGTCCTCCACCACCTTCTCCTACCCCACCATACCATTACACATCACCACCTCCTCCCTCCCCAGCTCCGGCTCCCAAATACATTTACAAATCACCTCCTCCACCAGTAAAATCGCCTCCACCTCCAGTTTACATTTATGCTTCCCCACCTCCTCCTATCTACAAATAAGTTCCAAATGCGGAAGCACCACTCACTATAAATCATGTAAGTTTACGATCTTTACTTCCTTACATTCAAAAAGAAAAAAATATAATTTCCAGCACATGTATAAATTTTAGTAATCAAGAATTCTATATAATTTCTTTACAGATTCTTGTTTTCTTTGAGGAATAAAGACAATCTCCATTTGGAGTCAAGTGATCTATCTTCCTATTTAAGTTCTTTGAATAAAAGTCTGAAGGTTCTCTGCATTCAATACTTCTGATCCAGGCCCCATTGATTCTATTTGTTTGATGGCCATCTTGCACGTCCCAATCTTATTGTGTTCAAATGACTGACAAATCAAAACCAAGGAAGAGAAATTTTACATGTAAATGACAAGTGAAAAGTGTAGTATACTTTTACTGATCTCTTTAATTTATTTGTTCACTGATTAAACTGGCCATGTATGATTTCTTTCATTTATGCGGCATCTCTGTATTGTACCATGTCGATTTTGCAATAAGAGTATTATATTAGAAATAAAGTATCACATTCAGTTTTTGTTCAAAATGAATTCTCTTTCCAAGTGCTAGTATTTATAAGTTTATCAAAGTTTCAAATAGTATTTATCATCTTCTAAATAATTTGATATGAAAAAATAAATTGGTGATACAAATATTTAGTCCTTTTCAAATTAACTTGTAAACAAATAAAATATCGAACAATACCTAATCACAGTAGAAGTGAACTGCGCATTAACATTATCTATAACACTCCTGCATGACAAAGACAGACAGATACCTGAGACATCAAGCACAGGATCACAAGAAGAAACACTTCACTAAATGTCTATGTCGCCATATCAAGGTGAATAAATAATCTACCTTGTATTATTCATTCAATCAATTTTATATGAATGTATACTCTAAGGTTATATGAAAACACCTTTGCTTAAATTTGTTATTGAAGTTGTTCAACCATGATGAAGAAGATTAATCATTATTGGTGTGGCATGTTTTAAAAATTAGGTTAATAAATTAGGCTTTCCATAATTTAGAAACATCATTAAATTGGATTTTATTGGAATGTTAAACAGATTCCCAAGATTAATTTGTGTGATAATAAAATCAGCAAAAAAAGGATATAAATTTTATTTTTTATTTGTTTTTTGTGAGATATTGTTAAGAAATAAAATAGTTGCAACACTCTAATTGTCTATCAAATCAGACTTTTATTCAACCGTCAAGATAGTTATCGAAAGTTTGATAGTTTAATTAAAATTAAATCAGTATTTAAAAATATTTTAATAATAGTTTTATATGCTAATTAAAATAAAACATATATTTTTATAAGTCCTTAATGTTTAAATATAAAATTGGTAGTATATTTATTAATTTCAATAAAATTTTAAATATTTAACTCCTTTATTAATTGTCTTCTTTTAAAGAATAATCTTAGCAAAAGTATTTTTATTTTTATTGGATAAAAAAATAAAATTTAAAATGTAATAATATATATTAATATTTATATTATGAATGTGAATTGAAATTCCGTTCAACACTTTGTTGCTTGTCCTTGGAGTTCGAGGTTTAAGCGCCACTCTGTCTCTCTTTGTTGCCGCTGCAACTCCAACCTCAACTTTTGTTGTGACCAAAACTAGAATGAATCGCGGGAGGCTTTCCCTCTTCCACGCCTTCTTCAGAAACCGATACCCGTTTCGCCAATCCCCAATTGGTTACTTTACTCCACCGACCCACGGCGCCTCCACCTCAAAGTTCCACTCTTTTTCCTCCATCCCGAGCACCCACTACGCGATTCGTCATAGTCCAAGGAGTTTCAGTGGTGGGTTTGGCGAGTTAGACCACACCAAGGAGGTGGACACCATCAACCTTAAGTTTGCAGAGGCAAGGGAAGAGATAGAGATGGCGTTGGAGTCCAAAGACACCGTTTATTTCAACGAGGAAGCCGAATGTGCACGCACCGCCGTCAATGAGGTTTTGGGCATGTTCGAGGGGTTGTTGGCCAAGTTACCAGAGAAAGAAAGAGGGGCTTTGCAGAGGTCTATGGGTCTCAAGATTGAACAATTAAAGGCTGAACTTGCGCAATTGGATGAGTAAGGTTTTGGGATTTGATGGTTGAGACTTGTGCTCAACAATTTTTTAAGAATGTGTAGTTGATAAAATATTTTTAGGGTGTTTTATTGGCTGCAGTTTTGAATAATAAATGCATTGGAAACCAAACTAAACTCTTCATGACTTAGTTGCGAGGACTGATTATTGTAGTTCTTTTCATTTAAAGGGATGTTCATTTTGTTATACCAACTATTGGATTTGCTGATAGTTTGAGGAAACTAGTTTATTGAAGTGCTTATAAGATATTAGGAAACTGAAAGTAACAATCACTACTCTTATTTTAGTACTGTTATTTGCACCTATCTCATCCTATGCTAGATACTTGTTGTTCTGCTTATTTTAGCTGTGGGGTGAAAATTTGGATGCTCTGCCTCCAACTTATCAGATATCAGCATTTGATATTTGTCTTATCTTAATGTAGTTTTTTAACATTTTTTTAGAAAGTAGCACATTACTTAACACTAATAAATGGCCAAACATTTTTCAAGCCTAAAAAAGTCTTCACTTCCACTTGTAGCTGTTTAGTTCGTTGTCATATAACTGTTGCAATGTGATGATTACCAGATTAAAGTTACACAGACAGTGGGAGTGAACGAATTGTATTTGTATGCAGAAGTTGCTAGTCGGTTGCTATTCTTATAGCCTTATAGGCATAGCTTAACTCATAGACATCTTTGCACCCTTTATAATGTAAGGTTTAGTCTCGTAATATTATCATAAAGAAGACAAGTGTGACTAGCATGAAATCTTAATCTCACTTGAGTTGGTATTCCCTTGAGCAATAAAGTGAATAAACCACAGTGTTTAATACAGATAGATAGGCTTTATGGGAAAAAAAATTCTTGGCAATGCTAATTCAATTGACTTAATTATGGATAACAGGTGGTTGCCAACTTTTTCTTTTGTGTAATTTTCATGTGTTTGATGGCTAATAATATCATGAAAGCAAGATGTTTAGCAGGTTATAATTGTTAGTAGTGAGTGATATTGCTCTTGACAAGGCTTTGCGCTGCATTAGTAGCATTGCCAAATTTCATTTCGTGCAGTCTGCCACTGCTTGCAGTGTCGATAGCTCGAGTTCTCCATTCCTTCTTCCTCAATTACTTTTGTTTCTATTGCAAGACACATTCCTTGTGGAAAATTAATAAATAATATCCTAATTTGAAACTTTTTTTTTTAAATTATTTTTTACTTAGATTATCTGTTTGAGCGCAGTGTGTATAATATGTTTTTTGCTGGGAGACTTGAATGCTAATCCTAGGAGGTTATGGATATTTATGATCAACTTGAATAAAATTATGGTCTAAGTTTAAAAACAAGTACGTGTTCAATTTATATGAGAACCATATTTCACAATAGCTGCACTAGAAGAGCTCCTTTTGCTGCATGTGATCTATTCACCTTAAGTAACTATTATATAGGTCGAGTTTTAGGATTAAAATGAACCAGAAAATTCTCAATGTACAAAATTAATGCAAAAAAAAAATGTTTGTCTGATATGTTGTGCCTCAAAATACCTGGCCCGCACTGGAATGTGTAGGTTTCTCTAGTAGACTGCAACTTTGTTTAGCACGATGGATGAAGGTCATGCACCTGTAGAAACTTCAAAACTCAAGTTAGTAGAATTTCCAATAGAGTAACAATATTACAGGATGAGGAAGATACTGGTCTGTGATAGAGTTATAGTATTTATGAGTATTGGATTCACAGTAAGGTTGATCTCATTATTTTCTGGAGTTGTGTGATGCGACAAAGTTCAAGGTGATGCACATTGATGCTAGGTGCATTATTTTTAAGGAGTTTTATTTAGTACGGAAATCATAGGTATGAATTCACACCAATTTAAAAACAGACTAAGTACTGTTTTCTTACTATTTTAATTTGGTCCCTTTTTTTTGGTAAATTAATATAATTCTTTCTATCAATTTTGTCAAATTGTCTAAAACGATGTTACGTAATATTGACATCAACATCATCATAAGGTATATAATATATCAACGTATCAAACATATCATACGTGTATATATCAACATACATCATCTTAACGTTACATATCATTTTTTGTTAGAAAACTTAATTGATGAAAGGAATTACATAGATTCATTTCAAAAAAATTATTTAATATTAAAAATAATAATGGAACGAAATTGAAAAAAAAATAGAAAATAGTATAAGAAAAAAAATCTATTTAACCTTAAAATTGTCTTATCAAAATATTACATAATCGATCAGCTAGAAAACAAAACGAGAGAATTGAATCCAATAAATCAGACTAATTGGTGTTGTTTTTACATAAAGACGAATTATTGAGTGTTGATGTGAATGTTGTTAGTACATATCTCAACAATGTGAATCGCTTCTTGGAAACAATAAATTGAAACTTTGGAGTCTCACTCCCAAGGTTGGGGCTTTATGGAGACCCATTCAGACAGAAACCATTACTCCTGTTTTCTACAGTCACAAGTATGTTGGGTCTTACTTGATATATTTAGCAGATAATAATTAGCATAAAGCTAGAATACTAGGTCGTTCTATGATTAGTAGATTAGAGGAAAGCTTGCAGCAAAAAATGGAAAATATAAGAACCAATAACTTTGTTTCATTTAAATGATTATGAATTTGGTTGTGACTGAAATGAAAAGGTTAAAATATTGTTCTACAACTAAAGATATTTCTTCTGAACTACATTTAGGAGGAAATTTTCGGTAAGGATTGTCGAATCAGAAAATCAAGATAAGCTTTCTGTAATCATCACAGTTCCACAGATAGAGAAATAATCCCTTGTGTATGAGTTTATGATTAGCATGGCAAAAATTAGTTACAAGAAAACTGACAGACAGCCTCACGGACATGGATGAAAGCTTTTTAGCAGGAACTTGATTAATTTTCAACAATCACGCAGCACCAAATTCATGATCATATTACTTTAAAAACAAAATAGGTTATATTATTGATGACGAATACAATGGATAGTCAACCCTATACAGAATAATCCAAAGACACCAGCAGAGACACGATTTGAAACAACAGTGTTGTAGTATAAGAAAACAGAACATAAATTCTAAAATAACACCTTTTTTAATGTTGACAAAATTTGCTATCCTACAAAAATGATGGAGGTCCTCGGAGGGGATGAATGCAATGAAAGAATTAAGAAGGGAGATTGAGAGAGGAAACTGATGAGCATGACGATTCTGGCTTTTGACGAACATTTTCTGGCAAATCAAAGCGTAACGATAAGACATGGAAGGAGAGGGAAGCAAGACTTTTTTTCCTTTTGTCTCCTTACACGCTGCTATCTTGGCCCCACACCTAAACCTCTCCATAAGGCTACCCATCTGTAACGTAAGCCTATGACATTCTTAAAATTTAATGCTGCGTGTTCTAGAAATATTAACTAAAAAATTAATAAACAAGTTTTTGTTATAACTTATGATAAACAAAACATGTTAATGTTTCAGAATCCTGAAAGTATGATTTTCCAAAGTCAAAAAGGTTTCTAACAAGGCTTCTATGTTTCTGCTTCCTACTTGATGATATGATAACCATTCTAACTCCCAGATGTCTCAAGCCATTGAAATGAAGGCCTTTGGGTCTCGTGCATGATAAATATCAAGACTCCTCTTACATTCAGATATCTACTTACTCCACCATATAATTTTATTTTGCTAAAATCACTTCTAGTGTGAGCATCTAAATCTTTACAGGTATCAGTTGTTCACCAGCGTAGTACTTCATGAAAGAAAAGGAACCACTATAAACTCGTCATTTTGGAAATCTTGGATCTGTTCATAACATTAAATCTTACCTACTATAAAAACTTTATGATATCAGTTTTCTCTAAATTTAATTTAATAATAAGTAGTTGCCTTTTAAAATTGAGTAATAATTGAATGAAATTCAACGAATGTGATGGGGTTGATGTGTAAGCTTAAAAGAAACACAGTTTTTTCATGATTGAAGCATTAATTTTCTCTGCAGAAAAGCACGCGTATTGTCTATAGTCACTATTATTGTTCAAGGAAACTTCCGGGCTAATGGGCCATAAGGTTCTGAATTTTCCTATCAGGTCACCTCACCTTTCGGCTCTCTCTGGTCTCTTGTACCCTTTTGTTGATGTGAGAACTAAAATCGATAAAGAAATTATTTACGTAGAATCAGAATGAGATCTAAAATATTTCAAAATAAATAAATAGGTGTGTATTTAATTTTTTGGTGTAGGAGGAACCTTGGAAGTCACATGAACACGATTTAAGTGGAGCCCGATGAATTCAGTCAAGTTCCGAGTGCTTAATTTCTTTGTTTACAAGAACTTGAGACAGTGCATAATGGAAACAAAGACTACTCGCCACTTAAATAAAAGTACAACCTTGTTGTAGTTTCTAAGATTGTAAGCTTTAACTCTACAAGTTTCTCCTATAATTCTCAACTCCGGAAAAAATCATTCATTTTAGTTACTTTTTACTCAATTTTTTATTGTCGTCCTGCAACGAAAAATATCAAAGTGGATTTTACAAAATTAAAAAGATAGCAAGACAATTTTATAAAGCCAGCAACAAGAATATGGGTGTTTTACTCGATCTTTATTTTACTTAACATAAATCTGTATCTCTGTATCTTGGTTTTTAATTAAATTATATATATATATATATATATATATATATATATATATATATATATATTACTTTAGGTTCTTATTTATTGAAGAAGTCCTTCCTCCACCAGAATTTCGAGCAGAAAAAATGGTATTCAACAAGCATAGTTGGCATATTTTCTGTAGCATGTGAAGTCCACTCGGGCAACTATTTAGGCTCCAACAAATCATAATAACATGGATAAGAAACATGAAAAGATGGCATGAAAATCATAGTTATTCAGGAGCAAATGCGTAGAAACACAAACATTACTGTTTCACCATCGCATAATGTAAATAACTGACATCTGTATTTCTAAAACTGTACAACAATAGCCGTTTCAAGGAAACATTAGTTCCTATCTAGCTCCCTACTCTCGAATTTCCGCATTAGCAGCATCCTTGTTTCCATCTTGGAAGAGATGAAAAGCAACACTAACCTTATAAGTAAAAGGAATAAAGAAAAAATAAAGGGGTGCAATCAGCTTTGATTTGAGGACTGTTTTATTAGAGGTTGAGAGGTCTTGCCTATCTCTTCAGGTTGGCTCTTCACCTCCATCAGTAGTGCAACCACTTCCTTCATTGTGGGGCGCTCTGAAGGGGAAGAGTTCACACAAAACATAGCAATTCCAAGAGTTTGAAGCATCTCTTGCACCATTTGATCTGGTAGACCTTGCAGCTTCGTGTCTAGTATTGATGCAGCTGGTTCAAAGCTTCCCATCTTCCTCTTCACCCATTCCACTATGTGTTGGCCATCTCCAACATGGGTTTCAACAGCACTGCGACCACTTAATATCTCTAGCAAAACCACCCCATAACTATAGACATCACTCTTCTCTGTTATGTTCATGGAGTAGCCATATTCTGCGTTAGTGATAAAACATGGTTAGTATTTAAACTAATAGCACTAAATAACAAAATATGGATCTCCACACATTTCTGGGCTTGAACTGTATGTGTGCAGATTGTTTCTTCTTGGGATTTGGATGTCATATAACTAAAATAACAAATTAAGGATTTTGTCAATTATGTAAAAGATGTGAGAAAGGTTCAAAAATAGTAAAGAAGGATAAGTGGACTTGCCTGGGGCAATATAACCATAGGAACCAGCAACTCTGGACATTGCATGATGATAATTTGGTGAATGCATTAGTTTTGCAAGACCAAAATCTGCCAGATATGCCTCAAATTTGGAGTCTAGAAGTATGTTATTGCACTTGACATCTCTATGGAGGATTGCAGGGACACAATCATGATGAAGGTAAGCTAGACCTTGAGCTGATCCAACAGCAATCTTGTATCTTGTTTCCCAATCTAGGTTCCTGTTCCCTTGTAAAAGCTGTCGCAGATTACCATTTGGGATGTAGTTATAGAGAAGAAGATTAACACTCCTGTTAGAACAATAACCTATGAGCTTCACTATGTTCCTATGCCGAATGTATCCAAGAATCTGAATCTCTGCAGCAAAAGAATCCACTATTTCATCTGCTTTGCTTGCTTTCCAAAGCTTCTTTACTGCTATCAACTCTCCATTTGGCATTTCAGCCTTGTACACAACACCTGAGCAGCCCTTTCCAATCACATTTTCATCCTTCAAGCAATCCAAGATATTATCCATGCAGAAGTTTACTTTCTGAAATGGGATGAAAGTCCAAGGATAGGAGAAATCTTCAGCTCCTGATGTGGAACTTGATGCCCCCAATGTTTTTCCAACATTGTATCCATGATTACGAGTGACTATAATCCAGGATGCAATGAGAATTATGGTAACCGAGGCTAGAATGATTGAGATCAAAGCAATGGTTTTTGCAGATTTTAAACCATTTTTCTGAATCAGACTAGAAGAACACGTAGCCCCATCAATGGACTGACAAAGCCTAGGGTTCTGAATATATGAATTGGAAGATAGAGTTCTGAAGAATGGAGTAACTGGGATAGGACCTGAGAAGTTATTGTAGGAGATGTTGAGAGAGGTGAGGCTAGTGAGACACCCCAGAACCTTGATTCCTCCATAAAGCATGTTATGAGAAAGATCAAGTGATTGTAACTGTGTCAAAGAAGACACTGATTCTGGGATTTCTCCTGTAAAAGAATTGGAGCTCAAGTCCAAATTGATGGTTAAGCTTATAACATGACCAATCTCAGGGGGTATGCCACCAGAGAGGCTGTTGGAACTCAAATCCAGAAGAGTTAACTTCTGCAAATTTCTAATAGATTTTGGGATTGATCCTGTCAGTAAGTTATTATTGAGGATCAGCTTGTTCAAAAAGCTGAAGTTTCCGAAGCTCCAAGGAATTTCACCTGTCAAACTGTTTCTGCTAAGATCAAGCTGCTCCAAATTTTCAAGCTCCCCAATCACAGGTGGAATTTCCCCAGTGAGGTAGTTGTTGTGCACATCTAACAGCTCAAGAACTGTGATATTAGCAATCTCCATTGGTATGCTTCCAGAGAAATTATTCATGTACAAGTCGAGGAACACCAGATTCTGCAATTGACCTATCTCTTTAGGAATCTCCCCAGAAAGCTGGTTCTCTCCAACCCTTAGCCTCACCAAAGACTGGCAATTTGCAACTCTTGCTGGCAATCTTCCTGTTAATGAATTGCCCAGAAGCAAAAGTTTACTCAGCTTCTTCAAGCTGAAAATCTCTTCTGGTATAGAACCTGTTAACTTGTTCCTTGAAAGATCAAGTGCGTAGAGTTCTGTGCAGTTTCCAAAAGACGGTGGTATGGTTCCAGACACTAAATTACCCCATAAGAAAAAGCTCTGTAGAACCTTTAATTTGCCTAACTCCATGGGAATAGTACCTGATAACTGATTCTTGTCGAGCTGAACAGTGGAAAGGCTGGTAGAGTTGCTCAACTGCCATGGTATTCTACCTGAGAGTGAATTGTCTGATAGATGAAGCTGTTCCAGAACCACCAGCTTCCCAAAGTCCCCCGGTATTTCACCAGAGAGGTCATTAGAAGAGACATCAAATATAACAAGTGATGAACAGTTGGAAAGCTCTGCTGGGATTGGACCAGTTAAGGCATTGCCCCAAAGCAGCAAGCTAGTAAGTTTTTGCAACTTGCTCAATTGAGCAGGGAGAGAACCAGTGAGCTTATTCATGTGCAGGTACAGATTTCTCAGCTCAGAACAAAACCCAAGTTCTGGTGGTATTGAACCAGAAATTTCAGTATCATAAAGTGCTAGAGTTTGTAGATTGATCAAGTTACCAAATGTAGAGGGAATGGAACCAGAAAGTCCCGTGGCAGCTGCACCAAAAGTGGTGAGGTTGGTGAGTAGGCCTAACTGTGAAGGGATTTGTCCATTGAGATATGGATTGCCCCCTATCCGAAACTGCTGTAGAGATGTCAAAGAGCCTAACTGTGATGGTATTGAGCCGTTGAGAAGATTGTCTTGGAGGCAGAGAACTTCAAGCAAAGTGAGATTAGCAAGATGTTGAGGAATGCTTCCTGTCAATCTGTTGGAGTTCAAGAAAAGGAATTGAAGTAAAGAGAGGCTTCCAAGTTCAACAGGTATGGAACCAGTGAGAGAGTTTGAGGAGAGGTCAAGCAGCTGAAGATGGGACAGTTGACCAAAAGAGGGCGGGATGGAGCCAGAGACATTGGTGGACGAGAGATTGAGAAGTTGCAGCATTGATAAAGAGGAAAGCTGAGGAGGTAAATAGGAGAGGTTGAGAAAAGTATCTGGAATAGAGAGGGAAATTACTCTACCTTGTGGGGAGCATGTGATGCCTTTCCATGAACATGGTGTTGAGCTTGATGGGTTCCATGAGGAGAGAACAGGTGATGATTTTGCAGCAGGACCTGCTGCAGGCAGAAGAGAAAGAAGGGCTTGTCCATCAGGTGAGAGACAAGTGACTCCTATCTTTGTCAGGGTGAGGCAGAATAATAGGAAGGAAAATATCAAAGTGGAAACACTACGGGGAACAATGTTTTCCATTTGGACTGTGAAAATGGCTTGGTTTTGGAGGTTAAGAACTTAGTCTAATGGAGTGTTGGTTATAGGGTCACCACGTCAGTCTTCCAGCAGTTGAATAACGGTGATTGGTGAAGCTGAAGCTGACAAAGTCCACTCTAGGAGACCAAGTGCATGTGAAAGAGGGTCTCTGTTGCTTAAGTTTCACACTAACGTTTTCAATACTAGCATGTGAAACAAAAGAGACTGTATCATCATTATCTGTAGGAAGATTGAACAGCTGAGATAGACAGTGAAGAATGCAAGCTATTTCCCTCTTACCAAAAAAAATGAAAGTGGCTCTACTCTTGCTACTACCAAATGGTAGAATCAAAGCTAGGCTCGTGATGGTGCTTATTGTTTACTATGCTGCTGTTCCAGCACTTCTGATGTTATGCAAATGGTGAAGGGAATGGTGGTATTGCCATCTAAGTTCTGGCACTTGCAGTGCATGCACCGTTGTTGGTTTCCATGATTCGCGTGACTGCTTGCAGGTAATGATAACAAAGCAGAAAACCTCAACGGTGGTAGTGCGGTGGCTGAGCTTTTCTGAGTTCAATGCACTTTGGAAACCTCCCCTCTCAATATCTATCTCATTTACATTTAAATAGTAGTTAGTCTACTTTTAATTTCACTATTTTGGCTGTATTCGTTGTTGTGTACATGTACCAAATTGACCCTCCATTATGTAGAATATGTAGTTTGGGAATTGGGACAATGTCGGCAGTTTACAGAAAAACAAGTTGTTCTCTTATCACTCACTGACACTTCCTTACCCTTTCATTATCTTAGGGAGGAGTGGGGCTTCCCTGTTTGTTCTTGTACCTGCTGTAGTGACTGGCTTATCAAACAGACCAAAATTCTCAAGCCATTGATGAATTCTGTAACTACATAACCTGTAAATTTGACTAATTTAATTCATAAAATTGCATGCCAAATATCTATTAAATGTAACTTAGATACACACAACTTAAAATTAAATCTGTATCAATGAATTTAGGCAGAGATGGAAATGAAGTATTTTCTGATGAACAACATATGTATTATTAATCTTAAAATAATTAGAGGGACAAACTGTGAGGCTTGTGACTATGAGAGCAATCCTTGGTGTAAATATCAGTCCTCACAAGTGATGCCTAAAAGGACAAAATGGCCTAGGTAGACCTGCATGGATTTATCAAGGTCCTATATGAAATGCAAAACAGTACTTGCATCAATGTGACAAAATTAGGCATTGTGGATAAGTTCCCTCTATCACAATCCTGCTGGTAAGGGCTCCAATTGGGACAATGCAAGAGATTCAGAGCTGTGTGTTTGTGTGCAAATGTGTCCATGGCGTTGGCATGGCACACACAGTAAGATTGCCTTCTTGGGAACAGAAAGAGCACTTTGATGATGATATAAAGAGTGAGGCAACTTGGGAGATTGTGAAAGGTTAAAAGATTAGAGTAAGCAAAACAATTTCAATGTCTTTTTCTTTGCATAAACCAAGCATCATTAAACGTGGCCTTGGTTTTAAGCAAGTAATACATGATATTTTAAAAGGACATGGAGGGTAAGGTAGCGTCGTTATAGAGGAATTCCTACGTGGGAGGGGTGAAATTGGTAGTGTAAATTTTGTAAGTTTTACTTTGTTTGTTTATACTTTTTTAACCGTGAGTGATTGATTATTGTTTTGAAGATTGAATTAAGAAAGGGTAGAGTGATTTGGTTACCGAGGAGGAGGAGGTGGGTTTGTTTTGGGAGTGGGGCAAAAGAAAATTGTATCTCACATGACAGAGAGGGGGGTTTGGAATAAATTAGGGCACAGGTAACGATTAGGGTTTTTATTAAGCTTTAGGTTTTGACTGTTTTCTTACACATTTCAGCTGCACGAGGCTTGTCTCTCATAAATGTCACAAAATTTTAGAATTCGGAACCTTTTGGAATGGTAACAATGATATTCTCAGATTAATATGGCAAATTCATGTTAATTTTCACTTGTGTGTTGTTTGGCAGAGATGAAAATAAGTAGGTAAAAATAAGTTGATATGAGAAATAAAGTGAAAATCAATATTTTTTTTTTTATGAAGAGAATCGGAGAAGATATGATATGCGTTCACAAAACGTAGAGATGTGAACGTGAGTCATGGTGGTGAATTCATTCTATTTTACTACATGTTTGAATTAGGTTAAAGTAGTAAAGTTAATTCATAAGGATATGCCTTACTTAAATTCTATTTCAGACTGATTTAATTTCTTTAAGTTTTAAAATTAAAAAAAAAAGTGTCAGTTTATAGTTACAGTTTTTTTTCTTTTCTAGTTTTGAAAAGTTGTTGTAGTTTTACTTTAAAAAATTGTTAAAATAAAGAAACAATTCTTTCAGGAATTTATTTTTTATCCATATTAAATCATAATTTTTTATTTATTTTAAACAATGGGTACAAGAGGCATCATCATCATTAATTAATTAATGTTATTATAAATATTATTTTATTAATATGGCGTTACCATCTTTACTAATTAATTAAAAAAATTAAACATATTGATTTTTGAATTAAAAAAATAAAAATCTAAAAATACTATAAACTATTTGTAAGCTTATAATTAAAGATGGTCCTTAACTACCCTAAATTACTAGATTGAGATTGAATTGATGAACTGAAGTGTATGTGTTTTTTTTATATATATTGTACTTGCCGGAATAATAGAAAATCAAGTAATAATTAAGCATTAATATAATCTTTTTTTTCATCTCATCGTTACCTGTTTCCTTATAACATCATAGTCACATATTAGTCTTATACATTAGAAACTCATACATGTAATGTAAAGGTAGTTGAAGCAGCCTTTTGCATTTCTTAAGGTAAAAGTATATCATTGACTCAATTGTGTGTGTGGATTGGTCTCACGTAGCTTGCAAAATGATAAAGTTATCATTCGTGAAAAAATGTTAGTGTGCCCCTCATGTAGCGTGTAATGTAAACCAAAATCTTCATATTTTACGTATATCATAATTGCATCCCATACACAATCGAACTAAATATACATATAATTACGTCTTCTTTTCCCCCTTTTGGGGCTACGCCAATTTAAATAACCATGATCAAATACAATAAATAATTTGACCCTCCAAGTTTACTTTAATGCGCCGCTACATGTACTTAAGTATGAATACCAAATATAGTTTCAATTTCACAAAACAATATTCTATTCGAATTGCATTATGATTAATAATGGTGTACATACTTACTCTTGTCTGACAAATTTTTATTTATTGAGTTACGTGGCATATCCCGATAGGACATGGTGAATCCATTAAGATAAGAAGCTGGACTCAAAAGCAACCATCAAAGACAAACCTAGGCTTCTACACTCTACAGTGAACTATAGAGGGAACATGAATCTATTATTTTATGAGCTTTGTATTTAAAATTCGATACTTTGTTTTAGCGTACAAGTTCAAATTTTTTATCCATTCAAGTATACGATAAACCTTTTTACACATAAATGTAATAGACTAACATTACATAAAAACCCTAACTAGAGAATGGATAGTGGGGTATATCTTATGGGGTTCCCTTCTTTTCTGGGGTCCTAGCTACTTCATACATTTATTAAGAGTCAAAATAAACAACAAAGAATTTCGGCATATATGTGCTGTGTAGCCCCTCCTACATGTTTATGAGCATGTATATATTATAATCAAGTTAAGTTCATAGAGCCACAAACCCTATGATGATGTATAGGATGTGAATATATGATCACTTTAAGATTCTTTTAGGATCAATTTTCCTATTAATGAATTATTTTATGTATATCTTGTTGGCCTTTTAAACATGGAGATAATTGTGTTGTTATTCTTAATACAAAAAGTAAATAAATTATAAATGAGAAGGAAAAGGGAAATGGACTTAAGCCACAGTTCCTTAATTATAGTGGTGCGGCTAATGGCAGGTGAAACAGAATACCAGTGTCGTGTTGCAAAGACTTTTCAGTTTTTTAACTTTTGGGTTTCATCTAATTAGGAATAGTTTAGTGGTGATTGAAGAGGACATGAAGTGATTAAAAGATTATAACTAATGTTAGTATTATTAAAGAGGAACTTTGAGTAATTTTGTCAAAGTATATATTTAAAATGAAAACATTACGATGGAATCTGATCAAACACTGTTTAGCGTTTTTCTCAATATAAATAATTTTTAAAAATTAAAGATTTTTTTTTCATATAGGTTAGCTCAACAATTCTGATAGATATTTTGAAAACACGTGTCGCCGTAGCAAAGAAATTAGTATTTATTTTCCCAAAAACAACACAAGTGCTTTCATTGCTTTTGCACATAACTACCATGTTTAATGAGTTCTTTCCATTGGAACTTGTGTTTATTGAAACATGTTGGGTTCTTAATTTCTATCCTATTAATATCAAGATTAATGTTATCTTTTTTTAGTGCTATTACTTTGAAATTTTTATTCTCTACTTTTTAGTTTGACGTTTTAAAACGAGCTCTCTCTTTTCTTTTTCCAAAATTTAACAAGTGTTATCCTTGTTTTCGTTTTGTATATCACTACGTACATATTATTTATGCATATCTTGTTTTGTTAACTTATTTTTTATACTAATTATTTAATGCTTCACATTAAGATTATTTATCTTTCTATTATTACTTAAAGCTTGAAAATAATAAATCATTTTAATTATATATAGAATTTATTTTTTGAAAAATGGAAGTAATCCGTGAGCAGGCTTATACTGAAAAAAAAAAAAAACTTAAAGAGGTGGGGGGAGACGTGTAAAGCTTTAAAGATAAAAAGTTTACAGCGTCATTCTTTGGGGACAGACGAGACGAGGAGAGAATTCTCAACATACTTTGTTTGTTAGTGTTGAGAGGAGAAAAAAATATATCTGGACTCAATGTTTTGGATTGGGGCATAAAAACAAACATCTTTGGACTTTACTATTTTCATCCCGTTTGTGTTAAGTTCACCTATCACCTCTTTTATTACTTTTGTGACAAAAATTTTAATAATAACATCAAGAACTTCAGATACACTGATACTCTATTCATTTTTTTTCCCTCTGAAACCTCACAATTTTATTATGTTGTGACATTCACATTTACTGCTCCAAATATTTGATAGGAGCAAAATAAAATTATTAAATAAATTATATTAAAGCTAAATGTAACCAATGTCATGAATTACAACATAATGGTATGTTTGAATAAGATATTTTATAATTTTAAATATAAATATGTATATATTTAATTTCAAATTCTTTTATTTGAAATTATTTGTTTGAATTAATAATTTAAATTTATTAAGTTTTATTTTTTTAAGAGTATTTTAATTACCATTAAATATAAAAATATTCTTATTATATTTATAATTCAGGTTTAAGTTATTTAATTCATATCGACCTCTATTAATTTAGACTAAAACGAACTACGGTAAAATAAATTATGTCAAGATCAAGATAAATTAAACCAGTAAAATAAAGCTTGATAAAGACTAATAGTATTAGGTAAAAGAAAAAAAGATTTAGTCTAGTCGAATTAAAATAAGTTGTGACGAGTGAAATTAAATTACGATGAATCAAATCATGTTAAATTGATATAAGTTAAAATGAGTCACGTTGTAACTAAATATGACAAATAAAGATAATATAAAATAGACAAGCTAAGATAATATGTGTCAATTTATGATAAAAAAACTCCTTCAATGTAAAAGAAGCGTAATGGAAAAATTTCCTTGAGATGGGATGTGATGAAATTCCACAACAATTAAAAATATGATAATATTATAATATATACTGAATACAATTTTTATTATATTAAATTGATTTTTTAAAATTAACTTAAATACCCTAATTTATAATAAATTAGGAAAAGTCAAATCAATAAGTTAAGTCATATTTACTTTAGATAATTTAATCATATATAGTTAAAAATATTGAATCAGATTAAAACAAATTAAGTTAAGATAAATTTAAACAAATCAATATAAGTTAGTTTAAATAAATACATAATATACTAGATAAATATATTTTATTAATTTTAACTAAATCATTATGGGTATATTAGGATATATTTATAAGAGTTAAACTGATTGATTTAGTTAAAATAAATTGAAATGAGTTGTAAATATATTAATAAGTTGAAAAAAATATAAAATTGAGATAAGAAAATTTGTAAATTCTTACCATAATTTAAAGTTATTTTATTTTAAATAATCAAAGATGAATTTTTAAAGTTTAAATTATTTACCATTGTAAGAATAATTTGAAATTATTTATTAAGAGATTATTTATGTTTTTATTCATGGAAAAAATATTATGTCTTTACATTTTGAACAACACAATATTAAAAAATAAAAAACTGATATAAAATAAATTGGTGGTTATTTTGTAAATATTTTTAAAACCAAGAGTTAATTTTGCTTGTTAGTATTTATAAAAATTGAGACAAATGCTAGAAAAACTCAAAGAAAAGATTTTTTTTTCCTCATATCTATACATACTGAAATTTTCCATTCCGATCATGTTTTTGGTTTTCACTAACATGAGAAGAGACCATGATATTTTTTTTAATTATGATTAATATTTTGTAATAACCTAATTTATTTTATATCTAAACTCATATTTTTAGAAATCAAATCTATTTAGTTAAAAAATTCAAATCACCATCACTTATGTCAACTAGTTAAACCACTTTTTTTATTTCATAAAAAAAATGTTTGAAAATTTAATTGTGCTTCTATTTTCCTTTTGCAAAATATGTTATTTTTAGAAATAAAAGTCAACTATTTTTATTTAGATCAGGAATAAGACAATGTTCTTTTTATGAAAACTAAGATATTGCTATTAAAAGGAGATAATAAAACAAAGGAGAACAGAGAGCTTACGTTTTAGTTGTAAATAAATAGTCAGCAACAACTGTAAAGCAATATCAAAATATGTGAACAAATTTTAATTTTTTAAATAAAATAAATAACAACAAAAGTATAAATAGAATAAAATGAAAATACCAATATATTAATCCTAGAATAAAAAAATAACAGTATGTAAGACGTGTCCAGATAAAAATAGTTTCTATCTTCTGCATTATAAAAAATATATATTTTTCTCAAATATAAATAAGTTATAGCTATTTTTATAAATATTGAATGAAAACAACTGATTTTTAATCAACTTTTTGTTACACCATTTTAATAATTTTTTTACAAAAATATTATAGAAAAATATTAAAATATTATTAAAATTTAATGTAATAAATATTTTTTACATGTAAAATTAGTTATTTTCGAATTATAAATAAATGATATGTGATGAAGTTATAGCTAAACAAAACTTGATAATTTGCACATTACCTAAATTACCTTTTTCTAAAAGGTTTAAAATGAGGCTCACACACTCCATTTTCATTCACTAGCTAGAGCACACAAACCACACTATTGTCAAACCCTTCCTCACTTTCCAAACCCTAGCTGCAGCACCACACACCTTCTCTCTTTCTCCACAAGATGTCGAGCGCCGATCCCGAGCACCGAGAGGAGGAGGAGGCCCCCGCCGCTGGCGATGACGAGGACACCGGAGCTCACGTCGCTCCTATAGTCAAACTCGAGGAGGTTGCTGTCACTACCGGCGAGGAAGACGAAGATCCAATCCTAGATCTGTACGCCCTTTCCTTCTCTTAATTTTCTCTGTTTTAACTTTTCGATTCTGCGGTTTGTCCACTGATCGGTGCGGTATATGCTTGTTTATATCTTATCGCAGCAAATCAAAACTGTACCGTTTTGACAAGGACGGGAACCAGTGGAAGGAGCGAGGCGCGGGCACCGTGAAGTTCCTGAAGCACAAGGTTACCGGCAAGGTTAGGCTTCTCATGAGGCAATCCAAGACGCTCAAGATCTGTGCCAATCATCTCAGTACGTGCTCTTTTTTCTTCTTCCGATTTGCATCTGCTTTTTTCTGAATTTCGATTTTGAGGTTTAGTTTTTGTTTTGTTTGTTCTCGATTGTTACAGTTTTGCCTACGATGTCTGTGCAAGAGCACGCTGGGAACGAGAAATCCTGTGTTTGGCATGCTAGGGATTATGCTGATGGTGAACTTAAGGACGAACTTTTCTGCATCCGTTTTCCTTCTATTGAAAGTAAGTTGTGCGTTTTCAAGCTAAGATTTGATTGAAATTATTTTCGTTTAGTTTTGCTGCTGTTGTGTTTGATGTTTTTGTGGTTCTCCTGATTTAAACGAATTTTGTTATTAGATATTTTGCAATTTTACATATACAAGCCTTGAGTGATCTGTTATCAACGAGTTTCAATACATTGATTTGCAATTTTCTATTGGATGATAGATGCGGTGGTGCACAAAATAGATCTGTGAAAGTGTGAAGTTTATCATCTGTGTTTTGTATTGAGGACCAGTAGATTCTGTCTATGCTCATTATGTTCCCATTTTATTTTGAACTGAGAAGTGTTTTGCCCCAGTGGCTGTTGAACCATCATCATAAAGTTGCATTTGATTCATCCCTACTAAAGCATTTATGTAAAGTTTGTATAAAGTCTTCTGATGAGTTCAGGGTTTTGTGATCTAAAAATTATAATTAGGTATCTTGTCTACCCAACTGTATTGTGAGTGTTTGTTTGCAATATTTCGTAGAATATTTTACCAGAATCCCTGATGTTGATGTAGACTCTGAGTAAGTTGCTGTGACCTGACTAGCTTTATTATGTGTCACTAATATTCTCATCATATGCCCATTTTTATATCTGCTCTCTTGGCTAGAGTTTTTTTTTTTTTTTCTTTTTTTGATAAAACACCCATGTTGTGCATTGTATTGAACTCTTGTTTTAGTGGAATTATCTGCGCATATTCCCAGTCTTGTTAAAATTCTGGTTCGGTGAGCAAAAATGATTTGGGTTCATTTTCTGGCCTTTACCGTTACATATTCATGTTTTTTATACATTTTTTATACGCTTCAGGCCCTAAACTATTATATGATATGGTTCTTACTTCCTAGTAGAAGCACTTATTCAATCTTTTCAATTTGTACTTGTGCAATGAATATCTGACCTGAGTTGAACTACGAGTCATAGAAAACTAATTTGATGTCTTTTGCCATGGCAAATTAAGTTTATGAAATTATTTGTCATATTGTCTTTCATAGCCTTGAATTTTAAGAAATTTAGTAAATCAGTAGAATTGGGTTGTGTTTTAATAGCTTAGATACGGAGCAATATATTTCAACTTGCCCTTGTGTCTTTGATTTTTAAAATTCATATAACGATTGATATCCCTTAAGATTGAGTTTTCTTGGATTTTGGGAGTGTCATCTATGATATGCATGGCTATAAACTTATAATTGGGTAACTCCCTTGTATGAATTTCTTTCAATCTTTTAATATTACGTGATATTTGGTTCTGAATATTTTCAAAAGACTTAAGATCACAATGACATGTAACAATCTATTTTGGACATTCACTGGCGTTCTATCCTGTGCTCTTTTTGGCCAAGGGATAGTTTTTTGTTTTGAACATCTTCTCCCGACATATATTCTTGTTGTGCTTGCAATGATTTTTAGTTGTCTTTTTTTTTTTTTAAACTATATTCTGTTTCGTTACACTGTTAGATTGCAAAAGCTTCATGGAAAAGTTCCAAGAAGTTGCTGAATCCCAGAAGACAGAGGATGAGACGGAATCATCTGCTGCGGCTGGTCTTATTGAGAAATTAAGTGTTGAAGAGAAGGCTGACAAGAAAGATGAGAAAACTGAGGAGAAAGAATCTGGAAAGGAAAGCAAGGCAGTTGAAGATCAGAAAGCTGAAGAGCCAACGTCCTCAGCTTGAGTATTTCTTATTCATGTTCTATACTTGGCAATCTGACAAGGTTAGGTGGTTGATGTTTTTGCCGCCCATATCTTGGAATATTCTCATACTTAATAGTTGCCGGATTGTGTCACTGAACTGAACTGTTTGTGTCCTCTTGAGTTCTTGTCAGCTGGCAAAGTTAGGGTTTGGTTTGAATTTTGAGGCTTGAATGGTTGAGCTTTCGGGGTCTGGGAGTCTATTGTTATTGTTATTTTCATTCTACATATGTATTTGTTGCGAGTAATGAGTCATGATCGTTGGGGAGGGTGCAGTCGAGAGAGTCAAAATTATAAACGAAGTTTTTTTGGTACAAATTGTTTGAATTTCACATTTTTTTCAGGAGTAAACTAAGACTTTTCTGGCCTGTTCCTGCTTTTAATAGTTTTTCTACGTTTAGAAACTAGTATTTTAGAACTGAACTCTATATAAGGGAAATATGGTGAAAATAGGCGCACTATCGGGATTAGAGTTTTTGGGTCATTATGATAAAGAAAAAAAAGTAATCGAATGAACAAAGTTCATGAAACTACTTTTATGAAGCACATGCGGATACCCCGACATCAACGAAAAGAAAAGTTGAATGGACGAATGTAACAAACTATATTTAGAAACCAAATACTAATCCTCCGAATTTATTAAAAAAAAAAATTATCTTCCAAAAATGCTTTCAAAAAGAACTTCGCATGTATAGCATGTTTGGATGTTGTCTTCCAAAATTTTTTTCACACCACGGCATAAGTTTTGTATTATATAGGGAAGCAGTTATATTAAGGTACAGGGATTATGTATAGTTTAGAATTATCTTATCCACACTATAAATTGGTATATACGTTTAACAAAGTTGTATTTTTATTTTAATTTTTGTACACGTCTCAAGCTTCACTCATGCCACAAGCTCATCGGTGGCAGACTGAAACCATCAACAAAAACTGCGGATTACAGATTCAAAGGCACGATGCTGTGCCTGATAAATGTGTGACACTGGATCTCTTCGTGAAGGCTTTTGAGAAATCACAGCTGCAGTGACGGAACCTAAAGGTCCAGATATCATTTTTACCTCCAGATGTTTTATACAGTAACGATGGATTGTAAGCGATTCCCTGTTAGATTTTGCTTCTTGTCGATACTCTTGATTATTCTGGTATTATATCTGTGAGTGCACATAGTTCAAGCTTTATTCAGGAGCTTCACATTTTTCGGATTAAGGGATGGAGATGGGGGATCCAACTTTTGCATACCACAAATTTCTCGAACACCCGTCTTGTAATTTAGAATGGTTTTTTCAGAATGTACATTTTACATTTTTGTGAAAGTCCATTCCAGAAAGTATGGGGTGTGTTTCAAGAAATTTATGCGGTACAAGAAGAAACACTCAAGGATGGGTGAATAGAAATATAACTTTTTTTTTAATATTTGAATTCAATTTGTTGGTGTATTTTTCGTTATATTTTTTTATTGATTTGGTGAATTGTTAGTTAGACATTTTATTTATTTATTTTAGATTATAAAATTAAATAATATGACTAATTTACATTTAACTATTGACCAATAATATATCAATTCTAATTAGCTTATTCAGTTTGTACAATAAATAGTAAATGTTATTATGTTGAAATTAAGTATTAAAATGAAAACACTTTCTAAGAAATTAAAAAGTTGGGAAATTTATAATTGTCATTTCTTTAGTATTAAAAATAAGAAAAAAATTATGTTTTCTATCTCTGCATCTTTTCGTTATAGAAAAATTTACGATAGACAAATGTGTATAACAAAAGTAAAAATAATACGTTGCATTTTTTTTATTATTGATAAGTTGATTGTACCTTTTTTCTTTTATTATATCTAATATGTCGCATAAAATTACTATAAAGTATAATATTTTTTCAAATATTTAATATCGTATACTTTTATATTATTTACACTCAAAATCCTTATTTGATTATAATAATTTCACGCAAGTAAAAAATATATATTCAATGTAGTATTTAGGGTTTAGATGTGAAAAAAAAATTTAATCACAAATATTTTAGAGACCACATTTTCAGTCTCTAATATATTAATAACAAAATAATGATCTTTAAAATTTGGAAGCTCATTTTTTTAACGATCGTATATTTAGTATAAAATATGTATGTAAATAAAATAGTTGGCCACGAACATATTGGACACTATGTTTTGGTTGCTGATTTTTAGGGAGTTGCATTTCTACTAATTAATGTCCAAAACAAAATAATTAGTGAAAAATATATTGGTGTTAAGTTTTGGTCATTAATTTTTAACAATCACATTTTTAGTTTTTAATATGTTCAAAACAAATTAGTTAGTAACGAAAATACTAATCAATAAGTTTTAGGTACAAATTTTTAGTGACCAAATTTCAATTTCTAATATGTTTAAAATAAAGTATTAGTGTTGAAAATATTGATCGCTAAGATTTATTTACTAATTTTTTAGTGTCCAAACTTTTAATCACTAATATGTTAATTAGCATTGATCGCTAGTTTTTTAATGATTGATTTTCATTTTTTAATATCTTTGAAAACATAATAATTAGTGTAAAATATATTACTTGTTAATTTCTTAGTGATCATATTTTAATCATAAATAAGTTCAAAATAGATTAGTTAGTGACAAATATAATAGTCCCAAAACTTTGGTCGGTAAAATTTAAGAACTAATTAATTACTCACATAAGTGAAGAATATATTAATCACTCATATTTTAATGACGGCAATTTTTGTTGCTAAGTTTTAGTTGCTAATTTTTAGTGACTGAATTTTAGTCATTAATATGTTATAACAATTAATGACAAATATAATGGTCACTAAGCTTTAGTCGCTTATTTCTTTTGTATTTTAATCTATGTTCAAAATAAAATAGTTATCTCACTATGTTTTGGTTTCTAATTTAGTAATAATATTTTTTGTCTCTTATATGTTCTACACAAAATAGTTTGCAACAAATATATTATTCTCTAAATTTTATTCAATTTAAGCGACATTTTTATTCATTGATATGTTCAAAACATAATTGTTAGAGAAATATATTTAGGTGTTAATATTTTAATAAATATATTTTTAATCACCAATATGTTTTAAAATAAATACTTATCAATATACATATTGATTATTAATAGTTTAGCTATTATATTTTTAGTCTCTAATATTTGAAAACAAATTAATTAATGAGAAACAAATTGATCTTTATCTTTTAAAGACTAATTTTGATCAATAATATGTTCAAAATAAGATAATTAGTTATGAATATATTAGTTCTTAAATTTTTATTATTAAATTTAATGACTTTATTTCCAGTTATATTAGTTCTTAAATTTTTATTATTAAATTTAATACGTTCAAAATTGACAACAAAGATATTGATATGTAAAGTTTGGTAGCTAATTTTTTTAGCTACTGTATTTTTAATCTCAAATATGTATCAAAACGAAATAAATAGTCGTGAATGTATTAATTGATAGTTTTTTAGGAAATGGATTTCTAGTAATTTATATATTCAAAATAAAATAGTTAGCGGTAAATAGATTGATTTCAAAGTTTTGGCTGATAAATTTTTAGCCATGTCTTTTTTAATATATCTAAATAAAAATAGTTTGTGATGAAATTAGTCGCTAAATTTTAGTTGTTAATTTTAACATAATTTCTTGTCACTAGTATGTTAAAATATCAATGATAAATATATTGGTCACTTATTTATTAGTGATTGTTATTAATATGTTAAAAAATTTGGTTGCTAATTATTTAGCATATGTATTTTTAATCTCTTATATGTCGAAAACAAAAATAGTTACCAATAAGTAAATTGATCACTCGTTATTTAGCTACCATATTTTAAATCTTTTATATGTTCAAAGCAAAATAGCTGGCGTTGAAAAAAATTTCGCTAAATTTTAGTTGATAATATTTTAGTGATCACATTTATAGTTATTAATATGTTCAAAACAACATAATTAGTAACAAACATATTAATATCTAATATTTTAGTGACTACATGTTTCTAATATATTAAAAAAAATATTTATCTATGTATGTATTTGTCATTAATATTTTAAAAGATAGTATTTTTTTCTCTTAAATGTAAAAATAAAATAGTTAACGAATGAACTAATTGACTATTAATTCAAATGCATTTCTAGTTACTAATATGTTCAAATAAAATTTGGAGATAAAACATTAATAACTAATTTTTTAATTACTGTATTTTTTAATCTCTAATATGTTCAAAACAAAAATAGTTAAGAACAAATATATTGGTCGCTAAGTTCATGTCGCTAACTTTTTAATGATAACATATCTAGTCACTATATATATTTTAAAAAAGTTAACGGGTTGTTAACTTTTAGTGAGTTGTATTTCAATTTCTAATATATTTAAAATAGTTAAAAGATAAACATGTTGGGGCTAATTTTTTAGGACCACATTTTAATTTTATAATATGTTCAAAACAAAGTTGTTAATGAATATATTCATTGTTAATTTTTTAGAGAACTAAATTTTAGGCACTAATATGTTCAAAACAAAGTAATTGGCGATGAATACATTAGTTGTTATATTTTGATTGCCAATCTTTTAGTTATCGTGTTTTTAGTCCTTAATATATTCATAATAAAGTAGTTTGTGATAAATATTGATCATTATGGTTGAGTCGTTAATTTTTTTAGTAACTAATATGATAAAAAATAAAACAATTAACGACAAATACATTTGTCACTGTGATATGGTCAATCGAACTAATTATAAACAATTTAATGATAGAAATTTGTATTATATTGTCTTTAACGTGGTGGAAAAACATGAAATAAATAATGACAAAATTTTCATTTGTTAATTTTATGATATAATGTTAAACTGATTTACAACAGATTGCATCCGGTCACTAAATATTGGTCATTAAAACATTAGTTATAAGACTTTCAGTCACTAATATGTTAAAACAAATATTCTACATGACAAACCTTTGCCCTCATACTTAAAGATACAAAAGTGAACTTTTTTTTAGAAGAATGTTTATCAATCAACAGTATCTTTTCAAGATTATCCAAACTTGCTATAGTGGCTTTTTCTAAGCTTACGTTCATGAAAATTTATACTGTCAGATATTGATTTTGTTTTGACAGTTTTTTCAGGTAAGAAACGTATTGTTTATACAATTTACCTCTTAGCATTTCAAAAAAATCACCTCCAATTATCTGGAGTGCTCGATTTATCCAAAAAGATAAATATGTCCGAGAAAGTATTACAAGCGCAGAATTTCAAGTTGAAGTGAAAAACAAATCAAAATTTGAGGAAATGAATGTAATACAAATTGGACCCGAATTGACCTCTGATGCAAAACTTTCACTGTATCATTTAGAATTGTTAGAACATTAACAAGTTTCTAACACAATACGATGATACTGCAAACAGTTTTACCGAGTGTTAATCGAAATTAAACTTAAAATTTATCCCAGAATTTACATAAACCTACAAGAATCTATCCATAAAATGACGCTCCACGGGAGAAAATTTAAGATAAAAAGGAAAGGAAGAAAATTATTCTTGGTTACAAAAAAAAAAATGAATAAAAGTGAAATATGATCTGACCCTTTGATCTCATAGTAGCCTGTAATTTTTATGGTACTCGTCAGGAGAACAATGACTGCATAAAAACGAAAACCACTTGAGGCTCTTGATGTTTCCTTCCAGACAGGCATGCCACCATGCAATGTCAAGTTCTCTCAATTGAGTTTCTGTCAGTGACTAATATCATGCTTTTGTGTCAACTTGTTTCATCATTATTTTTCAAACTTAAACCACTTCCAGTTTGCATAAAGTGCTTCATTTTCAAAAGGTACGGCACTGGTTGGTATGGGTTCAAATCGTTGAGTGTTGAGAGAAGGTGGTAGTTTTTGCTTGTATTTCTTTGCCATCATATCAGCCTCCATATATACTCTCTTTTCATGATAAAAAAATATCATTAGGCATCTATCAGTATCAGTCCAACTAAAATCAAAGACAACTTTGACTTTGTTTGGATAAACTTCTCAATAATCACTAATAGAAAAAGAAAATAAGAGGGAAAAATGAATTAAACTTAAATTACTTTATGCACAAGTTAAAAATACCTTTTAATGAAGTTAAATGAGAGAACTTTTATAAATGTTGATGCGCCCAAGATGATTTTAGCTTATGGGTTACCATCTTATTTCTTTCTCTTACAAGTTTTTATTGAGAAGTTTATCAACACAGGGTCTTTATTAGGAAAATATTAAATAAATACCTCTTTATTTGATAGAAAAAGGCCAGGTTCACTTTCAAGGTCAGCAATGCTGCATGGCAAGAAAAGCAAAATGTGTTAAATTCAGCTACTAAAGAAACAGGAATAAACTGAATGTACCCAACAATTATAGAAGAAAGTTAAAGTTGGCAATCCATTACCTTAGAGAAATTTTATCAGGACTCATTGACTTCACAACAAGAACTTTGACATTCTCATCCACCGATAGTATGTCACTCACAGAAGTAATTTCAGATCTAGAGATATTTGAAACATGCAGCAATCCACTGAAAGGCATCGAATATGTATATTTAAGATTCAAAATGTCATTTATGTACGCTGGCTTAATCCAACTTCAACAATAAAAGTCAAGAAGATGATATATAAATCTTCAAGATGATAAAATGCCTATGATGCATCTTAACAAAGCAGCCAAACCATAGTGCCAGATGATAGGAAACAGTGATAGGATATGAGCATGAGAATAATTTAAAACTCTGATTGGTAGGGAAAATGACAAAGAAAATTATTTAGGAACAGGGATTGATACACCTTATTTTTGTCAACCTCATTTAGTAATAGAATCGAAATTCAGTGCAAGTTGCACCAATACCAATTAAATTTACAATGCTGTCTACATACATTGGGTTTGAAAGAATACAATGCTTAAAAAGGTCTAATAAAAGCAATGCAGACAATTGAGGAAATATTTACATCTGTAATGTTGTTTTGAAATTTAAAGGAAAACAATTCTTACAAAGTAGAACGCAAAAACCCTAAATATGCTAACTATGGTGCTGCACAAAACTTCAAATATTTCTTTGGAATTTCAACTTTTCTTTTTATGTGAAGTACTTTCACAATCATGCTCTTATCAGTTAAAATATATTTTTCCTAAAGGGGTTCAAGGTTTTTATTTTGCATTTTTTTCCTATAGGTGAGCTCTGAAGCATGAAATTTATATTTTTACAGGCTAGGAATCCTTGGAGACAACTGGAAGCAACATGTTAAACATGGGTTACTTTAGGTGGCACCTTAAATATTATGGAAAAGAAGGTGGAGTACCCTTTTTACACAAATTTCAATAGGTCGGGAAAATAGGGCATACTCAGTTCTCTTATATTCATTTAATATATTAAAGATCTTGTCAGGAAGTGGCTCATGAATCGCTCCCGCATTAGTACCCTGGATTTATTTATGTTCCAGCATAGTATGAGATTATCTGCAGCAGAGCTAGTATTAACCTATTGATGATGACAAAGATTTTACAAACATGTTGTTTTCTAGGACAAATCATAGGTTGTCAGTTAAGCAAACACTTGTAGCCACCCATTTCTAAGTTTAAATCATTGGTTTTCAGGTAAGAAAAACACTTGTATACTAAATGTATTATTCTCTATCTTTTGTATCAGTCATGTATAGGAAACAATCTTGAATTAATTTTTCTTTCCTTCACACTGGAACCATTCAAGAATTCTCTGCGATGGGATGGGATTACCCTTGAAAAAAAGAATAATATCCAGTGGAATCCCTTTGAATAAAGTTGTGATTATCACACAAGATAAAAAAAAATGCACAAAACCATACATATCCAAACAGTGACTGACCTTCTGTTACTTTTTCCTAGCTTAATTTGGGCTCCATACGGAAGGATCTTTTTCACTGTCCCATCTAGAAGTGTTCCCTCACGAAGATACAGTTTTCCCTGAAATATCATATTGTGCAGTGAAAATTTCAGAAGATGAAAAGGAAAAAGAAAAGCCTAAAAACATCTCTTGAAAAAATAAAGCAAAAGAACAAGGAAGTGTTGAATACTAACCCAAGCTTCCTTTTCACTAAGTATTAAATTGTTTTTAGTTTCATCTAACTGAGTAATTTGTACATACATGCGGCGCCCCACCTATGTCATTGTAATCAAGCGGTGGTAAGATGCGAGGGAGACAAAAACAAGAACTGATGATGACACAAGAAAGAAAAATGTTTTAAAGAAGTACAGAATCTTTTCAGGTAATTTGCTGAACACTTGAAATTGTAATATATAATGTATTCATTTACCTAGAAGAAGCTCATAAAGCAATAACATATTATGCAAGACAACTTTCCGATCATCGCTTTTCATAATTTGAACCCCATAATAATATATATGAATTTAAATTAAGATTAGGGTATGTTAAAGAATACAGAACAACATAAAACATCATTGACTACTAGGTCAGAACTTAATTTGATGCTTAATCACTGCTCACTATGCAGTAGTCAAAATCTTTAGCTACTCACTGGAGGAACAGACTTATATAAAACTTCAAAGAAGAAACTAGTTTCACTTAAAAACTGAAAATTGAAAGGATAGATCATATAGCATAATTTTACACTCCGACAGCAGCCACATAGGAATTAAACTTAGCGCAATGGTACCATCCACATCATGAAGCTAAGCATATTGTTATAAACAGATCTGCTAAATAACAGATAATAATGTAAGAGTATCAGCAGAAGGCATCCAAATAAGAAAAAAATGTTTTTTTTCCATGGGTTGGAGGAAAGTTCCAAGGCTGCAACTTACATTCTCCTTCAATTCTGTAAAGCTAGATGCTCTTTTTACAAGTTCAGCTTTGGGTAGGAAAGCTCGCAACCCCTGCCCATACAAATTCAAAAGAGATAAGCATCTACTCAAAGGCCACATGAACATAAGTTTCCGGGCCAACTGAACTGACCTCAATCCTTGTTAGCAGGCCCCCAGTATTCCACTCGGTAATTCTAACCTCTATAGGTTCATTGAGATGTTTTATCTGCCAAAAACATTAAAAAATTGAAAATTTAAATATCATCAGCATTAGGAAGATGTTATTTGACTTTACAAGCATAAGATAGCATTCGTGAGATCATGGGCATCAATTTTATAATTAGGTCACAATACGTTTTCCTTTGGACTACAATCTCAGGATAAATATGATATAATATCTGCTTACATGTTGAACAAAACAAAATAAAAAAGAGTAACAGCCTGTTTATTTCCTATTATTTTCTGTTTTTATGAACAACAAACTTGTTTGATAAGTAGCTTTTGAAAACTATTTCCAAAAACAATATACCTTTTTCAGTTTTAAAATAATAAAAAAAAAGAGAACATCCCTAAGTTGTTTTGACTTTTCTTACATTGTCTCATTTTTTCACTCCTACTCTCTAAAAATTAGATCCTGAAAGTGGTTTTAATAAATACTACTTCAGGTTCCTTTTATAAGGACTGAGATAAGTAGTTTTTAAAAACTAAAAAAAAAAATCTAACACACCCTAAATGTCTATTTTGGCATTCCAAACATACCCGAAATAAAATCCATCCTCAATTTATGATACTAATATCAAAATTGGTCATGCTAATAAGCAACGGAACTATTGATCCTTCAATTTCATTTTTTCCATCAAATTGGTCACTAAAATCACACAAATTGACCCTTGAAAGACAAATTTGGCATCAATTATCATAGAAGGACCAATTTGATGCCACTAATAAATGGAGGACAAATATGATTTCATGAATATTATATTTTTTTTCCAATTAAGTAGTCATAAGTAGTGTTGTTCAATATTATATTTTTCCGATAAGTAGTCATAAGAACTGTCCAACCCAAAATGATGCATGGAAGTGGCGAATATCAAATACGATGTGTATCCTATTTTTGAGATATCGATTATATGATATGTGCAACACACATAAACAGATATGCATAAAAAAAAAAATCATAAAACATAATCAATATTTAATTGCAGCTCCACAAATGCAAACTAAGCATGCTTCATGGACATTACTAAAAATAGAATAGAAATTATAAATTATGTTGTCATGAGTCACTGCCCATTGCCAACAAGCAGTCATAGTATCAACTCATTTCCTCCTTGAGTATCATTCATAGAAGAAAAGTACAGCATCCATGTGTTTGCTCTTCATAGGCTGCAACTTGTGCTCCGTCCAGTGGCCTAGTTCTAATTGTTGATCTCGTGAAAGAAGAGAAAAGAACAAGTTGTGTTGATGTAGGAAACATCTCATGTCATATAGTCAGAGATAAATAAAAATTCAGAAAATTGAAGGATCCATATAGATACATATCCACCCACCCACCCACTCGCTAGCCATATTGAGGAGTATTCAGCCATCTCAGATTTCATAACAAAATAGACGGTTTATCCACTCACAAATATGCATAGGTAAGGTATCCAAATGTGTCCAATATATATCCATTACATATACATGAAGCAAAAGCAAGAATCTACCAATGCCTCACATCACAAATTATTTATAGAAGTTGGAATATCTACTAAACTAAACATACTGGTGTGGAAAAAAAAAAAGGAAGAAAAGATAGAGAAAAACCTGCCTCACTCGATGCCAGGAAATCCGCCGACAGAGTCTTCTGGTGGAAAGCAATGGCCGGCCACTAAGTGTCCTACCTAAAACCTCAGCAAACAAAATGGTTCCAATCTCCACAATAGGCCTTCCAGGCACTTGTACTCCACTTATTGCCTCCTCATTCTTCACAATTCCCATCTTCCCCTGAACCATAAAATCCTCAGCATCCCTGCTCACATCACACAACAAGTTCTCCATTTCCTTACCATATAAGGGAAGCACTTCCTTGGTTAACATTGTACCTAGTAAGTCTGCCCCTACATTGATATCAAGCTTGTTTTCATTACCTGAAACAACAACACCCACCACAAAATCTCCAGGTTTTGGGTCATAGTACTCAACACTAACCCTCTTATCTCCCTCTTCATTCTCAACTCCCACATCGTTTTTTTCTTCAGAAACCTCCAACCCCGCACCCTCTTCCTCAACATCCTCCCCAGAATCTTTGCCTTTGAAAAACTTCAAGAAAGGTGCCAAAGCCTCCTGTTCAGAGGGCTTTTCTTGGTCCACTTCAACTTCAGATGAAGGCTCTTCTGTAACAAGCACAGGAGAAGGCTTGTTCAGCAACTCCAGCTTCTCAAGTTCTTCAGTGGTGGTTCCATCATCAATAGCCTCTTGAGACACATCAGTGGAAAAGCCATCAAACCCATCACTCCTGGAGCAAAGTGTGAAGTGGGGATAACCCAAAATTGAGTCTTTCTTAGAAACTATGGAAGCACGGGGAGTGGAAAGAGTAATTTTAGCAAAAGAACGAAACTTTTGGTGCTTGGTGTGCAGTTTCTTGGTGAAGGTGTTGGTGAGAAGAGTGGTATCTTTAAGTGGTATTATTGTGCAACTGGGAGAGCAAAGAGATTTAGAAGGATGAAGAAGAATAAATGGCATCTTGGAATGGTGGTGCACACAGCATCACCTTTGGTTTTCAGACAGACACAGAACAAGAATATTGATTTTTGTTTTATCCTTTTCAGGTTTCATGTCATGTGTCTCCCTCTCTGCCTTTCTTCACCTTGATATTTTTAACCTTTAAATTCAATTTTGTAATCTCAAATTCTCAATAGATTTTTTGTGGCTAAAGGATAAAATTTTCAAGCTATTCAAGTATGGAGCTCAACTATTAATTGTTTTTATCAGAAAAAAAAAAACTCTTTATTATAGCAGAATAAATGTTTTTTTTCTATATAATTATAGTTTATAATAAATATGTATTCTTAAATCTTAACTTTATTATACAATCTATAACAAGCAAATATTTCCAGTAATATAATTTATACTTTTTAAATTTAGAATAAATTATATAAATTATAATATAAATATATTTTTAAATCAAAATAACAAATGATCTTTATATTATTTCTGACCCACTTTTACTCACTTTTTTTTGCTTCATTTTCACCCTTTTCCAATTATCTATTTTATTTCGATCTAACTTATTTTTTTCCCTCTATTTAATAAAACAATATTTTTTTAGTTTTTAGTAAAAAATAATTTTTTTTGGCCTCATTTATAGTATTTGATAAAAATGTATGTTTTATGATTGCTATGCTTTTTAATACCTATTATTTCAAGTTGCATTTTTTCTAAATTTTTTTTTCTTTGCTTCATTTCACTTAAATCTCTATTAATTTTAAAAAAATTCACATAAGGTAAAATTGTATTTTTATTTTTTATTTATCTTCTATCACTCATAATGTAAGAAATTATTTTTTACTTTTTAGGAATATAATTTTATTCTTTTTAACTTTTTATCACATAATAATATATTGATAATGACAAATAAAGGTTTCTTTTATTTTAATGTTGATTATCATTCTATTTACAATATTTATTTCATCATCAAATTTATATTTCAAGAAATTGATAATCATAAATAATTGTTTTATTTATTTTTCTATTTTATTTCATATTCGATATTGCATTATGTATTTTATTTATTCTACTACATAATTAAGAGTAAATTATAATGCTATCCCCTTTTTTTGTCAAATTATACTTACAATCATACTCTGTTCATCATTATATTAACTTCCCCGATCAAAGAATATAAATGTAATTAATAATTTTAAAATTTAAGAAAGTGAATGTATATGAAAAAATAAATAACCATATAATATTTTAAAATAAAATAATTTTCGAGTAAAAATTTAAAAATTTAGATCTCAGTGTAATTCGACAAAAGCTTGCAAAATTTGCTCGTTACATTAATCAAGGTAGAATACATATGAGCCTCTACTAATAATATTTAAGACATGTATAATATACAGTTAATAGAAGAATATATCAAATAAAAAATAATGATTAAAACAAAAAAAAATACAGATAAAAAATTGAAATATTTTAAAATCAATTAAAAAAATTAAAATTGTACACATCTCAAAATATATTTTATTAATAAAATAAACTTAACATTTATATAAAATACCATAAAAGTATGTTTACTTATTGTTTTACATATACAACGTATTATATAATTTTACTAATACTAATAATTCATTAAAATATCTTAAAAACTGTATCTTTAATTAGCCATGAACTTTTCACTAGGAAACTAATTTTTAATTATGTTGACTAAATATAACCTAAATATACACATATAAAATAAAACAATAGTATTTTTTATAAAAATTTTATATATGTATAGTAATTTGAGATGACCAATAGGTATATATATTAACTATAGAGAAAATTATTGTACAAAAATGGTATTTTTAATCTAAAGTATCATTTCTAAAATGATATTATGAAAATTTGAATAGTCTGAGAGATATAAATAATTACTATTTGAGTTAAGATAAAATGATGATGATGATGATGATTATTATTGCGTTTACTTAAAAATAATTGTGTCATGTATGTGAAAGCTATCTAATGGTTTTGTTCAGTGTTGACTTCTGAAAATATCGTTTTAATGGCTTTTGAGAATCATGGAGGATATTTGACATTGAAAGGAGCAAATCACTGTTCTCATTAACCAAAATAAAATTCCTTTATATATATTACAAAAGGAAAGAAATTTTACATAAGTAGGTGAAAATCTTAATTATTTATTACACTTTAGATTTTTAAATATTTAAATTATTTTTTATTAGTTAAATTTAGCCTAAATATTTCTAATCTATGTAATTCGATGAAAAAAATGTTCTAATTTATTTTATTATTATATTTGATGATAATTATATAAAATAAACGTAAATAGTTTGTTGTTAACAAAATAATAATTTTTTGTATTATATTAATTGAATTTATAAATGTAAAATAATATTATAATTTAAATTAGAAATACTTGCAAATTAAATTGAAATTGTTAATCATAAGTAAGGATAACTAATCTATGGTATCCTATTTTTAGTGAAGATATGACTGGTTAAAACAGGACCAACTCAACTCAAAAGAAAGACAATTTTAAAATAATTCAACCTGTTATGGTTTTGTCTCACCTTGTACAAAATCAAACCAAACCAAATAAAATGACCGTTTTTTCTATAGGATCGTGCATTGCGTGGCATGAACTAGATCTTCCAAATGTTGCTTAAAAAAATTCAATGAAACCATCCTCAAGTTCAACACCAGAAGCAATCTTCACACTCTGAAAATGCTTTTTAATCGTTGCCAATATATCCAACGAAGTCTTTTGTTCATGTACGTCTGTGATTTCACGAGGTATAATGTACATAATAAACATAAGAATTATCACGAAGAAATAATGCTTGTAATTTATTCCATTCTCCTCTCAAATTACTAGCACCATCATATCCTTGCCCACGAATATTGGAAACATAAAGATTATATCTAGAGAGAACACACATAATTCTCTTTTAAGAGTAGCAGCTGTAGTATCCTTAACATGCACAATATCAACAAAACGTTCTTTAATATTACCCATTTTATCTACAAATCTCAAAACAATAGTCATTTGTTCTCTTCTAGATTCATCACGAGCTTCATCAACAATTATACAAAAATTTGAGTCACCAATTTCTTCACGAATATAATTTCTTACTTTTCTAGAAAAAATTTGCAAATTTTCCTTTTGAATATGATGAGAAGTATATTTTGAATTATAAGGAGCATTTTCTAACACAACTTGTGTTACTTTATCATTGTATGATGCTAAAAGTTTAATCATCTCAAGAAAGTTACCTCTATTACTTGAATCTGGAGTTTCATCATGGCCTCTAAATGCACAAACTTGAAATGCTAGCCAACGAATTGTATCAATAGAAGTTTTAAGCCGTAAACGATTTTTGCAAACTTCTTCTGAATTTTACACATTTATAATGTTGTCAATGTGCTTAGATTGATTCAATAAGTATGTACATGCTTTTATTACATTGTTATGTGGTGAACAAGGATTATCTCCAATGTGACTAAGAAACACACAATTCTTTCTTGAATTAACCTTTTTCCATGATATAAATCCTTGTCTAATAAACACATCTGCCCCAGGACGACCATTTGACAGTGTACTAAATAGATAACATGGCAAACAATAAGCTTCATCACTAGTTGGAGAATACTCTAACCAAGAAGGAAACATTTAAAATCAATCATATTGAAATCTCCTTGGATGTTTCTCCTTAGAAAAAGGATAGTTTTTAAGTTGTATTTGATATGGACCACAATTTAAATAAGCTCTTCTAATTTCATCTCTTTGATTCATAGGATATTCATGTATCTGAAGACGTTTTCCTGGGTCACGCTCTAAAGAATTAATATTAAATTCATTAGTCTTAATTCTATGAATCTTAGAAAGGAGTTCTTCTAATTGAATAATTGGATCATCAATATCATGCTTTGAAACAGGAGAAGATATTGAATTTGTTTGGTTTTCATCTCTATAAGTATCTCTTTTATCACTTTTAAAAAATGAATCTATTCTTTTATGCTTTATATCTAGAAAAAAATCAATCTATTATTAATTTTCTAATTATAGAATCATAAAAATTTATAAGAAACAAAAATAGTTTTCTTAAACAACAAATGTTCCTCAACAAAAATCAAAATAACAAACAATAATAGAATAAACAGTGAAAAGATGACAAAAAAATACATTTGTCAATCAATATAATTTCAAGTATGAAATCTGAGGAGGAAGGAGGAAAAAAGACGAACAATGAATTTGAAAATACAAACTATAAAAATAATTTAATATTAATCAATCAATATTACTGTTCGTGAGAGAATATGAAAAGGTGAGACAAGATGAAAACTACTTTTAACCTTTCTTATTTAATATATTCTTTAGAAGTTAGAGAAATAATTAAATACTAATAAAATATTACCGTTAATGAGAGAGTACGAAAAAGTGAGAGAAGATAAAAAGGTCAGATAATAAAATTATTTTTAATTTTCTTATTTAATTTATTCCTTCAGTTTTTTTTTCTTTATGATATATTTAATATTGGGGAGGGGCAAAATCATAAATATACAAGTAAGTTACAAAACTTTGGGGGGGCCATGGCACCCCTTAACTACTATGAAGATCCACCACTGCCCTTGATATAGGATTTGAATGAATCAGATTAAGAAAATGCTTTTGGTAGTTTATCTACTAGTAGTATAGATTATTATTGTTATTTATTTTTTTCGATAAAAAGACTCTTGAAAGCTTTCAGAAATAGTTTTCGTTTTGTATCTAATCAAACTCAAGCTACAATTTATAATTATCACATGTTTGGGATCATGAGCAAAGCCAGCATACCTCAAGGACTTTGCAAATCTTATCAACCTCTGGAGCAAAGTTAATGTAAAAAAGGAAATCTCCATGGCAAAAAGCTTAGAAGAGCAAACCGTGAAAGAATAGAAACCAAGATCGAGAGAGAGAAAACAAAGAGCTTTAATCAGTTTGGAATTGAAAAATGATTTTTCTTATTTTCTTTGTGAGT